TCGTCCTCTAAGACTGGGCTCGAACATGATGTAAGAGAAGCCTCAATTAAGTAATGAGGGAGAATGTTGGGCAAGGATTCATCAATAGAGAAGCCTCTAAAGGGAGCGATCCGTACCAACGCTAATGACGATCCCGGTTCCGGGGTCCACTCGATCGGCAAAGGGGGTAGGAGAGACGCTCGCGCTAAATAGCTCTTTCCCCCAGCTTAGAGAGGCCATCGCATCATGTAATTGGCTCATATGACACGTTGGATACACTGCCGGATTACAGAGTGGCCGAACTGCGATATGATCAAGGTGGAGATACTCAGTCATGTTAATCGATGACATGTACCTAGGTACTTACCCGCAAGCGTCGCGGGTCCGAGCGAGAATCCGCTTCCCGTTCAAGAATAGAGGATTACTCGGGACGAGCGTGTTTGGGAAATAGCATAGCCAGCGATCCGCTGTGTAGGCAATGTCTAACGACCTTGATTGCGCTGACTTTCAACGACTCAGCAACCCCCGTCTCCGACACAATCAGCCGGAGTTCCCTCATCTCCCGACGAACAAGGAGCGTCTGCATCTACAATTTATCATTCCTGCGCGAGGGTGGAAGCTTTTTCTGCGCTCTCCTCGGAGGCGTCTCCACGAAAACGCATTCGCAAGTACGTCGTCCGAAAGAGTTCTGCAAACGTACTTAATTAGGGATTCAACGCTTGTGCCGGAGTCATCCGCACTCCTTCCTTCGTCCGTACCATGATCAGAGCTCTGTTATGACTGACTCTAAGATTGATTTGGGATTGTCTCAGGAGTACATGGAGGAGCAAACACTCTTCCGCTCACTGGCGCCATGCCCGAGATCGCATAGACTTTATCATATTGTCAGGTCGTTCCTCTGGCAATTGAGCTCCCCCCGTTTCACGCAGACTTATCGCGGAAGCCAATACGGGGCGATAAATCATCAGGAGTCTCTCTCTCCTCACTCCTTGAACAGAACGTCGGTCTGCACAAAGGCAAGACATCCCGAGAACGTCATCATTGAGACCGTCTCTTCATTCGAGGATCGAACAACATTACCGTCGAAATGCTCAAAGAAATAATTATAGTGCTCCCTTGGTTAATTTCGAAGTTCCGACTCTCTTCTGAGAACTCTTGAACTCGGACCATCGGGAAAAACTGATTTTAGGCGAGTTACCTAGAAGTCCCGATTTACCGTCGCCCAGGACGCCCACAATTCCCGCTGAGTTTTCCGAGGTTCATTCGTAGTTGACCTCTTGAACGACGGCGATGGCGCCTGGGTTCTCTTCCCCCGGGAGATCGTGATCAAGCTCATGCATTATACATACTTGATTAGGGTTTCGCAAATCGCAGATGCTGCAAACGATCGCCAATCATTGCTCTGGGCATCCTTGCTCTTCTTGCCCCGCCGAGGAGCTCAAGGAGGCTGTGCGAAATAATACTCACCAGAGCGAAAGATCAGGGGAGGTATGCTCGTTCGCTGCCTACAGATTTGGGGAGCCTGCGGAAAACCTTCCCGAAAGTTTCCAGGGGAGCTCTTTCCGCGTATATACGAGTATCTATCATTCTCGCCGTGATAGGTGCACTGAGATGCGAAGCGGAGTCACCGAGCTTTCTTTAGGTCGTACCTCCAGAACGCCCATCCCCCGATTGCTGAGACCGACGCCGACGTCGCCCCGTACTCTGTCCCATGAGGAACCTTGCCAACGTTTCACGAAGCTCCTCGAGCGGTCCAAATCTGCGAATCGGAAAACTTGTTTGGGCCGACTGGACTTGACCAGACTGCGCAATGATATATGACGGGCACTCCGCGGTTCAGGTCATAAGAATTCGCACAAACCTGGGGTCAGCACCAAGGTGCGAAGAACATTATTCGTAATCCCGAGGAGCCACTCATGGCTCTCCTGAATACGGCCGATGATTGTCTGGGAGAAGATTGTTAATTGCTTGATAGGGACCCCGATGTTTTGGCACCTTGCGCCGTGATGTACTGCTGCAGACCCACGCGTAAGCCGAGCAACGTTCATATGCACCCCAAAGAGTCGCATCCTCATCTTCGCATCAAAATCTGAGTTCCGTCTTTCTTGATTGACCCGTCTCGGGACAAGGGGTGGGGGATCTTTCCTCGCAATGGAGTTCACAAGAACGGTTCGTGAATCTCTCAGTATATAAGTTAGCCTCGCGGGGATATCCAAATCCTCTGTCAGGAAACGCAGCAACATCTTCCACGCCAATGATCGAGGAACCGCTGGCGTAGCTCTTAATGCTGAATCCTAATGGAAACCAGACTAACGATAGCTAGAGCGGTCGTCATGTCTCTGCTTTTATGAGAATTTTTCCTCGGAGCAAGCCTGACGAAACAGCAGAATGGGAGGAACCGACTGCTTTTGGCAGCTCGTCCTCGCGTGACGGCACTGGTTGCGGCACGTCGCTGCCGCAGAACAACGCAACGGTCTGGGTAAGAACCTCCAATACGGGCGTGAGGCGTAAGCATTGAAACAGAGTTTCTCAAAGTTTACTTCGTGTATCTCGATCTTCATGCCTTATCGATCCCGTGAACCACTGAACAAATGAAGTGAACGATTACGGAACAGACGTGACATATCCACGAGATAGTTATCAATTAAGCAGGAATATGTTTACTGTGGATATCATTCACCGTCGGCGTCGTGAGGGATGGGCTACACGTGTTCAGTGCCTATGCGAAATGTTTCATTTTGTGGCATTCTCTTGGGATCCCGAAGGAAGGAAAATCCGAGAGGTCGGCTCTCGTTCGACCACAAATCGCGCGAGTTCCGAAGCAGCTAGAAGAGACCTCCGTCAGCGACCTCGTGGCTTGCGGGTCAGCGGTGCCGGTAATCAGTCATCACAAATTGGACGGTGTGCGGTTTCGTTTGCGACGTCTAATCCGAATGCCGATGATCGAAAGAATGTTCCCAGAGGGCGGTGCCGAGGTTTCCAACCCCTTCCAAGAGCGCTACGTACAAGTTCTAGAGTTTCCAGAGAAAAGTAAGCTTCGCGGGAGAAACAGCCACGGTCGGACGGTATGCTCGGTGACTCACCAAGAATCTTCAATATCCTACTGGAAGCGGGTGAAACGCTCCAATATTTGGGAGAGTACAGCATCAGATGGTCCCAATGAATATAGTAGTTCTTTTCTGAAAGAAAAAGCCACCCTCGAAACAAAGAAGGCCTGGAGGGGAAGTCATCACCCGCAGCCCGACCACTCGATAGTCATCAGATCAGAGGTGACCTGGGTGTGAAATTTTCTGATCCTGCGGGAGCAGTCGAGGGTGAGACAAACGAAGATTAGCGGGGAGGAAGGGGGGAGCGAACTTCCCCCTTTTTCCTGAACATTTTTGCTCCTTGCTTCTTCCACATAGGGATTCCCTATAACCCTCGAAAAAACGGAATTATCTTCCCCTGTCCGGAATGCGAGCTTATGCCAAAGTCCGCGGGGGGGGGGGGGGATATATTTTGTTTCAAGCACGCTTCGGACGAGATTGACGCAATTATAGGTCTCTCGGAGGATTTTACGATTCGTCGTTTGACCAACAGTCAACAGTGTGGGCCTCAAGTGGCAGGTTTGAACAGGGGAAGTCAGTGATTTGGGAACCTCGAGAGTTCCAGAAGCCCGTGAAATGTGCTTGGATGTCGGAAGGAGTATCGTTGGCGTAAAAATAGAGACTCTCACAGCATACGGCTGGCTCAGTCAGGAGACGCAAAACTCTCGCTAACGACCGAGGCTCGCATCGGAATCGATCTTTCGAAAATCGAGACGAAGCAAGCAAGAGTAGAGCGATTCCCTGCTTTAGTCAAGATTCGATTCACTTCGACTACACCTTCATTCTGGGATCCTCCAGTCTCGATTCTTTGGCCTCGGGCCAGGAAGCCCTGATGATGACGATCATTCTTTGACTTTTTGGGGAAGCCGTGGCCCATCCCGTGTTTCTCGGATGGAGCGAAGACGGAGCCTCTCTCGATTGCTGTCTCGGTGCTCTTGGAATCATCCGGTGATGACCGCGATAGAATATCGAATTATCATGTGTCCCGTGACATTCAGAAAAGGTTTGGAGGAATATGATATGTATACCTACTGAGAATGCGGAGGGAAAAGAACACGTAGAGGCTGAGCTCAGCTTCGCATGGACGAGGCATCTGTATGGATATGGATAGGGTCGAATGCGGTCAATCAACCCAATTTTCCGGTACCCCGTTCAGCACGTAATTCAAACGAAGACGTTTGTAGGAAACTGATTCCGGGATCGGGGTTCACGATGGTGAGCTGTCAAACGAGATCTTCAGGATCGAGGGTAGGCGGCGGGTGGTACGCCGGGCACTCAATTCTTTCTCCCGCTTAATCCATTCTGAGCGGAAATGAAAGTCCGTCGCGAAAGAGAAGCCCTTGTCGATGTTCCTCCCACCCTACTTCTTTTGAGGATTTTTTTCCGGAACGACATATGTGTCTTTCAATCCTGTCTCGTACCGACTGGCCTTGGCGACGAAACCGCTTTTACACTCATATATCGCCGACGAAAGCCCGATAGCCGATGGAAAGCCCGAATCTCCGCAAACAATCGGCGCGGCGGTGCGCCGCGATGTCTGAAAGCTTTGAGGTGGGACCGAACACATACCACGGAAATTTGAGACGAGCGAGGAGAATCTGAATCTAAAAAGTGGGCGGATTGGATCCCAATATGGGCCTGTCGCGGAAAAGGGTGAATCCCGGGGTCCTTTTTGCTCCATCGAATAGTCGCTGCGGTGTTCCCGCAAACGGGTAGAGAAATATGACAGGAAGGTTTCCTAATCTCGTCTTGTGGAATCTTCTCTCCGCTATCAACATCGATGTCACCGTGTTGACGGATCGAGTAGACTGGAATTTTACCCCAGCAGCAAAATCTGTTGACTCTAGCATCTCTCGACGGTTCGCCCACGAGCTGTGGTGTCGCGCCGCCCTTTCTCTCCCTCGAGATCGTCTGCTTTACACTGAGCTCCGTCTCATTCACTGCCGCACTGTAGGACGGTCGTAGAGCGAACGACTACATGAATCATGGTACGTAGATTAACTCTGTCTATGTCTCTGACTATGCCTATTATCTGACCCAGGAGAAGCGGAGCGTAGCTCGCCCGGAAGGACGGCTCCAGGAGCGGTCCATGAGGCTTCTCTCCCTTTACGGAAATCGTTCGATTAGGTCAGATGTCACGGGTCGAGGTAGTGCATGAGTTTCTGAAAACCTTTGGTAATCTAGAGTCTAGAGGAGCCCGCTCCTCCTACTCCCGACCATGACGTCTCGCCGTATCTCTCTCGATACATGAAGCCGCGCCGAGACTTCGACCCATCTATCGATGTCAATCGCGGAATATTTCACAGCTCCGCGACCAGAGAGTAGCATGCAGTTCCTCGCAGTGATTCCGTGTCGGCCGGAGGTCGGCTCCGTGAACGTAGTCTTGATGATTTTTCTCTGAAATACGAGCATAGGATTCCCTCTTGGAAAGACCGGTACAGTGGGCTCGAACCAAGATCGCGATCTCCATCTAATACGGCGACTCTTATTTTGAGTTTAAAGATGCGGACATAGCGAGTATTCGGGCCATCCACAGAGAAGGTCCTTCTGATCTGTCGATGCCAGATTAGCAGACATTTTTCCCGCTGAGAGCCTATCATGCCGAAAACCCACGTTGCGAGTAAGCTATCGTCGCATTCTTCGACTTCTGTTCCTCTGAGTGGGCTCCGTGAATACGCGCTTACGCAATCTAAGTGATCAAAATCGATATATTGCTCGAATATTAGGGAGCAAATTCTGATTACTACATCGGCTGCAGAGAGACCCCCGTCTGAGGCGGCGAGGCCGATTCTGAATAGAAAGACCCGTTCTTGTCGTCGACAACGAAAGTATCTCCCTTACGCGCTCGTAACTAGTAATATCAACTCCGATATTGAGGGCGAACGATAATATCGGAGGCGGGATGGAGGCGACCTTCCAAACTTAACCCGTTCCTACGCCTCTAGAGCCTCGATCGTAAAATTTTGATTGAGGATTCTACCGCTGAGCTTCGAAACTCTTATCTTGTTCTCGCGGCGACCGCGAACCATCGGGAAAATGAAGTTGAACAGTTTCCTGAAACTCTGGACTTTTCAGAGCGAGGACAATCTGGATACTTCGGAGTTTGCTTTGGAGTCGGTGTTCGTGCTTCACAGACATTCAGTGCGAGCACCTACGTATTATGCGCCGAACTTCGAGGAAATTCATCCGAAATCGTATCCCAGAGGAGCGGGGTATTTGACACGACGGGGCATCGATTTGTGTCTGAGCGTGGGTAAGTGTCTTATTCAGACGAACGGCAAGCCGCGATTGCTTGATATTTGGAGCTTCGGAACTTGAATGTTAACCCTCGATCACCATTCTAGCGGAGACATGGCGTTCTTGGTATCCCGAGCACATTAATGGGTCTGATCATCGAACGATATTCGTTCGCTCGTCGGAGAGTCCTCGGTGCAATGAGACCATATCGGCGATACTTCACGCGCTCTTCAGTTCTGGGCCGGAGGGTTTGAACCTCGTACCAATTTACAGTCCCCCACCTGGATACGACAAGTATGTGTCCTGTGCTGGATTCGACGGAGACATCAGCTCTCGGATGAGGAAAGTTTACCAGGTTCGCGAATTCCGTATTTTTCCCTCTACCTAGCTGTTTCTTCGATGAAATAGGTGATCTCCTTCCTCTATTGAATCTATGTCACCTACCAATCACTTGAGAAAGATCTACCTATTTCGGAGGAGAGAAACATACAGTTTGCCCTCGTCGACATCGAACGACGAGAGTTGCTTAAGCGGGTCGTCACGAAATTTCTCGTCCTCTTTCGACAGGAGCCTGTTCTTGAGGCTAATTCTGCGAACGCGAAAACCGTTAGTGAATTGCACGACTTCATCAAAACTTGCTTCAAGGCTCCGGATGCTTCCGAGTATGATGCATTCGTCTATATCGACGGTGAGTGTCTTCAGTTGCCCGTGTTTAGGACTGCCGATCGTCTCCTCAGTAAGGTACATGATAGAGTGCAATGCCGGTTCACTCAAATTCCGGGAGCCGCGGTAAGGCATTCTGACTAGATCCGCCAGCAGCGACAGAAGCCCGAGTGGAGAGAATAACAAGAGTAACAAGATCTTCAGGGAGCGTTTCTCAATCATCGCGGTGACATTCCATGGCAGGAACAGGCAACCATACGGAACGACGAGGACCCTTGACCTTTCCGCCCGGGGGTCACTGACAGTCGATCCAATTCCCGGATCAGATGTCGCACTCAGCGTGGATATTTTCGGAGAGACAAAGGGCTTCAGTCAACCCGAGCTAGATTGGGCCGTTCTCAAGCGCTAGGTGTTTTACCGCGAGAATCATCACTTCCTACACTCATCATTCGACGAAAACGACTCCGCTGAATGCTATCATTCATGAGCTTCTAGCTGACAATGTGGATGCAACTCAAGGCGATTCACTCCCAATTGCGCGGGAGGTGCGTCGAGATCGCTCCTCCAACGCAGTGTATCTCGAAGTGGGTCACCTTTCCTTGCTGGGCCAGGGGAGACTCCCGGTGGGCCACGAGAGAATGTCGGCGAAGCTTGGAGTCTGTGGGGCGCTTCATACCACGGATTTTTCCCCTGAATCTAAAACGTTGACAAAACGCTCGTGAGCTTCCCCTTCAATACGATGCAGAGATCTTGAAGTTCGGATTCGTTCGCGCAGAACACGATTCTTTCACACCTCATGGAACTAAAGGGAGAACCTCTGGACAAGCGAGGCTTTTCGATCTCAGAACGAGCTCCGGAGCATCCGCAATCGTTGATTCGCTCTGCGTCTCCAGTCTGGTCTGGCCTCATGATGAGCCTGTGCGAGGAGCCTCAAGCTCAATTCACGCGCTGATTGAGAACGAGGAAACAGGCGGAGAGGCGGATTGAATATCTACCCGAGTCGTATTTCGACCGATTTTTGTTCCATAAATAGTGTAACCTGGTCGAGAATAAGTCGCCCTAGAATCATGCGTTCGCAACCTTCCCTGATGACTGATGACGTTCTGCGCTCTTGCCCTGATTACATCCGGGTGCGTTCGGACCAAGCGGCTTCCCCGAATCAAAAGTGGAACATGATGGACGCTCGGTCAAGGAAGACTGTCTCAGATTATCAAGCGGAAGTTAGAGTGAATTGTAGCCGTTCAACTTCCCTCTATTCATTGGACACCGGTGAAGAATTGAGCGTGACTCGTTCCCTCGTAGAACTTCGCTCGGTAGCCAATGAATCATATAATATATAATATATCTTGTATCTCGGAGAGCATGGGTACGTGTTAGTTGCCCGGAATTCGTGGTGGCATGCTTCGGAGCCTACGGTTGCCCGAACTCCATACGATGTCGTATCGTATTTCTTGCTAGTCGCACTGACATCGATGAAAAAGCCGACGGCGGCGGCTCAATCGATAAACTTTATCGGGTTCCTACGCGGAAGCGCTGGGCAGCACTTCGCCGTAGAATATTCCACCGTCGTGTTCCGCACACGATTCTCAGGGAGCCGAGGCTTCCGGGGAGACTGTCCGCGCAATAATGTCCGATATCGAACTCCATCGTAGGTTTCCGGATCCGAAGTCGGATATAGCTGAGATCATGGCGTCGAAAAGCATGAACATCATCACGCCAGGTTCTGACTCCTTCCGCTGTACCCGTTGCAGGAGTCACTTCAAACGTCTACGAAGGTCTGCCACAACCCAAGTTTTTCACCGATAATGAGGCAGCTCTAAAGAAGTTCTATCATTTCGCATATCACACAGTGATAGAAGAATTCTCCCCATTCTACGGCTTCCATCTGCTTCAAGGAATGGCGCGCAGAATGCAGCAAGTTTTCGACGGTAAGTCTTGCATCGTTTCATGTTCGATGGAATCAGGCCACTGGGAGAGGCCGAACAGACGCTTGTCCCGACGAGTTTCGCAGGGAGGTGATGGAATTCTCTCGAGATCCCGGAATTCGGAGCGGCTCCATGAGAATTCCGGGACGAAGTTTATTGCGACCCGGAATTAATGGCAGGTGGATATCCGCAGGTGAATTGACGACCGGTCAAAAATGGTGCGACTATTCGTTCCATGACTTCAATTTGTCATCCGCCCTCTTGGCACTCGAGGCGGAGGTGCGGGAGCCGAAACCCAACTTTCTGGGTGCCATTTTCTTCGAGCTCCGCAGGAACCAGAAAGACGGTTAGTTATCGGTGTCTAGCATCCTATTTCCGGTGAATCCAAACATCCTGACTCGAGTGGGGAAGACTCGGGCAAGACGCGTTCTTCGGGATGAAGACCGAATACTCTTACAGGGTCACGAGTCGTCGACTTATATTATTGTTCTGGATTACAACCAGACGGACGTTACAGCCAACGAGAGCCGCTCAGGATGCGTTGGAATCAAAATTCGCATCGAGCGACTTTCGATAAGTTATATGAAAAAATGTTCAACAACATCTATGTAAAAACAATGAGATCGTTGGAAACAAACAAATATACCGGTGACGACGCCATGGTTTAGGTTCAAACGAGTTCACACTTCCTGTTTAATTGATGAGTATATGTAATTGTACCTGAGATTGGAAATAAAGTGGATAAATGAAAATGTTTGTACGCAAGAAGCAATTATTCTTCAAAGCCAAGCAGAGATCCGAGGTGCCATCTCTGATTGTGAGACGCACTCCGTCGGGTCGGGACGGCGGACTGGAATGGTTCTTTCGAAATGTCCCAGGAGTTCCCCGTTCAGAAAGTACCGTGAGCATCGTCTCCATCAGCGGAGACAAAGAGACACGAATCGCTTCCAACCACACATGTCAGCGAGCTCGCTACCGCTATGAGCGAGTCCGGAGCTTCTCTCGTCTGGATTCCCCAAGACAGTCGGGAATCGCTTACCATCGTATCGTCCACCTCTTCGTCGGAGCACGACTTGTCTAGTCGTCTCTCTGAGGGTGGGGGTCTTGCGTTGTTCACTCTCAAGGGAACTATCGCCTTCAGGACCACCGGCTCAACCGACTCTTCCGTCGATAAACCATGACCGGTGAACAGATTTTCGAGCTGCTATAAGGTTCAGGGGCCAATCCTGTTGAGGATCTCAACAAAGATTCGTCCGTGCTGAGCAAGAAGATCATCCCTACGCAACGAGTTGAGAGAGGAATGATACATGCGACGATGATTGGCTGAGCTTCGGAGCGGTCTCTTGGTGACAGGCTTCTGGAAAAACTAGCAATCCTTAGCCCACCCTAATTTCTGCACTGGGATTTACAGAGTCTGATGATGGGAATAGTCGAATCAGAGCTCTTTCCGTGGAAGTCGTCTCCTTGAGAACCCATCAGCGACACCGCTTCCTGGCAGACTTCATAATTGAGGCTCCCGACGGGGCACAGTCACCATGGAAGGTTGCTAGCCGGTGGCGCCTGTTCCACCGTGACTAGGGAACGACGAATTCATCGGCATGAATTTATATTCATGATTATCCTAGTTGCATGCTTGTCTTAGGTCGCTCGCACGCGCTGTCGCGGTGGTTCTCGGATCAAGGGTCGGACGTTCCCAAATTAAATGGTCGGATGCCTCCACATCGGTGATCGGCATGCTCGCCGAACGCTAAAACACATGAAGTAGAGGATCCTCCGTTGGCACCGGCGATTGGATGTAGCCTGTGGGTCGTGCCAGTAGAGCTGAGATGAGTGATGACATCATGGTGAAGCGGCTTACGTTTTGTAAAAAATAACGATCCCTGGACAAAAACGTAATTCTCACGGAAAACATGCGGTCAAACACTTCGAGAAATATACCTCGATCTCACTGAGGTGATTCCGCATCGATCGGGAAAGGTTCGGGGTCTGTACGGAGAAGGGAAGCGCCAAAAATTGGTTCGGTGCCAGACAGACATGGCGATTTCATTATATAGGAGGATATATGTACATGTAGGGGGATTCTTCATTTGTGCTCGGATTCGGCAGAGTTGCGAACTCTCATTCGTGAGATCGAGTTATTGACTGGAAATCTGGCAAAGATTTCTTGCGGTCTTGCTGCGACAGACATTGCTCCCCACACAATGAGTTAAGGAAAACCCGCATTCCCTGAAGGTCACTCTCAATCGAGAATATTTCGACTTTCGCGCCCTCAAGCGAAAGGCGGGGAAACGTTCTTCCGATCCAGCGGCTCGCCTATCTTTGTGTGCAATTGGTTCTCGTGTGTCCCGGTCTCCCGCAGAGTCCACATCTCCTCGCTGATCCTCTTCCCCTGCTTGCAGTCCCGCCTGTCCCGCTCGCGGCCGCCTCGCCCCTTCCCCTCATCGCCGTTCCTCCTCTCGCGACGTGTCCACCTCCTCGTGGAGCTTGCTGGCTGAAATATTCATGTTGCTGATTAGCAGCAACAGATTTTCGAGAAACTCGCTATTTTCCCCCCAGAAGCACTCGAGACATCAATGGGAGAAACCAATAATACTGACTTGCTCTGAGCTTGAGGGTTCCCTGCGACTACTCGAAGGTTGAAGAGGTTCGTTGCGGTATCGTTGCAAGAGACACAGGCAACATATTCTCTGGGCAAGGATGTGTACTTCCTTGAGGGAAGAACGGAAAAATAATCAGGTGCAGAGGAAATAGAAAAGATCATGGATCCACAACTCGAACCTGCCGGTAACCACAATGATGCGTCAGAACGAGCCCGAAAGCCGGGGAAATAATTCAATCTACCCTTCTTTGAGGAAGAACTTTATCTCGAAAGTGTCCGTGCAGGATGGACAGCGGGTTGCAGCGACTTCGCAATTATCGAGCGCGTTGCTGGGTAGCCACATCACAGCCTGAGAGAAAGAATGTATTAGCTCGTCTGACTAGACTCGTAGACCTGGTCGCCAGTGGTTTCCGAGAGAATTCTTTCTCAGCCTCACTGACCTGGCAGCCTGACATGCATGAGATGAACCACTTGTCACCGGCGCGATTCTTCCGGAGCCCCATTTTGCCCTGTCGACACAGAGGACAAGGCAGCACTTCTCGAACTACCGAGTCAGGGAGCATCTCTTGCACAGGTTGCTGAAATTCCGCAAATGCCTCCAGTTCGATGTGAGGTCCCATGTTGACGCCAGTCGTATAGTGGAGCCTGCCAAGCTCTATCTCGATGGAAGATACGCAACAGCGTTCTCGGACTCCGATCCAACCATAATGCGCTCTCTTTCCTTGGGGACTGATCACGAGCCTTTCTACGAACCTGAAGATACTTCCCCATGGCGTCGCTGAGTTTATTGAGCTGCTGTAAGGTATTGAGGAAGGTCCTTCGATAAATTTGGATTTGATTCTCGAGGACTTCCTGGTGGTTTTTCCGACCTTCGCAGATGTCCATCAAGTCGTTTTCGAGTGATGCTCGAAGGCGCGGCTTGCTCATCTCGAAACCCATGTCATCGTATCCTTCAACGAGTCCCATCCCGATTTGTCCCGGAACGAAATGTATCTGTCGAAAAAGGTCATTCAGCTTGTCCTGGCTCAAGCGAGGGAATCGTGTCTTCGCCACATGGAAGCGAAAAGCTATCCTCGCATTCTAATCGGTCAACCGAAATAGGTAGTGACGAAAACAACTTGACGAACCTGGTCAGCCATCCCTATATATTCCCTTTGTTTGACCTTGTCTATATGTTCCGCGTGGGTAGCATCCGTACCGATTCCGTGCTTCTCCATTAGAGCAATCAGATCCGCTTCGGTGAGGAGACTCGGAGCCGAGGTCCGTCCTTCGCTCATCTGAGGAGGTCGAACAAGCGTCATCGCTGACCGCCCGAGCCCCCGTCGAGCCTTCAGCTGAATGGCGTACTCACGAGTATTTCCGTCGGCGTGAATGTTTCTCCTTCTCGATACGACGGTATGACTTTGGCGGACCATTTCTCGTAAGGATAAACATCTAAATAATTTCTTTCAATGATCTGAAGACCGTTGAGAGAGAAATGTTCCTCGTCTATTGCGGCCTTGACGTTGGTCTCCGATCCTCTTGCATCTTGTGACACACAGGCCAAAAAATGTCTGACTACCAATTCGTATACTTTGCCTTTGTTGTCCTGCAAGAAATTCCAACCCATTCAGCAGGTGTTGGTGAGCGGAGTGACCAGTGTTCGGAAAGAAGATTGCGCTTACCTGTAAATTAAGTTGAGCGTATTTTGTAGGATGAATCGGCGGATGCGCCTGATCAGATTTGTTACCGTTGCGAGGATGGGGTCCGCCCCATTCGTTGACTATTCTCGTCGCAAAATCACCCCATTGAGGACTCTGGCATTGCGCTTCAACAAGTGGCAGCAGTTGAATTTCCGGTGGGAATTTGTTTGTTTCTGTCCTAGGATAACTGATCAAACCTAAAAAAGGTCGCGTTCCATAGCTTAGTTGGGTAGAACGGGGCGTTCTCCAGAGGGGTCATCGCTGCTTCTTCCAAAACCGTATCATGTATTTGCTCCATAATAAGGCAAGCTCTACGAAGGGCATCGTCTAGGGGCGTTGAAGATTTGGTGAGCATGCTCTGATTGAATGACATGCTCCGATGGGAGGGCGACCCCGCGCGAGGTTAGAAACTCCAGGGGCGAACCCTTCAGAGGGAAGAGCTGCGGTATTTCCCAGATCGAGCTCGTTTGATTACTCTGATCAAAAAAGTCATATCGAGAGCTCATCCCTCGATGGTCGTCCATCCCATGAGGTAGACTCAGTCAGTCGAGCTAGGATCCGAACAAACATATCGATCTAAATGCGATAGCTTGCATCGGGAGCCATCCATTGGATAAGCTAAGGCAGATAAGACTCCACTTCAGTTGATCCCATACCATCAGTGCGCATTACCACTCGCTCTTGAAAGGAGGCAATCGAGGAGCACTTTTGCGTTTTCCCAGCTGGGACGCTCCCTCGAGATCCCAGGATAGAAGGAGCCAGCGCAAGCTGATAGAACATCGGGACTTAGGATAGGATGGGTGAAAATGCGTATCATATCATTGCTGAATACGACCTGGCTGTTTGAGGGCATCTCGACGGCTACCAAAACCCAGAGAGAACTTCCGGGGGAATGGGACCTGGAAGGTCCTCCTTCCCTCAATGCCGAGAACTAAACGGCCCTAATCAAAAACTCGTTACCTTCAGTGTAGAGCTTCTCAGCATGAGCCAAGGCTTCTTTCGCAGTCATACGCAGTTTTCGAGATGCCAATTTTTCGAGACTGACAGTGTCCATTGGTTGGGGCCGGAACTTCGCTTTGCTCTTAGCTTCGATTGTAGAAATTTTCATATGAGGCCTCTGCAAGGAAATCGTCGGGAAGTTGACGGACCAGTGTTCCCATGTTCCTATTCTCTTGCTTGGAAATTGACACTCTTACTCCGCAACGAATCGGCTCCGGGGGGAAAATCGCTATATATAAATACAGGAGCAGCCTTCCCTCTACCGGAAGGATATGCATCGGCTCAGATTCCGGATGCCGTGACGGACGAAAATCAAGGCAGCAAAGGTAGAGATCACTCGTTCCAAATGACGCAATAAAATCCAATCTGAAGTCTACCGTCGATTCTGGAGCCGGGAGGCCAGACGGGAACGACGTGGGAAAAGCTCTGACGCTCTCGAGGAGATATTGACGGCGATACCAAGCAACATATCCCACCAGACATCGACGAGCGAAGTTTTCGTTCAATCGTTAAAGTCACCGAGACTCGCGAGGAATGATGCGCCTACGAGAGTCCGGCTTTTTGCTCTCCTGATATTGGGTAGACGGAGGAGGCGACGTCGTTGAGCAGATAGCACAGAAGATACAAGGCATCAGCGCTATACATAGATGTCTCGCTCCTGTGTTTTTTCCGGCGTCACTCTCCTCTTCGAGAGATCTGGTTTGCTGTGGGAAGTTTGTACGTACCTCTAGAAGCCGTTCATACAGGATCAGGGTGATCGAATGATCGAAGAGCCTGCCACGTTTCCAAATAAATTCTCCGTAGAGTTCGTCCTTGACGTGTTTCACTTCGATCTTATAGAACCTCTCGGCACGGAATTCATCGATTTCTTTGTATCTGCGGGGAGAATACTCCTTGAGATGAGTCGCCAGCCAATATCTGCCACCCTGACTCCACGATCTACTCGTTGCGGCATTCAATTACGCGTCTCCGAATATTTCCTTCCAAAGGTAGCAGGAATCTCCCCACCTAACGTTCATAAGAAAGGCGGAGAGCGCACCCGAGCAAAACGATTAGGGGCGGGGATCGAGGACCCACGCCACGGTTCCAGGAAATCGTCACGAGCAGCGGCGTTCATCATACCATCAATCGAGGATAAAACTGTTGCCCGAAGTATCCATCGATCATGGGTAGGGCAGAGGACCACTCAACTCCGAGGAGAATGCGTTCGAACGAGCCAGCGTCTGTTCGGAGGTGTCAAGTTCCGAAATTCGGGACCCACGGGAGTAGTCTAAATGTATGTAAGCCTTCTTGTCTTGATATATGTCTTCTCGTCATAAGCGCATTCAGTCAAAGCGCTCCTACACATAATATTTCCCGAGCGCTTTTAGACGGCACTGCCCGCATTCAGACCCGATTGGCTTGCGCATCAGCGGTATGAGGCGTGCTTCTGTCTGTTCTGCAGATTGCGAATGCAACGTCCGCTTGAACTGCCCTGTTCTTTCATGGAAATCAGATTATTCATGTGCAGATATCCACAAAGCGCAGAGATACTCCAATGAATAGGTATGTGGTCTCATCAAGCTCAAACGTTTCGCTCCCCCATCACCATGGTACGTGTCTACGCGTACGTGCATCTACGCGTCATAAAATTTGATGGGGATGAGAAGTTGAGATCTATATCCGCCCCCACTGTCGGAGCATTCCTGGATGCGGAGGAAAAGTCGCCCTACGGGCGCTGAACGGAGCCATGCCGGGATCCGGGGGCGCTCCCACCTCCTCCCGTTCTGCCAGAACCGGTATTGCCGCCAGATATTGTCGCAAATACAACTCTCTCCTCCGCCAAAATAGCGGATGAAACCGCCACGCTGAGCCTAGGTCATCATTTCCAAAGATCCTCGGTGGAGGAGAAGGTAATGATCCATGCCCAGACTCAACCCGAGTGTCATTCGAGCACTGAGCGACTTGGAGCACCGGAAGAGAAATTCCTCGCCGGTTGGGAGATTCTGCCGGAGCTTCTCTCACTCTTTGAGAGAGGGCAGCCGAATGTTTTCGGCGAAATGTTTACGCAAAGCTATTCGAACAGCCGCGGAGGGAGAATATTCGGAAATTTCTGACATGCGTTCTCCGACAACTTATTCGAATCATGGAATACATCGAGAATGACGTTAGAAACGTGCTCCGGGACCTCGTGGGAACAGTCATCAGAGAGGTACTTCCGCTCGATTATTGTCGTCGCGACTACGGCGTGTTCTTACTGTGCTGCAGTGAACGGTGTACTCATCCGTGACTATATCTTCTCAGCAGGATCCCAGTGTTTGCGATGCTCAGTCTCCGATGATCGTCGGGGAGCCTGATAGAGACTCAAGAATCGACTTGATACGTATGTCACACGGAATCTACGTCTTCGATCGGAACGGTGAGCTCAGCAATCATTTTCGGAGCTCCTTCCCCCTCTTCACGTGGATACACATTCGCCGCCAAACGATCCCGATCCCAATCATAATCTCAAATTGACTCTTCCAGACATACGAACCCTCAGACGAAATGAGCGGGTACTGGGAACGTTTTGCGGCCCGGCTCAAACGATGCCTTGTCATACGAAGTTGGCACCTCCTTTGAAACTATCTCCTGAGGAAGTGCGTCTTCTCCTGCTTACTGGACGAGCCCGTCTCGTTTCTGTTTCCTCAGAGGAAGGTATTCAACCTCAGGAGAAAATGAGAGCCCTTGACCTCTTCCAGAGGAAACTTTACGAGATTGCGGTAGGCCCCTTTAATCGAATGATAAATATCGGGTAGGGAGGTTCCTGGAACTCATAGACAACGAGAATCATTCCTTCATCTACCTCTAGAATCGGGAGCGTTACAAGGAGAAGCTCGAGTCTCTCTGTCTCGCACCACCTCGTCCGAATAGGACGCGGAGAAGCGATCGTCCACACCCAGATGCCGTGTCTTTCAACCCGAGTCCATATGATCCCGAGAAGCCTTTCACTGTACAGCTGGTGGACGACCCTTTCAAAGTTCTTGTCGAGGATGCTAAATCGCTCCAGCCTCGGGATTCGCTATCGGATATCAAGTTTCTCGTGTTCCACTATTTATATAGTCAGGGAAATTACGTCACTGGAGGGGCGAACTTCTCCGCGGATTTCCTCCTGTATGAAGGTGAGTGTTCGGCTCATTAGGGCGGGAGGCTGAAGCTCGACTTTCGATCGCTATCAAATTGAATTCCGTGCCTCATACCATCTTTCTCTTGAAGGTGATCCGTCCCGCTACCACGCTTACGCCTGTGTATATTGCTTGCCTCAGGATGGCAAGCTCTCAAGTTTAGACATCGTCCGCTACTGCCGAATCGGCTCGTCAGTGAAGAAAAACATCGTGATCGCCACAGTCGCTGAGGGAGAAGTCAAGTGTCTCACCCTGAATTGGGAAGCCTGATCCGTTATCGCAGCGACTATGAGACGATTTCCTGTAGATATCTTGTTCTGACTATCTGTACATAAATGACTGTCCAGTGGATGTGGGCTTCTAGAGGAATGGAGCGAAATATTCAGGAGTCCCGAGTCATTAAGATGGTCTCCTTTGGGATTCTCCCTTCATAGGAACGGATTCCTTCCTCTCACGGCTTCCGATTCCACTCAATTCAAACGAGCCCTTCTCGCGGGCCTGCCCGTCTCTTCCCTGAGCTCTCGGACAAAATGATGATTTTGATGACCGCTCAAAAATCAGAATGATTGATGAGGGATGACCCTCCGTATCCCCAAGCACCCGGAGAATGTCCGTCTAGAATAGGAAGCCGGATATTTTGAAAATTAATGGAGCCTAATTAACAAAGCCAAAGCGGAGGGCCGATTGGGGATATGCCAATCTGGCTCAGGGCTCTTCTGAACCCCGGATCGGGATCAGCACGCTCCAGGCACAGTCTTCGAACGCATGCTCCTCGACTACTCGCTAACCTTTCCACGACGAAACCCAGGGTTGGAAACTGGCAACTGCCGTAGCTAAGGACATTTGAGCGCGTCGCCGAGAAACGTCTCCCGACCCGCATGGTTTGCAATCTTGTGAAAGCCGCTCCTGGAAGAAGCCAGAGCATCTCGTGAACGCGTACTAAGTCGTCCGGCAAAATTCAAACTGCCGGTCTCGTGATTTGGAAGATTTCACGAAAACCCACCTATCCGGAGATCTAGTTGACTCCTGACGAGTACCGCGTAGTTCAGCAGCTGGTTGGGCTCTTGGAGTGAGTTCAAGGCACGCTCGATCGATGATCTCGTTATTTCGGAGAACTTTGCTCTCCAAACTGAGGTTCCAAACGAGAAGCTGAGCTGTTAGGTGTGGGAGAAGCCGCATAGCTGCGCCGCCGGTCGGAGTGTCTGCCGTACTCACCTCTGACATTCGGTTCAACTCTTTTGCATATGTCAATTATCTCGAATCCGATGGCCTCACCCTCGCGGTCGTTGTCCGTCCATATAATCAAATGCTTGCACCTTTTGATCTCCCTCTCGAGGGTACGACGTATCTGCTCGGCGGTCTCGGTTTCACATTTTTGAATGAGCGGGGCGTCGAATAAGACCAATGGATCTATGGAGTTCCTATGGATGTCGTGAGGCTCGCATTAGGTCGCGACATCTCATCGGTATTCATTTTTGCTCTCGTGAGTCTCAGCGAACTCCGCGAAGAAATTCTTCCGCGTCTCCAAGGTCGGTCTGAAGGAATCATTCTGCCGATCAGGCAAGCCATGGTCATCTCACGGTATACTCACCAGTCCTTGTATTGATCGGGGAATGCGAAGTTCAGTATGTGTCCGGACGCGGAGGTCATTCGAGCGCTGACGTTCGCTTCATTCCGGAAGTGCGGCATTGTGAACTCATATATTTTGTTGTAACGGCACAAGCCTGCGGAGTTGGGAATAGCTCATTCACACCGAGATTGTGAAAGAATCGATGAGGCATACAATTTTCGAAAGCGCAACTCGGTAGAGAGCGTGGACGGAAGATTCAGGCTTGCATCGACAGCTAGAAACTCTCATCTCAAGATCACATTCGTCCGTTCCGAACGGAGGCGAACGGTCTCGAATCCGGGGCTCCTGCCTCGAGCTCGAGTCAAGATCTCGGAACATCCACGACTACCTACGTCGAATCGCCTTCTCGAAGGAAAGCGAGTCCCGGAGCGCGCCTCTTCGTTTCGCATACGGGACGAGATGTCAAATCGAACGCTTAGCTTACCGTCGCAAGTACGATGATTCCCATTCGACAGAATGGCAGCGATGTTCTTGGCTGCATCATTTTTTTCGGCAACGTGAAGAACTTTCATTGTAACGATCTCACGGTTTCAGCTGGGGCAGGATTGGAACGACTTCTTGGGCATTACACTCCAGTAACCTATCATCCTCTGCTGACACCATGCTGCTCAATCTGCCATTGATAATCAGGAATGACAAGGTGGAACAAATCGAGATCGATTCACCAGATGATAAGGGCTGAACACATGTTCGTTTCCCGCGCAACCCATCAACTGCTGGAGGCGGCTGGTCTCTGTTCTTCATGCTGTCGTCTGCTACGGGTAAGAAGAAGAACCTGATCGGCGGCGCGGGGACCTTCAATCATCATGATTCCAGGCTCTAGTCGAATTAGTAGGAGTTACCTCCGCTCCCACACCTATGGACAAGATTTCAGAGTTTTCAGTTTTTCGCGAATGTTACTCAAAACGCCGATTCTCGTTGGAGAGGAGGAGGGGAGGAGCTCTCAGCGATGTGGACTCGGAGGTCGATGAGAATGACTTCTTCAGAATCCAACTCCCAGCTCTCAAATGAGCTGGAGAGTGCTTCTTCCTTGTCTCACCCTCATGCGAATGGCGAAGGAGGAGCAGGGAAGATGACAGATATAACAGAAAATAAAAACTCTCGGAAAGTCTGCGTGTACCTGTGGACTAACGGTGGAAATATGTCATCCTCGGTTGATCGGAGTCAGAGAGTGCTCGAAAGAGGAGAGGTCGACCAGGTCCGAGCGCCCGAGGACAACGCCCCTCCCGGTTGCCCCCGCCTATTGACGCCGCGGGTAACGGTGCCTGTGGCTTATATGCATCTTCAATGCTTGGGACTTGAGCTTTGGGGTAGAGCTCCGCGGCCTTCGAACTGGCCCGACATTTCTCGAGGATGGGAGTTGAGAGAGAAGACACTCACTGCATTCAGTTTTCTTGAGTCAAGAGAATAGTTTATTATAATCGATTTTTTAAAAGATCTACTAACCTAGTTCCGAGTTGCGAACTGTAAGTAAAGTGCTTCATCTTCTAAATACCTCAACTACCAATAATCATGTAAGAGGTGTCTGTTGTATATCACATCGTCTTAACTACTGAGGGAATACTGACGAGAGAGACATAGAGAAAAATTCCAGAAAAATCACCAGAAACATTCTTCGAATGACGTATGCACGTATTCTTAGGTGGTTTCTTCGGATTGTGATTTCGTCAGCATTTTGAAGCAAGCTCGACACACAGTAACGCTACGACCGCTCAGATGACCGGGTAACGCTAATTGACCATCGAGACATCGACCACAGTAAATTCCTCCGCAGCTCCAGCAATGGAATTTCCTCGAGGAGCAGTCAACTGGTAGCGCACATGGGCATTGGACGGGTTTCCTGAGTGACATCCATTTCAGGGCGACAGAACCCTTCTGATGTATGTTGTCGACTTTAAGACTAGTTTCGCTATCTGAAAACGATGAGAGCAACGATGATCGAGCGCGGAACAAACATGTATTCCACCTCACCAGACGAGCGTATATGCCCTCGGAAAACCAGGAATGGGAAAACTCAGAGAATCAACTCACCACAGTCAAGGTTCACGTTGTTACAGTAGGCAGTGTTGTCATCAGCCAAAGCCAACGGATGTTTCTGCTCGTCGGTATAGCAGCTGTTTTGATTCGAGAAAGTTTTTTTCTCGTGATCTTCGATTATGACTTCGGATTTCTCCTTGGTGACACCGAGTGGATCGACGTCCGATTCGTAGACAATGTCGTGAGCCAGCTCGTTCTTGAGCTGCTCGATCTGTTTCTTGAGATATTCAGAATGTTCTTTCATGCTGAGAGTATGGTCCCTCAGAGCCGATAGCAGATCTCCCGTTGGCTCTCTCGGATGTACGCCAGCTTCGAATCGGTTGTACATTCCTCGCCAGTATCGCACACCCTGCGAGCTCAGACACGGTTCCAACACCGCAGGAGTCGTCGAATCCTTGGTGTAGAGAGGATTCCGGAAGCTACTGATGTTATTGGCTAGATAGCCCCAGAGGGAGTAGGTCGTCGACGAAAGATCGAGTTCGCGTCGATCTTTTTCACAGTTGCCCACGAAAGTTCCGAATTGCGCAGAATAAGCATGATCGTGAACGATGATAAGGAAGCGCTCATTGAATTCGAATTGAGCGGGAAACTGTTGCATCAATTGCCACACTGCGTCAATGAATTGCGTAAAAATCGGAGCGACTTCTTTCGAATCACTCTGAATGAATCCGCACCGATCGATGAATTTGTGACCGAACGACAGCCAGTCTTTCTCGATCAACATTTGAAAGCCTTTGATGGTTCGGTAGTAAGGATCTAATAAGAGGGAGGCTAAGGCGCAAGTCTGAGCTGTTCTATCCCAGCCATCCGAACAATGAACCACAACGCTGATACCGAACTGGATTTGTCTGCAATGGGTCGACGGATCCGAATTAGAATGGTCGAACGGATCGGTGAGCTCGACCCGGACGACCGGCTCACCGTGTGATACAATACATGGGTTCCGAAACTCTGGCTCACCTCGAGACGAAATTGGCTGTTTCCAGAACTGCCCGAATGTGTTTCAGCCATCCAGATGATTCTAATGTGGCCAAAAAAGCGCCATAGTTCGTAGTCCGCATTTCGGCCGCGTCTAGAAGTTTACTCAGGGAAGCTCTCATCACGTGGATGTTCTCGATGGCATAGAATTGGAACTTTGCGTTCTCGTAAAACATTTCGCTCTCGAATCCTTTTCCCGCCATTCGTTGTGCGAAGGCGTTGACCTAACGGAACATACGTCATGATAATCGCGAGAATTCCTGCATGCTGCTCTCGAGTCTCGAGTCGAGGCTAAAGATGCATTCCTACACAGTAAGTTCGCCGAAGCACCATACCTTTGGTCGTGTGTCAACAATGTACAGGAAGTGCGCTTTAGGGCTGGGGTTGCTTTTCAGTATGCATTCGAAAACCTGCTCGTCCTCAGGACTGCGTTTGCCTGAGAATCCGGCCAGGGGTTGCGAACACCTGGAAAGTGATGCGGAGGTCAGGAATGCCCTCAACACTCGCCGCTTTCCGATTCGCTATCGATCGGCATCTTGAAGAGCGCCTCACCGTGTGATTGCTGCGCCATTGGCTTTATGGAAATAAGTTAGAACGGGCAGTCTTCCTTTAGAGCGAAATCTCGAGCATTCAATCAATTGCTGATCCTTCACGTTTGACGGTACGAATAATATCGATGGATATGTGTCGCAGATCTAGAATACGTGATCAATGGTTTTAGATCTACATCTACAGCTCCGAGTTTCGGCTCTGATGTCCTATCCAATTAGACCAAATCTCGAAAGCCACGGACCTGGTATTTTGAGTTTACATCGGATTTGCTCCAATATTTATTCGGGACACCCTGTCGGTGGAATTCTTCCTCGAGCGAGAAGAAGTCCCACCCCAAGGTTTTGGGCAAGTCCTCACTACATGCCGTATAATGGAAGCAGAAGAGTTCTCTGACGTGACCTGCAAACCCAACGACATTCTGATACTGGTGGCACATTTGTGGAGTTCCTGGGAACTCCGGCTAGAATCCATACGCCATCGCCTCTCTAGGCAGAGTCGACCGAAGAATCACCGATTCTCGATGGGTTCAAGTCCTCGCCCGGGTTCCACGTAGGTAGCAGAATGATCCTCATCATATGAGGCGGGTATCTTTCCCAAACTCACCTGGTTGAGACAGTTGCAATAGCGAGACATAGATATCGTGGCAATGTCTCTCGAATGGTACGAGGAAGGTTGCCGAGAGAAAATTTTTGCATCGGATTACCAGAGGGCAACCGTTCGTTGTTAAAGCTTGCTTTTCTACCGTCTGGAAAAGGGGGAGGAATTTATCACGTCGCAGAATGTGTGATGTAGCTTTGAGGAGAAAGATTTTCCGTCGCAATACCTGAATGTGCATGTGGAGCATCCATATTTCCCTCTTATTATCGGAAAATATGAGATGCGTCGTTGTCAGGAAAAGTGATCCCGCTGAATGTTTTTTTTCATTGAACCGATCCAACATTCGAACATTCTCAATCTGAAAGGTCAATCCGATGCCTCACTGACTAAGGACATTATAGCATAAGGCCATAGCAGCACCGGATCCTGATATTGCGAATCATGAGCCAACCATTCAGTACGCTCGATGGCCGCGCTCGATATCTGCTCGAGGCGGAATTGATAGATGGCAAATTACATTATCGACATTCCCTAGCATATACTCTCTTTCGCGTCTCTAGTCAGCCGCTCACTGATCCCGCTCACTCGCGACACAGAAAGCCAATGAGGAGTTATCCGCAGTCTTCCGCAAGATTCCGAGCGGGGTTTCCGAGAAAGCAAACTTTGAAGAAGGCGTATCGCCAGCCTATTGCCGAGCTAAGACCAATGGCGACGAAATCCGGGGAATCAATCCGGAGAAAGACTCCGATTCTCCGAGAACAGAGCCTCCTCCTACTTTGATCAAGTCCCGTACCGATACCCCGCTGATCGACTGAGCTCCGGAAGTTATCCCTCAGATCTGAGTCTGAGAGAGACCTGTCATCGAGAAGAGCAACAAGCCTCAAAAGAGTGTACCCTTTCTCGGTCTGAAGGTTCACTCGAAAGGAATCATGAATGGAAGAGTCCTAATTCGCTCATAGCGAGAGTCGAGAACCGAAGCGGTATTTGAGGGCCTTGGTATCGAGGCATCAGAGCTTTCCGTCCGAAAGATGGGATGCTCTATCTGATCGAAGTCAAAACAAGTGTCAGCGACTATAACAACCACCGCTCATTTTCAACTGCTCTATTGAGTTGGTAGTGTTCAAGATTCGCACTCACTTTTGGTATTTTTATCATATTCATTTTGAACCTCCACGTCTTGACGCTTCTTTGGGGCCGTCGTGGGAATTGAGTAATGTACGGAGTTCTCCGTACCTTTGTCCCGTATGCTCACTCGAACAGTCAGCCTCAATCAAGCTGCGCTCACTTTACCTCTGGACGCAGCCATGACAGTTCGAGCCGACAGATTCCGGTGCATGGAATTTCGCGGGATGGTTGACCCGTAGTGATTCTAAGTCCCAATTTACTTGAGCTGGATTCGCTGATTTCACCGTTTGCAGGGGAAAACTTCGTATCGTGAGGCGATAGATGCAACGCGCGGGGAGCTCTGAACAATGTTGAGGTCTCCGAGCTGGCTCACGAACCGCCCTCTGCTACGAGAGAGGACCCTATGCGACACCATGTGTCTTGCGACTTCGTGTCGTCTGCTACAACCACAACAGTGGCAATTCATTTGAGTGCTGCTGGTAGCTGCAGTGCTGCTGCCCCTTTGACAAGTACACGGCGTGTGAAGTTCTGATACGCCTCAATCAGTTTCCGCACCGATAGCACAATTCGCAATCATGTCAGAGTTCGGGAACAATCTGGAGGAAGATCCTGCGGCTGAATTCCTCGCCAGAGAGCAGGCGGATCTTGCGGGAATCGTGGACGAGGACGTGACAGCAGCCATCAATACTGAGCAGCTGCAGCAAACAAATGGTGAGATGGAGCTTTATGATGCATGGTGATTGCGCCGGTCGAGGGAGCGGTTGCGGACTCTTCCGACTTCACTTCGATCGAGTTGGCTCGTCGTTTGTGTGGCGGTCGTCTATGATTTGATAGTTTCGGGGTAGTTTCCGATTGTTTCGATTGCTTGGGGATCCTCCGTTTTACAGGTCACGAAAACGATGAAATAATGAACCATGGTACGCAGAATCTTCCGTTCAGAAACTCCTCATTTTGTTTCCGTTGAAGGAGAACTTCGCCCTTACGAATAATCCCGATCCGCACGGGTAGCTAGAGTAAACCCGCGACTCGGAACTCCTGTTCGAAACTTATCAGCCTTGCTTTTCTTGATCAGGTCTGCCGGAAACCAATGGGATCTCGGCTCATCCGGCTGTTCCTCGCGAGGAGCCGGAGAAAATACGCAAGTGGAGAGGCGAACAAAAGAAGCTGATTGAACAGAAAGGTGCGATTTCCTTCCGCTGTCGATTATGTTTGTCAGGAATCGATGCTTATTGACGGACTGAGACCATCGAGAATCTTACCAGGCAAGATCTAGATTCGGAATAACATTCCAGATGCCCAAGAGGAGGTCAGAAAGAAAGAATTGCGAGAAGAGGCGCAGAAAGAGCTCGAGGAGTGGTACGTCAGATACAGGGAACAAATCGAGAAGGCCAAGCAAACCAACAGGTGAGCTACATCAATAAGACGCATTGACGAATAATGAAAACAATCTGCGTTTGGACAACTCGGCGAGGGATCGAAGAAATTAGTCCATCCGATCTCCATCTTGTCGGATTTAACCTCCGAAATGGAACTCATTGTCAGTGGGACGCCGAGAGCTGGCAAGTTTCTCCCATGATCGTTGGCGCGAATATCGAAGCCTAAAGATGCTCATCCATAAAACTGACTGAGACTGAGTCGTGTATGAAAGATGATGTAGGATGTTGCGGCGATCGAGGAGATCTATAGCTCAGACAAATACTAACTAGTATCGTTTCCCATCAATCGTGTTAGGGAATTATCCAAGTAAGTTGGGTTTTTGGACGAGAGCGATGTTTTGAAATGTGCACGAGCCCCAGGCTTTGAGAATGTGTTTCTTAAAATACTCATATTCCCGGCTCTCGAGAATAGCTCTGAAAGCTAAATGGTGCCCAAGTCCGACGTACAGTGCTGCACGCGACGCCCCATACCATTTGATGTCCAGCGGGAGCGATTCAGTGACAAGACTGGATTGAGTCGAAGGACGCTGTCCTGCATGCCGAGTACCGTGTCAGTGATGGCATGCCGATGACCATGTCTGTCGTTTCCTCATTTTCTCTGAAAGTAGATTTTCCATACAGTCGCGACGACTGATCTTGGATTCCGTAAATGCCATCGAACTCTACCAAGCGATCGATTTGGTTGTACCTACTTAGACGTTTTAGTAATTCCTCCGTGTGATGTCCGTCGAGAACTTTTCTCACTCTTCGGCTCCGGACTCGTTGAGACCACATCTGATTGACTCGCTCAATTCTTACAGAAACGCTGAGAAGGAGTACGTTGCGGAAAAATCATCGAAGGGAGAAGAATGGGAAGGTATTGCGAAAATGTGCGATTTCAATCCAAAATCAGCCCGGCATACGAAGGACGTATCGCGGATGAAATCGATGATCCTGCAGTTGAAACAGGCCCCACCCAACACCACGTCGAAGGCGTAGAAACCTCGGATCGGGAAACTTTTTTCAATCTTAGAGTTCCTTGTGTTCGAAGTAACTCGCAATCATAACCAGACTGAATTCGTCAAGTGAATATGATAAGAGCCAAAGTTTACTAGACTAATACGTCTCCTACGTATTACCCAATATTCTAAAATTTTCCCGCCTCACGGAGTGCTCTTAAATTTGTGCAACAGTCTCTAGCGTAAATCGAATTACTGAAGAAAATAAATGACTTCGACAGCGTTTTTCACGACGTAATATAACAAGTCCGCTCATTGCCAAGCGCCGGAGAGCGATATGCAGAGCATCTGAGTCGGATAGCCCCCGTTCATGTGTCTGGATATTCTGGAGCACTTTGCAACATCTGGGAGCTGAACCATTCGATCCAGCCTCAGAACAAGGCGCATTGCGGTATCGAAATTAATCCGCAGAGAGACTTGGTATACTCAGGCAGGCACCTGAACAATTCGCACGCAGTCAACGTCGAAGTCGTCAATCGCCAGGAATGTAGAGCGAATGTACTTACCTCTTCATCGTTCCCTCATATTGTCACTCGAAGCGCTAGTCGTGAAGTCTTACCCGGAGCTGTCGGGAGGTAAACTATGACACAAGGGCCCGAGAGGAACGCCTTCTTACAACCTTCAAGCCAACCGCTCATTCACAAGTCGGAGAGTTCATCTCTTTGTAGGAATATTCATTGTATGAGGGGCTGAGGGGGTATTTGCATGGGAAGTATGACATCTCGCATCAAAGTACATAATCCATGACGGCGAACGCCTCACGGGACGGACGGAAATATCTCCGATTCTGGAACCGCCTCGATGAACGTCGCGGGGGTACTCCCGATGGTGCCGATGGCGCAGTGCGCGAGGCCGCGGAAAATTCCGTGTTCCGTTGTTGTGAGCATCGAAATATCTCCATCTACACCTGATCTCAAGTAGCGGCTCATTGATCGCGCTGAGTGCTGCCTCGTCCCGGCGGAGCACTGTCGAAAATCTCCTTCGGGGGGGAACGACAGAAGGGAAAGAGACACCTCGAGAAAATTCGTTTCGAATTCTCTGACTCATGTTTATTTTGATTTGTTTGACAAGTCATTTTTAAAGCCTACGGTATACCTATGTACCTCATAGGGTGTACCATGAATGAAAATACACAAACCTTCCCACAAAGATGTCATCTGATTTTCCGGCAGCAACATAATTATAAACTGTCCCGAACACTCAATTATTTGTCACGCTACAACCGACATTGTCTACTAGCACTTTTGCTCTTCTATTTGCACGCTCACGCTTTTCCTCTCGCGAACTCTCCGTAGGTCCATTGTCAATCCTCTCTCTAAGCTTTTCTAAATCTACTCCTCGCAATCAGACCAATTCAGAGCCTCCAAAATGAATGCCCACCCTTCAAAATCGACTGCTCTGATTCCTAGAGAAGCTCTTTTTCTCGAAACTTTTACTCTGAGATCTGTAGAGACGGCATTCATCCGTGTGCCGCTCGTCAACCATCTTCATGTATTCCTGAGGTACACAGAGCTCCCTAAACGAGTCAAAGAATTCCTTGTAGCCACCTTTCAAAATATATACTTCTGGATAATGGAGTTTCGGATACACGTTGGTCTCACGATCTTTCTCGCGCAGGTATTGAGACATTTTCGGACCTCTCTCCGAGGAGAATTCACAATGAAATATGAGAATGTCTCTCTTTTTGCTGCGAGACGTGGACGGAACGAGCTCGTCACTGTTTTCCGAGCTCTCCTCGTGATTGTTCTCGAGGTACTCCTTGAATATTTGTTCCTGAGTGTAGAGATTCTTCGCGCCTCGGATGTGCCCACCGTCAAACTCATAGGGCCACCGGCAGTCGATGATTTCGAACGAGTTGACGACTTGGTCGAACTTGCCATTGAGGATATCGCATAACGTCTGTACGGATATCGTCGGCAGAGCACACCGTTTATGGGCACCAATAGTCGGAAGAATCTCTACGGCGCCTTTATCGATCACATCTTCAGCGGCTTCGCGATCGATATTGGACTCGCTGTAGAATTTCGGAATCTTCGGCATATTCGTCCGCTCGGCGAGGCAGAGTCGTGTCCGTTTCGTATTCCGATCATCATCGTCAGACCGCTTCGACTTGATCGGAGTCTCGTTGTTATAGCCGCCAGCGTTGAACGACAAATTCCGACGCGCGGAAGGTCCCACCCTCCGACTGCAGAGATCCTTTACGGGCACGTTGATCGGTGCTGAAAGGAGTGAAGCCAGAGCCGCATCCGCCGGCTCCCTGTTCTCCTTGTTGGCGTTGTCGTCTTCGTCGAGACCCACTTCGTCCAAAGCGAAGCCGTCGGACGTTGAAGAGCAGTAGCCCTGGGAGGAGTTTTTCCGTAGAGAGCTCTCTTCTTCACCACCCTCTATCGTGCCAGCACTAGGAATGCCGCCGCTGCTGGTGCTGCTGGTGGTGCTCGAACTTGCGTCGCCGCTACTCAGCTCCAGGCTCGGACGTTTGAAAAATCTCCGGCTCGACGACGAGGGAGTCACCCGATTAATAAAGAATGGCGATTCGTGGTTGATGGATTTGTTCACTTGGGCCAAAATAACCCGCCGATGGAGATTGACAGTTAATGGCGACGGTTCCGCTTCGCTTTCCGAGCCGCAGTCGGAACCAGGGGTGAAACTCGTTTTGAGGCGGAAACTTCCCGCGGTATCAGGAGTGGCGTTGGCGGCCTTTTTGAGCGCCGAGGGCATTTGCGGAGTGCCCACCCACGTATCACCCAACGTTCGTAACGTCGTGAGGTTTCGGGAGAGGTCTGTGATGGGTGACACATTTTCCGAGGACGGACACGCGAAATCCTCCATGGTTTATGAATGCACTCTCGGATACGATCTCGACTTCAGTGACGACGAAAATTCTCACCGGCCACGGCTATCAATTGCAGTCGCGATCCATCCTGGTCCGGCGGCTTCGAACGAGCGATTTGAAAACAGAACTGGAAAACTGCGTTCCCCCGGAACGGATTTTCGCACAAATCGCCTCTCAGCGCTCCCTGACGCTCCGAGAAGCACGCCTGGTCGGTGACTGAAGTTCGTACACTGAAAATCTTGTCATGGAATGGCTGTCTCCCGAAAACGAAGCTGTTCTCCTCCGTGGGTCGGCCTCCTTGCTCGCGGGCTGCAGCATTAGTTAGATATGGAAGCAGTTATGGCGCAGGCGCCAATCGAGGGGCGCGCTTTTCAAAACTCGTCGCGGCAGCTTCGAACGCTGCGCGCGAACTTCAGGTGAGAGCTGTGCTCTCGACCCTCACTGAGGAGGTTCGCGCCGATCAGAGGAGCCAACGGAAGGGTTGCATGCGACCTGAGTGAACTTCTTGAATTTTCCGGAATTTCCGCCTAAGATTAGCTGGGCTAAAGGTCCGGCCAATACTGCTCCTATTGAAATGAAAATTTGATCCCAACTTCGTCGAATTCGGATCTGATTCATCTCTCGAAAGCTCCTTCGAACCTCTCTCGTCAGTCTCCCGGGCCCATCCCGGGATATATTCGAGCGTAATTTTTTTCTGGACGCGAGGCCCCCGGAAAAAACGTCCAATGCCTACGGACTCCAGGAGAAAAACGCGGTGGTGGCGTCCGTTCAGGGCGCGGCTGCCGCCGAACCGAAGAGCAGGCGGCGAGCGGCCGCCGACGACCGACCGACCGGCTAGGCGACGACCAACGCCGCTCGAGGAGAAATAACAACACAAGCTGCTGCTGCTGCCTGCTGTTGTTGGTACCGCCGTCGCCGCCGTTGTCGCTTGGAACTACATGAGGCGTCCATCATCATCTCCTCAAAATCCGAGAAGTTCTATCCTGCGAAGAGGGTGCCCGCAGGATAATCCATCATTAGTGGATCGAGTGATTTGTCGTCAACAAACCGGGCCGGAGTACAAACAAGTGGCGGGCGAAAACTTCTCTCTTACGGGTTGGACATCCATCGTCTTCGCCGGTGGACTGCTTCTCTTCGAAACGAGCGCGTCGCTGTGTGGGACTCTTAATTCCTGATCGCGTTCTCTTCTGTTCGATGCGGTTTAAGTGAAAATTCGCCCTTGTTATCACGTATCCGGCGACGTCGGATGCAGCTGTTGTGTTTCTACTTCGGTGAGTAAATTGAGTTTTGCCTTAGAGTTTCCACACTCGAAACGCTTTCGCTGAATATCTGCTACGCTCTCACCACCGCTAGCGTCACGTCGGATCCGAGGAAAACCGAACTCGCCGTCCAATCGGGACGCAACTTACTCCCGGCCTGCTGACCGGAGTCGACGTACAAAAATCGTTCGGTAAGTGAGCATAGAGTTCAGTGCTAGTAAAAGGACTCCCTCGGACACATGTAGAGGGCTCAGAGCGCGTGTTTCGAGCTCACGGATCATGGCAGCTCCACGCAGGGAAGGATCACCCAGCACACCGGGAGGAATTTTACCGTTTGTTGCATTGGAGCACGCTGTCATATCCTCTGTGTGCGACAAGTTCGATCGAAGAAAAAGCGAGACCGGGACACCTCGCTAGTCTTGAATCGTTAACCCACCCCTGAAGAGGCGAATGGCGAACAATCCCCTGTCGACTCGAACCCTACTGCTTTCGACTGTGAAGGCGAACGTTTTCATATATTACCATTTCTTTAGTTGAATGAATTGCTTCTCCATTCAATCGATCGATCTTTCGTTGAATCAATTCGCGAGAACCCGTCGAGTTTAATTCAATACACTAGGAACGAAGCGCACTTTATTGCCCTTTCGATTGGGTTTATCTAAAAAAAATACGGTCGCTCACGACTGTGTCTAAAGTTCCGAATGTCGCCGCCGGTGGACTTCTTGCTTTCTACGCCGGAGATTGAACCCGACGCAGCCATGAGTAAGCAGCCCCTTCGAGTGTCATTGCTTTACATATGTCGTTCGGGGCGCGATCGCTCAGACGGACAGATCGATCCGGCGAAAAAGATCGCGCGTGAGAAGGAGATGCTGTGGAAGAACTGCGGAGAAATTTCCTGCGGTAGTCCACTAGAAAACGATCTTAGCGGTAAGGCATGCCCCACCCGATTCGTGAATGTGCTCAGGCGAGCCCGAGTCGGGAGGTACGCCGAAGTCCCTCCTCCGCAGAGAACCGAGTCGAAGGCATTGGAAACAACGTCGAGATCTGAGATCTGATTAAGAGCATCTCATTCGGACGGATCGCTGCCCGGGCTCGGGGAGTCTGAGTACGTGTCCGGATAAGAGAGCGATGATAGCGCTCAGCATGAGGCCCGGAAGCAGTACGTATCATATTTTCCTTAAGCAGAACGATTGGATTCGGCAAAGTCCTCGTTTTCTAATAGTATGGCTCGATCAGAGGATTGCTCGTCCGATGGCTGGCTCGTGGGTCGGTCGGTGGGACGGTCTTTCGGTCGTTCGCTTGGATGGTAGGCAGGCGGACTCGCTGTCTGACTAGCAGGTTGGCAACGAAGGGGAGAGAGACGCATCTCCAATGAGAGAAAGAGACTCAGTGAGGGTAGTCGGTCGTTGACCCGACGTCGCCGGGAGCCAGCGTTCGTTGGGAGAAGACGTCGTTCCCGCTCCGCAAGTCGAGTCGCAGTACCCGCTGCACCAAGTCGACGGGACGTGAACACCTGCATTTCTGTCGTTCGGCTCTGACAGTTTGCTGCTGCAGAGGAAGCGTTCGGTCAGTCCACCCAGTAACTGACCGACCTACCGGCCGGCCGGCAGGCGTCCTGAGCGGGAGTGTTGTTGTCTGACGTGTTGTTATTATTGTTGTGGCGGTAGTCGAGATTGGTCGTGGTTTTGACGGCTATTAGTGGCTGCTGATTTCTGTTATTGTTGTTGCCGACCGAACTCGTGGAAAAGTGTTTCCTTCCGACCAGGTGTCGCGACGACTGATGGAATAATTGCTTTGCCACCAGAAGAGGCGTTCGATACTCCTGTTGGATATCCACCGAGTCCGTTCGTCTTGGCCAGATTGGCGGCGCAACGTTGAATCTGATTCTCTGACGGGACCCGCGTTGACTCGTCCGGAGCGTTGTTGTTGTAGCTGCTGCCGTCGTTGCTATTGCTGCTGCCGTCAGAGCCGCTGTTGCTGCCACACCACCCGATATCGCTAACAACGACAACAACATCAGTGACAACAAAGTAGTCCGAAAGAAGTTCTAGCCGTACTGCCCGTAGTTGAAGTTTGTGAGCGATGTCAGTCCAGCTACCGGTCGGCTTTAGTGTTCGCACTGTGCTTCAATCACTGATATGAACATAAACGAGTCTTGTGCTGCAGTTGTTGTGTGTCCGTCCGTCAGTACGTGAGTCCGCCAAACCATCTCGACGAGAATATACTGTGCTACGAGAGTGCGCGAACCTCGAGAAAATTCTGCGTCAGAATCGAAATCTCTTGGTTGGAGGATCTGGTGAGTTTTTATCGAGAGTGAAACTCCAGCCCATAATTATCTCAATTCGCGCCCGGAGTTCTCTGCTGTGTCCACAGAAAATAATTTGAAATTGAATCGCCAAGCGAATGCTCCCTCAACTTGGTGGGGACAGCGTCCCTTCAACGTCCGAGTCCTTTTTGCTCGGCTCAAAACTACAAAACCCAGAAATTCCGAGCCGGGGAATAACCGACAGCACGCCATACTATTACAACGAGACGTTGGTAGAAGCCGAACGCAGAGGTCGTTAAACTTCAGAAGCGTGGCCAATGAACCATTCTGTTGCCTCCGCCGCTGCTGCTGCTGCCACCACCACCACCGCTTTTTTCTGCTGCGGCTGGCAGTGGTAGCCGGCTGGCTCTCCGTTCCTCTTGAAGAACCAGCTCTTTCTGGATCGTCATCGCGGCCGAAGATGGTGCCGATCCAGCGGCGGCGACCGCTCGAGCCGACGGGATGACTGACCCACAGACAAAGGGACGATGAACTTCGGCTTTTAACGCTGCAGAAAAGCGTTTGAAAAAAAAAACGTTCTCGTGTCGCGCAGATATGTATGCTGATCGGAAGAGCGCAATTCTGTCGCTGATGCAAACATATTTGCCAACACGCAGATACCTCGACGGGAAAAATCGCTGGGCGACGCCCGCCCGCCGTTTGCCCGCTTGCTTGCTTGCCCGGTCAGCTTCAGGCCGGTCGAGGTTATTGCCTCCTGTGGAGAGGGTAGTGAGTGCGGGGTGGGCTCAGTTCTCCTCCGGAGATGGGGACGCTTTCGGGATGGGGGCGAGATGCCGCCGGTTCGGAGAAACCCGTCCCACCGCACTCCACTCCGCACGGTTATATATAGCTGCGTAAATGATGCGTCGGAGCGCCCTCTACCGAGGACGTTGCCCTCCATCCAATGAACCTGTTGAGTAATGCCAGGGGTCCTCCCTCCTTGCATCATTTCCGCAAGACGACATCTCCTCGAACTTCAAGCACACGTCCGAGTTCCCAAAACCGTATGCGCTGCCACCGGCCCCATGAAATGACTGACACCTCGCGTGTCGATGCCTACATGGTCGGAGGATCGGCCCCGGGCCGATGTCTCAGAGAGTTCGAGGCAGTTCCTCATTCGAGTGAATTCATAAGGAAACGGGACGGCCATGCTTCTCATAGAACACCACGTGGTCCTGAAAGTTCGGACTTCGTAAAATTGGTCGTCGGCAGTCCAGACAGAGCTTCTCCGCTTCCTGGATGAAACATGTAGAGGAATGCTCGAGGAAACTCAAATCCTTCTTCTTCCCGCAGCCTTACTCGCGAATCCCAGGACAAAGCTGAGTGACATCCGCGGGAGACCGAAAGGCCTCGTCTCTAAATCTATTCAGAACGTCTTCACTTGCCAAAATGCCCGAGCAAGAAGGAATCGACGTTTCTTTCCTCGAAGCACTCAACTTCAACCGGAGTAGTCCCGCAGAGGTACTTTCTAAAATTTCCGAGCGATATCGAAATACGGGTAAGGAGACGACTTTGCTCAAAGAAGAATGTGAATTGCAGGGTAAACTCTCCATCGATAGCCCTTCCGTGGGCTCGCCGAATCTGAACTCGCCGTCGTCGTCTCTAACAGGAACTCCCACGTTTGGTACGGGGGAGTCGCTTAACGACGGTCTAACAATCTCTTCGAGCCGTGAACAATTGCAAGCGCCGCGTCAGACACATTGTGTTGAGAATAATCCGAATCTGATCAAATGTGGGCTCTGTCAAGACACTTTCACCATTCCGAAAGTGTTGTCGTGTTTACACACGTTCTGTCAGCCCTGCTTGGAAAAGGTGAGTTGGGAGAATGATCTTCGGCGCCTTATGCCTCCGGTGATGGGCGTTCTCGATCGAATACCTCCTTGCTCGTAGTGCGAGAGCTTCGTCGCTGACGGAAACGATCTCATTCCTTACAGGTACAGGAATCGAATGAAGAAATCAAGTGCCCTCAATGCGGGAGTGAAACTCATCTGCCGCCGTCGGGAATATTGGGTCTCTTGAGCGACTATGCCGTCTCGAACATGCTCGAGAACGCCGCGCTGGACAGCGAGTCGCATTCGTGCACATCGTGCAGAAGCCGCGAGTCCGCTGCAGTTGCGCGCTGTTTCGACTGCGCCAACTTCCTCTGTCCGAACTGTGTCATGGCCCATCAATTCATGCATTGTTTCGAAGGTCATCGAGTCAGCACATTATGTGAGCTCAGGAACTCCAAGGACGCTTCCAGTGCGGCCGGTGGAGGGAGCAGCTCAGACGGGGGTGGGGGCGGGGGAGAAAAACCCGTCTACTGCACTCGCCACAAGAACGAAGTCCTCAACCTCTTCTGCCACACGTGCAACCTGCCTATCTGCGGTGAATGCACGCATCTCGACCACCCGAAGGGCTTGCACGACTACGATCCGCTGGTGGACGTTGCGCACAAACACGTCGAAAGCCTGACGAATCTCGTCGATAAGGGTCGAGTCAGGAGCCGAGAGCTGCAGAGCTCGATGAAAACCATCGAACAGACTCAGGACAAGCTCCAAGTGGCCTACCACAAAGCTCAGGATGAAGTCGGGGCGACCTTCCAATTCTACAAGTCTCTGCTCGACGAGAGGCGCGCTGAAACGCTGAAAGATCTCGAGAGTATCTACGAAACCAATGTCATGAACGTTGGTGCTCTACAGAAAGACGTGCAGAACGCCATCGATAAGATCAATCGCGTGTCGGATTTCGTCGAGAGATTGACCAAGTTCTCATCCAACACTGAGATCATGTTGTTCAAGCAATTGCTCGACTCCAAATTCCAGGCCATCCTGTCGTATCGTCCGGATGTCAATAGCGCGGAAAACACCGACTTCGAGTTCGTTTCGAACTACCAGGCGATCCAAGCCGCGGTTCGGGTCACCTTCGGTTACGTTAAGCAGCATGGCGACACCGCCAGCAACCAAAACGGTCCGAAAAACGCGAACGCATCAGAAAATATTCTCGCGATCGATAGTTCAGCGACAACGATCCCAACGTCGTCTTCGTCGTCGGTTTTGACGTCGTCCCCGATCACCACGTCCTCAATGACCAAGACCATCGCTCCGATTGGCCGGCCAACCGGGGGTGTCATCGGTGCTGAACGTCTCATGAACAGCAACAATAATAGCAGTAACAACAATAGCAAAAACCATCACAACAACATGAACAACTCTCTCAATTCCAACTCTCTTGGTCTCTCCTCATCGACAACAATGACAGCGATAACGAACCAGCAAAATCATCTCGCTTCCTCGGACTCGATGTTCAACTGCTCGAACTCCAACAACATGAACTCACTCAGCTCAATGTGTCTCACGAATACGTACAGTAACACTCTGTCGTCGACCGCAATGTCCGGCGGTAATCCGACGATCTTCGATTCGAACACTCTCACGAAGCGCCTTTCGTCTGCGAGCAGCCTAGGGCCTTTCTCAACTTCTCTCGATCTCAACCCGTACGAGAAATGGTCGACGGGTGGTTGCGGCGACATTTTCAACACCAGTCTCATCGCATCCGGGGGCAACACGGTCTCCCCGGTCAACGACTATCCGCTCACACCGGATTCGGTCGGGATGAACTCCGTGGTTGGCAGCGGGGTCCTGACCCCCTCGAACTCGATCGGCGGAAATTCCGTCGACCTGAGCTCGAAGTTCGTGCAAAGTCCAGCCTACCCGCTCAAATCTCAACTGAAGCGCCAGAAAATGATCTACCATTGCAAGTTCGGCGAGTTCGGCGTCATGGAGGGACAGTTCACAGAGCCGTCCGGCGTGGCCGTCAACGCGCAGAACGATATTATTGTGGCCGACACCAACAACCACCGGATCCAGATCTTCAATAAGGAGGGTCATTTCAAGTTCCAATTCGGAGAATGCGGCAAGCGTGACGGTCAACTGCTCTATCCGAACAGAGTTTCCGTTGTCAAAACCTCAGGGGATATCATCGTGACGGAACGCAGTCCAACCCATCAAATTCAAGTGTATAATCAGTATGGACAGTTTGTGCGCAAATTCGGTGCCAACATCTTGCAACATCCACGCGGTACGTAGCATGAAAGCTAGCCGTGGATCGTTTTCTCTAATGATCGATCTGTCGTTTAGTCAGTCTGTCATTCAGTCGGTGAATAAGCAAGCAAGCGAGCCGAGCGCTGATTGATCGATCGATCGATTGAATTTGTATCACCTCGCATGCATTTGGTAGAAATTACAATCGTTTGATTCTATCGGATTGAACTCATCTCGGGAACCGTTGCGGTGATCCTTCGTGAACTCACGGTGGTCGCGTGTTTGTTTTTCAGGAATAACCGTGGACAACAAAGGTCGCATTATTGTGGTTGAATGCAAAGTGATGCGAGTCTTGATCTTTGATCAGAACGGAAACGTTCTCACGAAATTCGGTTGCTCAAAACATCTCGAGTTCCCGAACGGCGTCGTTGTGAATGACAAACAAGAGATTTTCATTTCTGATAACCGCGCCCACTGCGTTAAAGTTTTCAACTATGAGGGCGTATTCCTCCGGAAGATTGGAGGAGAAGGCATCACCAACTATCCCATTGGTGAGTAGGCCAGTGCTACAGGATTCTGACCCGGCAGTCAATCAAGAGACTCGATCGGATATCTCTGACTTGAAATTCCATCGATACTGGTGGCATTCGAGTGTGTGACGCCAGTCGTTTCGCGAATTCTTTGCGCATGCTGAATTTTCAAGGTTTACGCTGTCCTACCCGTACTAAATCCTCTTTCTCTCTGTCCCGCTCAGGCGTCTGTATCAACCAACAGGGTGAAATATTAGTCGCGGACAATCACAACAACTTCAACATAACCATCTTTACGCAAGATGGCCAGCTCGTTAATGCTCTCGAGTCGAAAGTGAAACATGCGCAATGCTTCGATGTCGCGCTTATGAACGACGGCAGCGTCGTCCTCGCATCAAAGGACTATCGTCTGTACATCTATCGCTACCTCCAGGTGTATCTTGTTTAAGTAGATGATTAGTGCGAGTTCTCAACTCAACGAAAGATTGCCGAATCTATGCTGGTTTACGCAGATGATGATGTGCGACCTTGGGAAGATCGACGTAGAGAATTCTCTCTCAATCTTCATCCACGCACGTCTGAATGACTGTGTCTCCTTCTCTTTTATTACCTTATTAGTTGATATCTTGCATTGCGAAATGCAGCAGTATACGATAGATTTAGTTGTTCGAGCTTTCGGGCTGCCTCACGCGAATTTGAGGCGGTGGAGCGGACACTGGGTGAAGTTATTCGTCGAAGTCGTCAGTGACCAATAGCTTATCCCCCTCTCGCTGAGCGATTGTTGTCATCCCTACCTATGGAGAGGGAGCGCTCGGGGAAGCAATAGGATGCAAGCCGTATATGAAACGTTGAACTACTATTTTTTTCTCAATTGATGTGAAGAACAGTTTTGCACTCAATTCCTCACGATCTTCTTGATTTCCTCCGGAGCGATGTCAATGACGAAGATGATAATGCTGACCATGTTGTCGGGAACGACGATCATGATGACGAACAATCTCTCATTCGGCTACGAAGTGCGTCGACCCTTTGAGTCGGTGCGCTGATCTTCAGCTCGGTGGCGAGCCGCAGGAATTCCTCTTTACCCAATTATTCCGCTCCCACGATTTCTTGAGACGAGCTCGATGGCTTCTGTAGGCTACTACATACACGATCGTGGCTGCTCAATTCCAAAATGAAGCAGATGGTTGATTTTTCATTTTTGAACAAACAAGCATATAGAAACTTTTACTCGTATGCGAGACCCTTATATACATGCAAATAACACCGAACGACTCTCGAGGAATGTAGGAGAGTCCTGTGCAGATGTTTGATTGTTCTGAAGCAGATAGCAGGTGTTGGATAGCCGAAGGAGTAAGTTGTTGCCGGACGGAATGGTTCCTAGAAGTTGAATCGATTTCTTTACTTTTTTCTTAGCCACCTGAATCATGTTACGACTGACTCGAAGACTCCTGAGACGATATCCCCCTCATCACCGGAATTTTCCTGATGATTGAAAGAGAGTCGATATACATTAATCTGTCTGCCTGTCTGTCCCCCTTCTGTTTGTGTGTACGCCGTGTGCCTACTCTTTCATTTCGTCTGTCAGTATTTGCGCAATCTCCTCCCTACGAACATCCAGATCTTGTTCAGCCCCAAAATCTCTGGTGCTGCTTGTTGCTCCAGCAGGGAAAATGTTGAAGGATTGTTGCCGCTCACGGAAACTGTTTGCGACTCATGTTGACTGGAGTTGCGCCTGCTCTCTTGGCGATCTAGGGGCTCCAAAGAATTCCTTCACAATGTTGAGATCGATCGACTGAATATACTATCATCGGAGACGGCGGAACTCGAAACGTCACTTTTTATCAGCGCCTATTAGCTGGTTCTGGCGCTCGAGCCGCGATGGTCGATGCTGTGGTTGTCGATGCCATCGGTCGGACCCCAGCTTGAAGTGACGGATTTTCCAGGAGAGAAGGCCCGTCATCTCGACACGGTTCCCTTCCACTCCCTAATAATAATTGTTCCCGACATGGACACGAGTAGCTCGTAGTTAAAAACCACGACCTAGAAATGTACAAAATCACGAGTTCGACTCGACTGTATTTACTGTTGTTGAAGAAGCTCCCTATCCGGAGCTGCTCGCAGCATTCCGCACATTCGGCGACCACAGCAACGCTCCTCGCAGCATCGGCAATAGCAACGGCTGATGAGTTCCGCGTGAATCATGCTGTATATCTACTGATTCTCGCTGAATACTTGGTATGTATCAGTCACGATAGCGATCGATCCTCGAAAGGATTCGATTATATTTGAATCGCGCGAATATCTGTTCCTCAGAACTCTGTAGATTCCTTGTTCCTGATCAGTTGTCTCTTCTGCAAAGACGATTCTGACTCCTTCTCCGCTGTCTCGTCTGAATCCTTGTGGTAGTATGGCCTCAGTCGAACACTCTGGACAGTGACCAGGATCCGAAGGATTTTTTCACCGTATTTGGAGCTTGGAGCTTTTTTTCGCGAAAAGCTCCCTGACGAGTCGTAATCTCACGAACGACAAGGATCCGAATACTCGGAAACGACGAAATACCAACGATGATCGAAGGAACATACAGCAGCAAGAGAGAATAGGAAAATACGACTACGATAATTTTGATCATGAAGAATGATTTCACCGACGTCGAAGACGATGCTGTCCATAGTTGATTTTTTGCTTACTTTCTCAATTGTTGTGTGTTCTACTAGGTTTTTGGCAGCCTTTGCCATTCCTCGTTATGTTATCTTTTCTGTTTCTTGCCTGAATACTGTTGGGCGATTTCGAGTGCGTGCATGATCACGATCCCTGACCGATCATTACGGATACATTTATTTTGAATACCATTATCACCATTGCTATTATGAGGGTTTTTTGGCGTATTCATCAACTTTAAGAAGGTGCTGGCTGAGTTTGCGCGGCTTCATGATCGAACATGTTGCCTATCGATCAAAATTGATAAACTTCAGCTACGGGTCGGTATGCATTCATATTTATTTCACCATGGTTAAGGATCGTTAGACATTTCATATCCGTGAATCTTCGGGAACGGATTCGAGCTATTATAGAGAATCTTCGTTGAAACAAGGTAGTTATGGTGATTTCGGTGTACCGGTTCAATGATGCTGTCGTTTACTCGCACTCAAACCAAACATGCGTGCACCAGTTGTCCCTGGATTGATCCGCCTCATGGCCTTCATCAACAGAGCGGGTTCCCTGCTTCTGAGTTCGTTCTTGGAAGCTTGAGATGATTACAGTCCAGGGATATCTTAGAAACGCTTAGAAATGCACGAGGTGCAAAAGCTCCGCGTGGCAGATAGCGACTCCCGTGTAAGTTTCTGTTAAACAGTAGGAGGAGTATTCATACAGAGTTTGCTCCGCGATCTGCTCTCTCAGCGTGGTCAGAGCCAGAGGAGGTCAAGATTCTTCTGCTCGCCGCTCTACCGACGATCAGGCGGGCAGACGAATGGAGCGACTAGACCCTCGATTTCAAGTGACGCAATACTGATTTGAAGCGTCAGAGCCCACCTGGGAGAAGGCTAGATTCATTTAATGGACAGACATCAGTTTTCCTACATACCCACCCATTTTATATTGGTGTTAGTTTTTACGGATTGTTGTGCTCTTATCCCGAATCCCATATGATATTCTCATTGATTGAAATAATAATATGACAGTTCGACTATCGATATCGGTAGTTCAGGTTGTATTGAAATAAAGCATTATTGTCTGCTTCGACCAGGGGAGCTCGTAATTGGTGTCAAATCAAAGATTCCGTGAGGACTCTGAGGCTTTGAACTCATGAACCTTTCGCCACGCATGAAGCATCGACTTCATTGCCGCGTTCCTTGTGTTCCGCGAACGGGAAACTTCCAGGGGGACCGGACGATTTCCTTCCTCAGTTGGAGCTCTCCCCCGTAACCTCATAATGAATGATGCCAGCGCTGACTTCCTTGAGAATCTGGAGAAAAATTCTCTCGAGAGACCCCGTTTCGGATCTCCGACGCAATGATGACCGATTCTTCCAATGTCATCACTACTTCTGCGCGTAAGAATCGGCCGAGAAGGCAAAGGAATCAAGTTATCAACTTCCCGTGGGCCTATCGCATCGACGACTTCGATGATCCAGAAAGGGTGCTCGTACAGAAGAGTGGAGCGGAGGTAGCGGAGGACCTTCCCATCGTAGTGACCGCTCAACGGCAGTAATTTTCGGAAGTTTGTTCGCTTACATGATGGCGCTCAGCTCGGCTGAATGACCAGATGATTCTATGTACGCTGTCACTCCAGCGCGCTGCTTTCTCCAGAGGGTGCTTTAGCTGTTTTTGTCGAGCTAGACACGAGCTCGCTCACATACTCGACGCTCCCGAGGACTTACAGACAGACCAGCAGGCAGGCAGGCGAGAACCCTGCGCTCGTCCCACCAACTCGCTCAATGAGTCATCACGAGGGAGAAAGCGGTCGACGCTCCAGCTCACGAGAGAAGAAGATCGGAGCTTCCAAAATAATACTCAAGATGTAAACTCCGCGACTGAGATCGACACGACCATCAGCTTGCTTCTCCCGTTGACCGTTCGAGCTACACGGCCGGACCGACGGAATCTTCAATGGATGGAAGAGTATCGCTGCGCCGCCTTCCTCTCTGTACTGTTCTCTAGGGTCTAGGGGTTTCACCAGAGGCCCGATTCCGGTCATCTGGGCCGATTCCTCCGACATCTACTCCATACATTCTTCATGGATTTGCGGTAGAATGTCGATCTGATGCGATTCCTTTCGAGCTTCACACTGGAATAATAATACCTCCCGAGCTTGAACTCCCCACTGGAAGAATTGTGACGCTGAGCCGGTAAATCCCTGCATTTGGCGCTCATCGTTCCAAAAGCGGCTCCGGCCGCGACTGCGGACGGGGACTTGAGCATAATCTATATATTTTTTCATTTGGAGCCCCGCTTTTTCTCGTCCTGACTCGGTCGGTCCTGAACTGGTTGGAATGAGTCAGCTGCTCAGCTATGACCTCCTCCCTCCTTCCTACAACTTCTCTGGTGGGGTGGGTGAAGCACCCGTGCTTGCTTGCCTGCCTGCCGGCCGGCCTGCTTCGCTAGCTCGCTCTTTCAACTGCCTAGCTCGCTGCCTGCTCGATCCTCCTCTCCCTGTACCCCCTGACAGCAGCAGCGGCCGCAGCAGCAGCAGGAACAGCAGCAGCAGCAGCAGTTCCTCCGGTGGTTGGCAGGCAGGCAGGCAAGCGAGTGAGTGAGCGGGCAAGGCAGACTGGCTAGCTGGTAGGATGGCAGGCTCGCTTTGGAGCCGGATGGAGGGGAGCTGGCGGCTCTGAGCAGAAGCATCCAGGCTCGCTTCAAGAGAGGCCTGCTCAGCTGCACACCAGCACCGCTGACGCGTTTGTTGGCAAGCAGGCAGGCAAGCGACCAAGCAAGCATCGGCCACCGGCCGGCAAGCCGACGCTTCAACGAGAAAACTCACGCAACGACAGCGGCAGTGGACGACCGGGCCGAAGATCGCTTATTTCGCAGTGTCTGAGCGTACGTGAATTTTTCGCTTCTCTTATTTGATTATTCTGGCTTCTGACCGTGATGACAACCGCGCTGTCGGAGTTTGTCGACTTTCCCCGACGTCGGTGTCCGAACTTTGGAGTTCTTGCGCTTTCTTCACTCGTCTAAGGGCGGCGTTGATTTTTTTCAGGCAAGTCATTCCGATAGTCAGTCGATCAGTTTTGTTGTCTGTCTGTCTGTTCAAGCTCCGCAGAAATCAAGTTGACCCGACAAGTTAGTCATCTCTTTCTCTTTCTGTGAGTTGGAGCACACGACGAAGACGGCAACGACAACGACTGCCCCGGCGGCTGGACGGCTATCGGAGAAACGCAGATCATTGAGAAACACACCGCACTCCGTTTCTGATCCCGAGCGTTGGATTAACTTATTCCTCCAAAGGTTGTGACTCGATTGACAGATTGCTCGACTGACTGGACAGCTCCTACTGGTGCTCAATTGTGAAGCAATAAAACAGTGGAGGCAATTACTGTTATTAGTTGGAAATTGTGCGAGTGTGAGTGAAAGCATACGAGTGTTCTCGGAAATTGCGTCTGTGGAGTCGTTTATTACTGCGGGAAAAGCCTCAACTCCTGTCCACTGAGTTGCTATGGATGGACTTGCAATGATGAGCCATCTCGACACTGATCTTATGGTGAGTCCCTTTAATTGGTCATATGACAGAGGTTTACGAGAGATCCCCGCAGATCGTAGATAATTCTTGACCCTGAGCCTTCTGTCATGCGGAATTTCGCTTGCCCGCGGTCGCTCGAGGAAAAAACTCCTCGGCGTCGAGGGAGTACGATGTGGGAAGTCGGAGGGAAGAGCGGGGACGAAGTTTCGGACGTCTAGGCGAGTCCCGTAATCCATACGGGATTTCGCGTCTCTGGCGGCAAATACGGAAGAGGTAGTTCTGATAGCCCGTAATTACCTTCATGGACGTCGTCTTTCGAGGTGAAAGGACGCCCGAATTTCAGGGTCAGTAGTGTTTGGGGCATGGAGCGCATGCGCGATATCAAAAGGACGCTACCCCCTCCTCCCCGACCGCGCTGCTACTATACTGATTCACCCCGCCCTCGTAGCTAGCCTCGCGGCATCGGGCAGTCAGCCGGCGATGTGACAACCTAGCAATCGGCTCGAACATTACTCCATCGCTTCTTCCTTGAGATCGTCGAGAAAATTCTCGCGGCCATTCAGAGTATTTTTTTTTCTCGGTGCCGTCCTCGACACGCAGTCTCAACCGTGGGATCCTCTCAGCTGCTATCGCTCGATCGGCTCGTCGGTCCTCCCGCATGATAGATGACAATCTTTAATTCTTGCGGTCCTGAATGCGATCGGGGCCGCTTAGAGAGCATATCGGAGTACTCGAGGCAGAAAACAGGAAGGAAGCGGCTCTGCTGCCGATACTCTAGCGTCCCTGTGATCTAGTTGAATGGCATCAGGGGTTTCTATCCTCTGTAAATGAGATCATTGGAAAATTGCGTCTCGTCTCATTCGGTGCCCGGAATCTCCGGTCGTGCCTCGAGAACTCGGGAGGCGTAGGTTCTCCCGAAGAGACAAGCAGGAACGCTAATGCGCAGCTCCCGAGCTCATTCCGTTGACCAACTTTCGTCCTCGGGAAAATGAATGAGGTTCCGGGTGGCACTAAGTGGCACTGCCGTGATCTGAGAGTTAGATCTTGGAGAACGCTCAGAACTCCCTAATTGTGGAAAAATATTCGTCTCGGAGAAACCCTCTGGTCCCCAGCGAACGCCGTATTCTCTCCGCGGAGGCAGTCCGGACTCGATATACGGCACTCCGAATAATTTTTGCTATAACGCTGATTTCGAATCGAAATGCGATTCTTCTGGAACTGCGCCTCTCTCGCGATCTCCAGTGACTCTGGAGCAGAAATAATGCGCTTAGAGGTTTCGTCCTGTCAGATGATCCTCAGTCATTGGCGCGCCCGATTCGGATCAATCGGAACTCGTGACATCGCGGGCTTTGCTCATAAATTCCTGAAGATCGTTTGATTCACATTGTTGCGCTGAACACAGAGGTTTCGATGTTGCTCTGCTCCGTGCGATCGAACACACGGCGAATGCCTGACTGCCAGACAACACCAACAACAACGACGACAACGACAGGCAGCCAGCCAGGCAGCGGTTTGTCAGTAAGTCAGAGAGTGAACCGGAGGAGGCGTTGGCCCCCTCGCGAACAGGGTTGCTCCGCTGCTGGCCGCTTGGCTGTCCGACTGACTAGCCAGCTAGCTAGCTAGCTAGCTTGCTGGCTGACTGGCTCAGTCTCAAATAACGATCGGAGCCACAAGCGAGTCAGCCAACGAGCGAACGGAGGGACTGGCTACGACAGCTGGCTCCGGAGCCGGTCGGAGACAGCGCAGCTAAGTGAAAGATACAGCGACAGAGTGGCCGCTTGGAAGACTCGACATCCAATGCCCGTACACCTTGAGGATTGTCGGGTCGGAACTCATTTTCCTCGCGGCTCGAGACCGCGTCCCCGTTGTCCGATTCTAATTTTGAGGAACACTGAGGCTCTCTCCCGACCTCGTGAGTATCATGCGTCCTCGCTAGCGGAAGTAGATCTTTGGGAGAAGGATCCGATCTCCATTCTTTCCCGCTAATGTCATGTGCTATCTCCGGTTGTCAGTCTGGGACGAGTCATGGCCAAGCATCGTGCTACGCAGCGGTATTCCCCATCGTACGATGAGCTATGATGAGCCGCGATCGCGATATGGTTCCCGCAGGACAGCCCGGGGAGCCAGAGTCTCCGGATCCGATTGATTCGAGGTGTCAACTCTTCTCCGATCCGGCAGATTCGCCGGTAGGAGGTTGGGCATGCAGTCGACTCGCGCAGAACTGTCAGAAATGGAGACCAGAGGAGAAATCGGAACATGTCTTTTCGCGACTGTCCTGTGCACCGGCGAACAGGGGACTGGGCGAGCACTCAAACAGGCAAGCGGGCACGCACGCAGGCGGGTAGGCAAGCAGACAAGTAACCCTCCCTTTTTCAAAATGGCGTATGGTGAGGCACTTGACGAGAATCGTGCTTCCTGTGCCCCCACACGCCTTATGTGAATTTTTCTCTGTATTACAATTTGACGTGGGCTGAGGATGTTGTCATCGAATATCTCGTGCTCGAGCTGAACCAACAAACCCTCACGTCGGTGCTGTTACCAATGACGATGCCGGCTCTGCGCCACATGCCGCGCGTGCAAACTGAGAGTGTGTGCGTAGGCGCCTGCCGATTCTTTCAGCCAGTTTACGTACCTGTCTGAATGGGTGCCTCCATGTGTTTGACTGGCTCAGTCAAAGGGAGCTATTAGCCGACATTGCTTGCGTACATGACAAGTGGTGCAGCAACCGGATAATATCGGAGCGTGACAGCACATGTTGATTATTTATAGGCGAAACTCGCCATTGGGATAAATCGAGCGGTTTCTCCCAGGAAAAGCGCGCACCCGAATTCCGGGAATCCGACCGGAACCGTGGCTCGCTGCACGCGCGAATCAGTCGGAGTGCAGCTCAGCTGTCTGACTCCTTCGATGAGTCTCACATGGTTCTGTCCTCGAGGAGTGAAATCGACTTCGAACCCGGCGTGATATCCTGTGCGGTGTTTCTGCACGAATCTCTCCGACACGCCTAAGGATAATCTATTCCATTTAATCTGACTGCGATCTGAAATCCCTCGGATTGTGGCATGAGGGCTCGAGAGACGCTCGTGAATGAATGAGTCAAGAACGAATCCGATAGTCGTGGGAGAAAGCGTTCCGCTACACCTCCCCATCCTTCAGATCGCCTTCCAAGATGTTGTGCTAGAGCGAGTGCTCGAACGTTCACGACCGGCGGGATTTACTGGTTGAGCGTATTCGCTTGGAGTTGAATTTCTTCTCCCCCATGTGACTGGACGTCCAACTTGACGTCCCTATCGCGAGAGAAGGAGGTATCTGGTCGCGGGCATCCGACGAGGTGTCTGAAACGATTGGAAATGATGGATTCAGCGGCTACGTGCGTTGCATTCTGTGATATGGTTAGTTTTGGTGCCTCGGGTGTCAATTAGAAACGCGGTGACCGCCGGGGCGCAGAGTCGCTCTCGGGAGTCGGAATCGTAACCCCTTCATTCTGCGCATTGAGCACAGGTCAAGAACGGTGCAGAAATCATGAATCGAAGACGAGGAAAACCGCTTTGGGTTCTCAACTGAATTCTCATTTGCAGGCGAAACTTTCCCTCGACAGTCCCTCGATGGGATCTCCGAACATACACTCGCCGTCTTCGTCATTGACGGGAACTCCAACATTCGGCAGCAATGATTCACCACACGAGGGTATACCCCCGCTGCCCGCCATGAATCAGCAGACGAACGGCACTGGCAACGCCGGGCCGCCAGCCACAATGAGCACAAAGTGCAACCTCTGTCATGACACCTTTACGATTCCTAAGGTCTTGTCATGCTTGCACACGTTCTGTCAGCCATGTCTCGAGAAGGTGAGCTTCACTCTTCGGACGCTTTCTTCCCTTAGACGTCAGCATCACGGGTCGGCTGTGATTCCATGACGCGTTCTCAGACGGCTCGATTCTCATCTCGGTGTTCCTCCACAGGTGCAGGACTGTAACGATAAAGTAAAATGTCCGCAGTGCGGGACAGAGACTCAGCTACCTCCATCGGGGATAATGGGCCTCCTAAGCGATTATGCTATCTCGAACATGTTAGAGAACGTTGCATTAGATAGTGGGACCCACTCCTGTACTTCATGCAGAAGCAGAGAATCTGCGGCTATTGCGCGTTGTTTTGACTGCGCCAACTTTTTATGTCCTAACTGCGTTATGGCTCACCAGTTCATGCATTGCTTCGAAGGCCACAGAGTGATGACCCTATGCGAGTTGCAGAGGTCGAAGGACGCGTCCGCAGGCGGCGAACTTAAGCCTGAGAAGCCGGTATCCTGTCTGCGTCACAAAAACGAGTCCCTCAACTTCTTCTGCCACACGTGCAACCTGCCCATCTGCAACGAGTGTACATTGCTCGACCATCCGAAGGGATTGCACGACTACGATCTCCTCGCGGAGATCGCTCCGAAACACGTCGAAGGATTGACCCATCTCATCGAGGAAGGACGTCTCAAAACCCGGGAGCTCAAGGGCTCTCTGAAGACCGTCGAACAGACCCAGAACCGACTGCAGATGGCCTATCATAAGGCGCAAAGCGAAGTTGGTGCGACCTTTCAGTTCTATCGGTCGTTGCTCGACGAGAGACGACAGGAAACTCTGAAAGATCTCGAGAACATCTACAATACGAACGCGTTGAACTTGAACGTTCTTCAGAAAAACGTGCAGGACACCATCGATAAGATCAACAGGGTCTCGGAGTTTGTCGGACGACTCACCAAGTTCTCATCGAACACCGAGATAATGGTTTTCAAGCAGCTGCTCGACTCGAAATTCCAGAACATTCTATCCTACCAGCCCGACATAAACTCAATGGACCAAACGGATCTCGAGTTCGCTTCGAACTACCAGGCGATTCAAGCCGCCGTGCGCGTCACGTTCGGTTACATAAAACAAGGCGATGCGGCTTCGCAAGCGCTCCCGTCGTCGGGGAACAACGCCGTCAGCGCGGCGAACGGCGTCGACATGGGCACGGTGATCGTGTCGAAACCGATGCCACCCATCGCGAGACCGAACGGAGGCGTCATTGGAGGCGAGCGACTCATGAACACTCATTCGATGGGCCTGTCCTCGTCGTCATCGTCCTCGTCGGCTCAATCTTCGAACCAACAGGTCATCTCGGGCTCTAATCCGATGTATTCGTCCAATCCGAACAACATCACCTCGTTGGGCTCGATGTGTCTCTCAAATTCGTACAGCAATACGCTGTCCTCGTCCATGGCTCCCTCGAACCCGGCGGCCCTTCAGACGATTTTCGATTCGTCCACGCTCACGAAGAGGCTCTCATCCGCCAGTAGTCTCGGCCCGTTCTCAACTTCGCTTGATCTCAATCCCTACGAGAAATGGTCAACCGGAGGTTGTGGTGACATTTTCAACTCGTCGCTCATGCCGGGAACGAACAGCATGCCCTCATCGGACTTTCCCATGACAGCGGATTCAGTCGGCGTAGGCGCCACCGTCGGTGTGTCTCCCGTCACGGTAGCTCCCAATGTAGATTTGAGCTCGAAATTCGGCCAACCTTCAGCTTATCCGCTTAAGTCTCAACTGAAGCGTCAGAAGATGATCTATCACTGCAAGTTTGGCGAGTTCGGTGTTATGGAGGGCCAGTTCACGGAACCCTCAGGCGTGGCCGTCAACGCGCAGAACGACATCATCGTCGCTGACACGAACAACCATCGCATCCAGATATTCGATAAAGAGGGTCGCTTCAAGTTCCAATTCGGCGAGTGTGGGAAAAGGGATGGCCAACTGCTATATCCCAACCGAGTGTCTGTAGTGAAGACATCTGGAGACATAATCGTGACAGAACGCAGCCCCACGCATCAGATTCAAATTTATAACCAATACGGACAGTTCGTTCGCAAATTCGGTGCCAACATTCTGCAGCACCCCCGCGGTGAGTCCTCCTCGTGTGCTCATATACTTGAAAATCAGCTATCGTACTTACAAGTATACCACGTCATTCGAAAAGCCAGCATTGCTACTCCCTATTCAGCAAGCGAATCTAGACAATCAAATCAACGATAATACCACATTTTCAGGCATAACTGTGGACAATAAAGGGCGCATCATCGTCGTGGAATGCAAGGTGATGCGCGTATTGATATTCGATCAAGCGGGTAATGTCTTGCAGAAGTTTGGTTGCTCCAAGCATCTTGAGTTCCCGAACGGCGTCGTCGTCAACGACAAGCAAGAGATATTCATCTCGGATAACCGAGCTCATTGCGTCAAAGTCTTCAACTACGATGGACTTTTCCTCCGCCAAATCGGAGGAGAAGGAGTGACGAACTACCCTATCGGTGAGATTTCCCCCACGCCGGTCTCCGGAATCGGAAATCGGACCCAGTGCTCCTTCCATGAGCATCTGGATTTTGCCACGTATCCATATTATGTCATCTAATAGCTGAGGGACTCGCATTCTATGTGGCCACTTCCGCACTGCTCCCTCAATCCCGACTTCCTCTCAACAGGTGTCTGCATCAACCAACAGGGTGAGATTTTGGTTGCCGACAATCACAACAACTTCAATATCACCATTTTCACGCAAGACGGCCAGCTTGTAAATGCGCTCGAGTCCAAGGTGAAACACGCGCAATGTTTCGACGTAGCCCTCATGGACGATGGCAGCGTCGTGCTCGCTTCGAAGGACTATCGACTCTACATTTACCGATACATACAGGTGCCTGCCCTGTCGCTTTAGTACGGCGCCAGTCGTCCGCGCCGAGTCCTGCGGTGAAGTCGGACTTTTCGAATATTCATTGCCTCCGCTGTGTACCAGGACGAGTACTGAGACTGTCTCGAAAGGTCGTGACGGAATGTCAGAGACCTAGGCAGTGGCGTTCGTCGCCGAATGGTCGGCGTCAGTGTCGGATCCCATTAGTAGCAAGTTGCTCGCGTCCACGAAGTAATCAGACGAGTGCAGGACTTTTTTTCTGCGTTCTTTAACTTAATTTCGAGCGTTTCTATATATTTCTGTTAACGGTTCAGACGTCTTTTGAAAACCGAGCTCCATGAGAACGCAGTCAAACTCGGTTGACAGCGAAGCCGATCAGAAGAGAATGAAAACTAGCTTGCTCTCTAAGCCCGTTTAGTGGTCGCCGACTAATGACTTGGGGCTGAATTTTTCTATCCTCTCGGGCGACAACCCACCCATCCATCCATCTATCCATATATCTCATCTATCTATCTTTCGGCCGGTCGGTCGGTCAGTCAGCCCTTCGGTCTATCTATGTGACTGTTTGTGTACCTCGTATTCGAGACATTGACCTCGAAACGTAAATCACCCCGCTTCACATGTCCGATCGATTCGATTCAGTTCAAATGATTGAGTAGGAATCTCAGATGATTCCGAGTCGTACACATTGTATCGTCCCTCTCTGTTGGACTTCCTGCGAATATTATCCCATTGTTCGAGGAACGAAAGTTGGAAAAGTATTAACTGACGGCACTGATTAGACACGAAACCGTTCCGTGTTTCTCTCGCGAGCTTTCTCCGTTGTACTTTGAAGCATCAAGAGGAGAAGCGGCACTCGTGCTCGGGTTTCTCGCTCTGTGCGAATTTGAATGTGTATGACAGTTTGACCCGTCTGGAGCACGATGGCGGATACTCCGTTCGGGGATCGCTCCGCTGTCGTCACTGCCGGATTACGGATCCGTCTTCGACGGCGTTGACATGGCTGCCCGGAAATCAACGGGCTCAGAGGGCCAGAGGGCTACGGCTTTTGAGCCCGAGCAGATGCTCGTATGTAAAAGCCGACCCACCGAAGGGTCGACCTTTCGTTCCGTATGTACAACAAGGGAGTAACAATCCTCATCTACTACAGCCTACAACGATCTCTCTCATATCATGCATATACATCCGGATTCGAAAATACGCGTCGCCGTATGTTCCCGGACGACCAATAGTTTTGATGGTTTTGTTGGGAGTACCCGGTCTCTTTACGTTGTTTCTTTTACTTCGTCATTCATTGACCGCATACAGCATTGCTTTTGGGCATTTCTCTCACATTATTCGACTGCCGAACGGACGGAAAGGTTCCATGAATGCTACCTTTATTTGTTTGCTTGTCTGTCAAACGGTCAGACAGTTGTTTAGAAAATGTTTTCTCGATTTTCTCTCCGAGGAGTTTCCGCTGAAGCTTCGACGGAAGAATTTAAGTTGAATTTCCGAGCAATAAGCTTCTCGAAAATCTACCAAGTTGCAGGGAGTGTTTTCATGAAAACCACCGCTTATTTGCATCGATTCCAATCATAACATTGAACGAACTCACTCAGGAGTGAAAGACCGCTTACGACGGAACAGAACAAAAGGAAGAAGATTGCATTAAGAGGTATTTTTGACATCAATAACCAGGAAACCCTAAGGTCTCATGGGCTCTGAGGATAGTTCTCATCATCCTCATTAGTTTATATTTAAGTTTGCATCGAATATTATACAGTCTAGCGAGGAAAAACAAAAGTTGAACCGACGCCAGGAATAACAATGTTCTAGCTCAATCAATCGATTAACCAATCATGATTTGATTCATTTCTGACCTTCCTTGCCTGTGAGAGCTGCGTGCTCCATTGAGTTAGACCGTTCCGATTCCCCCTGCGAATTAGTCTCCGCCAGGAAGCGATCTCAACATTAGCTGATGATGAAGACAGAGGGCGCGAGAAACAGACAAAGCAGAACTCCTTTCTGAAACATTGTACGCAAGAGAGCTGGGTTTGCGTCGGTTATTTAACCTTATCTCAACGACACCCATGGTGAGCTCGGTGCGGATCGTTTGCTTGCGTAGATTGACTCACGCATCTGTTGTGAAGAGATATTGTGTTTTATCGTGTGCAATTTCAGTCCTGGCACGAAAAAACGAGAAACATCCTACGGCCAGTCAGAGCGTGGGGATAAAAAGGGGAGATCGATCGGATTGAGCCCGGAAAAAAATCCCTAGTCGGACAGCAGAGGGAATCAGTTTCATCGACTGATTGAATTGACTGAAAGGATGGGGCTCTTCAGCCCTTCATCGTCATCGTTGATCAGAACCATGGAAAATCGATGACGATCGCGACCAAAACTAGTCACTGTTGATCATTTGAGTTGATTGCGTATCCTATATTGAAAAGAGAGGCAGAACTTCGCCATGGCTGCACTTGGACACCAAGGTGGAATTCGAACCTCGCAACAGCAACTGTTGAGTCAAATAATTTCTGTACGCAGTCGAGGATGATTATCTTTCAATCGTAGTCGTTTGTTCGTTATTTAATCGAATCACTGTAGACAAAGTTCATCATAGTTTTTTAAAAGGTGTTAGAAACAACAGGGAATACGGCGGAAAATGTTGCGCTGAAAAGACCACGGTTAACAATAATGCATGTACTCATTGAATTTCGAAGCAATTACCGGTTACACCCACTTGGCAATAGACATCTGGAGAATTGCCATCAGAGCTAACTGATGTGTTATGGCTCTGTGTTTGGTGGATTCCATCTTCATTATAATGACGCTGACTCACGCTGAGAATGAGTGAGAACTTCTGAGTTCCGCGGCATTGCTATTGCGCGACCTGGCAAGCTCGAAGAGCGTTCAGCTCATTCAGCCGCAACACCACCCAGTTCGAGATTTCTTTTCTGACTCAATCCAAGGAGTTCGGTACGCGCATCTCTGTCTGTCTGTTCGATTTCCTGTCGGTCGATGAACGAGGCCAATTATCATGGCAATCCCGTTGGCAACAGAGGATACAGTTGCCGGCGGAAGAGGGGGAAGGAGACATTTCCGCTGTCGCAGGCATTCTTTTCTTGTTTCTGTTTCGGCTGATATGTGTATGTTTAGTGTCGATCGGTCGTTCGATAGTTCAATCAATCGATCAATCGTCGTCGTCGCCGTCTTTCATATCAGCCATTAAAGTTACATCTTTGAGCTGTTATTATTTATTTTGTTTATTTAACTTTATCACCACCATTGCAAACTTGATACTTGACTGAGGAACTCATCAAATCTGAATGAGGTGATCCTCGTGTCGTTGATTTTCACCTCTCTTTAACCCGTGATGAGTGCATGCATGAATCTGCGGGAGAGTTTAGATCGCCGAAGGATCCTCGCTTCAAGTATTAAGCCTTTAGGTATCATATTTAAAGAGTTCAGAGCGCAATGATCTATATTTAACCTGATCTTGCGCCCATCTTCGACTGAATGAATGAGCCCACTGAAGTGAATCAGCTTATCCGAGGCATTTATCACATAGAATTCCGGAAACTTCCTACTGCTATTCAACCTACCTACCTAACTGACTATTATAGATTTGCCCACCTACTCGTGTATTTTCGGGAGTGAGTTTGTACGAAATTCGAGTGTTTTATGAGGGAATGAATGTTCTGCAGCGTGTCCGACCTACAGAAGATCACATCACGGTCACCAACTCAGAATGAAAGCCCATTAGCACCCTCAGACGCTGCTCCTATCTCCGATCTCGGACTCTGCCATGCTCGGATGTCTCTGAAATTGTTAGCCTGACGGGAACGCGGGACCGTGGGATCAAATGATCCTGATCGCGAATGTCTTCGGGGTTCCGAGAACCAAGGTGATTTTTCATAGGAGCAGTTTTGATACCGCTGCTACTGAAACCCTCTTCGGGAATGATCGTCTATGGGACGGCGAGTTAATCTGGAAACACCACTCCGATACTTCCGAGTATTCCTACTGCTACTTCCATCACTACCATTACTATTCTACCTACAATTGACTACCATGGTGCCGCCAAGAAACTTGGACACTCACTCACTCATTCTGCAAGGATTAAACCCGGTCGACGATGATCGTCAAGCAAATCCTCTCGAGGATTCGAGCCTTAATCGTGAACCTCCGGGAAATGTCCCATATTTTTCGACTGAAACTATAATTCGCCAATCCTTTCGACCCATCGCTGCCGATGACGAACTCAGTAATTGACGAGCAAAATAACGAGCCAATGGGATGTAGCACATGCCGACAATTGTTGTGTTTCATCCTCCTATTTCAGTTGGGAACAATCTGAAAATCTGAACAAAATGAGACAAAAGTAAATATGAACATATGAATATACATATGCATCACTTTATTCTATTTTTATCCGAATAGACATGGATGCGTCAATCATATTTAATCGCGAAGGAACAATAAAGATCGATATCTATGTGAAATAGGAGACCCTTCATTCGAGTGACCGGATACTCATTCATATATACAAACCAATACCATTCGGACTATCCGAATCGAAACGACGATAATTCAAACCCTGACAGATTCCCGCGCACGAGATCCAGTTAGAAGAGGCCCGATCCCGTCCAGGACTGAGGGTATATACGAGGGCGCACAGGCAGACGAAGTTTGGGGACGGCTGCTCCAGGCGGAAGGGCTTTGGTGAAGCAGGATATTGCGGCCTGGAAGAGACACCTCATCTAGCTTCCCCTGTATATTACGAAAAGGTTCCTATGGAAGCTCTCCTTCTGAGAGCCTTCATAGTAGCCTGTAGCTGTACGTCAGGAGATGCATAGCGCTCGCGAAGGTCACGCGCTTATCGGTACGGGACAACGTAGGACAGCTGTGCCCCACACGATGTTATCCATATATCCGAGCTCGAATATTTTTTACGCTCCCTCTACGACCATCTTGCTCGACGAAGTCATGTACGGTTTCAACGACGTCGGGGGCGTCTTTTGACGAGACTTGCTCTCCTCTGGATTTATGGGATATGAGTCTCTTGTTCAGGGAACCCTTCCAGATCCGCCCGGAACAGCATTGTCTCGTTGGAGATTCGGCTGTCAAACTTCGAGTGGCGGGATTTGTCGCTCGACATTTGAAGAGTGCTTGGAGCTATGAGACGCGAGAGCGATCGCTGGAATCGGATCCCTGATTCAGGCTCGATACTGCTGTGCCAATCCGCTTCAATTTTCAAACTTTTCTCGCTCATGGGGAGTTTAAGGTTGGACGGGTGTCGGTTCTCGACGGCTCGAAAGGCTTCGGGGAAGGACTTGACCGTCTACTCGTGTACGATGCTCCAGTTGATAAATACCGGGTAATCCATGAGCTTGGACGAATTCTTCGTTCTGCAAATTCGAGAAGGGTAAATCCCAAATATCACGTGATTTGTCCTTCAAACATCTTGATCAGTGACGGGTCGGAAAGGACGGCGTCCGATATTGACCGCCCTCGAATTCTCAGATCATCCCGATCAAAGGGAAGTTGGCAATGAGTGTTGCGTATTCCAGAAGAAATCCGCAAACTGGATTTAGGAGAAGCGACGGCCCTCATTATTTCACTCGAAGAGGAAACAGGGGGGCTTTGAAAGCCCGCTCTCGAGGGGAATGCTCTTTAGGCTCACGGCATCAAATGATCTTCCAATATCGGCGGCTCAGCTCGAATTCCTGACGAACCTTGACAAATCTGGTCATTCTCAAGTTTTGTGATGATGAGATATTCTTGTTCTTCCGTAGGAATGAGAGATGAGTCAGTACAACATTGGTCTAGCCGACCCCCATAAGGTCAGGCCCAGATGGTAGCGAATTGCTAGTCTTGTGATTATCACCCATTCCATGAATCTCTCCCCGCATCGCGACCCGATCGCGATCATTCAGGAAAGACGGTTTAGCGTCCCGGGTAAATCGGTATAGGTATACTGTTTATTGTTGAGTCGCTGATACAAATCAAATCCAACTTTGTATAGGCGTCCACCCGAGGCAGGTCTCTGATAAATGTCTCACGTTGTGGTTGAAACCGGAGTTATAGTATGCGATGATAGCTATCGTGACTTCATCCGACTGATATCGATTCATGCCGACATCAGAGGTCGACTGCATGCGGCCTCCGTGATTCCTTCAATCCCTCGCTCCCACACATTATGTTCAGCTCAGAAGAGGCCAAACTAGGAACGCCATGTACAAATCGCCTGTGATACGTAGTCCGCTTCCCAGAATGGGAGATTGCTCATCAAGCTGCAGCGGAGTACTTGCCCTTCCTTCGAACCGTGATCCGATCCCCACATTCAGTTTCCATTCCGAGTTTGTGGGGGAAGTGAGATCGGAGTCCAAGTAAATCTTCTTTGGGAATTTCCAACTGACATGAGAACTTTTCGCAAGCGGGAAATCTGATTAAAATAAACTCCCCAGCCTAAAATGATCGGGGGAGTCGGTGTCCGCGAATTACCGGGAGTAAACGGCATCGTAAACCATCCGAAAGGGATATCGGTAATGCCTGGACAATATTGCGACAATTTCGTAATCACTGCCTTGGCGGAAAATTGCCGCTCCCGTTTCGAGGGAATGCGTTCGGCAGCAGCGCAGACTTCAAATGAGGGTCCGATTGCTCTCGATTCTGTAGGAATCTATTACATGGCGGCCTGGTTTGTCTTCAACTGGCTGCTAGCTGGCGCTGAGATGAATGTTGGAGGTCTCTGGGCACCAATGTTCACTCCGGTCAATTGATGAACCATGGTTGTAGTCTTCGTTATGATATCGATAACTTCGCCTGGAAAAGCGAAAGTTCTCATCTCCGTTAGAGGATTCTAGCCCTGCTTGCACGCTCTCGAGAATCGATGAGTTGGTTCGGATGATTCGAGGATCGAACGTGAAGCGTCCCAGCATTGGAAGATACGACTCACACGAGAAGGGAGATTACCGCGACGCGGTCCTAGATAAGTACACACCTGTGAGTTTCGAAGCACCAACTTCTCCCTTGTTCCCTGAGACCATGACCACTCGGTTGACTTGGGATATGGGTGCAGCCACTTCAGCCGCAACTTTGGGCAGCGTCTCAAGCATCATGTCCAGAATGGCTGCATCTTTGTACTCACGGAAGGCGTCCGCCTTCTTTACCAGCTGCGCTGCCTCAGCCTTCGCCTTCGATTCTATCGCGAAGGCTTCGGCTTCTCCCTTCAGCCTGAAATAAGTTGAATATCAATATTTCGTAATTTCTTTGACGGAAGACCTGTTCCTACGGGGGTCATCTGTTTTTCATCTCCCACGGATTATGGTCGATATCAGAAGGGGGAGAACCTCACCTGATTGCCTCGGCTTCAGCTTCGGCTTCCAGCACGACTCGATTCTTGTTTGCTTCAGCGAGTTTTTCGAGTCTGTACTTCTCGGCCTCAGCGGGCCTGCGAACAGTGGCTTCGAGCTCCTTCTCTTTCCTCAAAATTTCCTGCTCTTGTACTTGAATGGCTTGAGTCCTCTCGACGACTTTGACCTGCATCTGTTCCTCCTTGATACGTTGACGCGTTTTAGCTTCCTGCAGGCTGTACGCTAGCTCGGAATCCGCCTTTTTCGTGAAGACTTCTTGATCATACAGAGCTTTCTTCAGTTCGAAGTCTCGTTTCGCCTTGGCGACTTCGGTCTCGTTGAGATATTTGGAAGCTAAACGCTCTTCCTCGGCCAGAGCTTCCTTTATTTGTGCATCCCTGCGAATGAGTATTGCTTTATTGAGATGCTCAATGGGCCTCGATCGATCCTTTCCGGCACGAGAACACAATTCACCTCTTCGCCTCGGCTTCTCCGATACGGGCGTCTCTCTTGACTTCCGCCGTTCTCGCTTGGCCGAGAGCTCGGAGGTATCCTTCTTCATCGCTGATATCCTTTATAGTGTAAGACACAACTGTGATCCCCATGTTTACCAGATCCGACGATGCTACCTCGAAGACCTGTGAGAAAGCGGAGCCAAATATAATAATTTCCCGATTAGTCCACTTGAAATACCACCCAGATCGAGGCATCTAAATGTCTATAAATCTATTGAATGTCTCAGAGCACGAGATTATTCGGACTCCACGGGAATATCGGATGCGGATTCCAAGGATTCTCATGAGAGAATCCCAAGAGGAATATGATGCTCCCGAGGGAATTCAGCGGCAAAGGCATGGCAGCCATCAAAGACTCCGTCGGCAAAAGTTTTCTCCCGTGGAGCATCTCAATCGTATCCGAACTTTCCGAGAAGGAAGCTGTCATCTTCGACCGATTTGCTGGGAGATCCTCTCCACCGCCAGATCTATCTTTGAAAAGCTACGGATGATGAACAGCTCTTTGTTCGAGCGGCGATCGATATTCCCCCGGGATCGGCATTCCAGTCGCAATGCACGACACACAGCCCCGCCGTGAACCGATGAACGTTCCCGCGCTCGTGGGAGCAGCAAAATTGAATCCTCATCCCTACACTCTGTGACAGAGATGTCGCGCCATCGTCCTACCTGCTTCGAGAATTTCTTTCGATCCTTGTATATCTCCTCCACCGTCATTGTGCCCATGATGGCTCTCTGATGACCTTCCAGGGTCTCCCTGGCGATAGACATGATTTCGTCTTCGCTTTTGCCTAGAAACTGCTCGCAGGCCGCCCGCAGCATCTCGACGTTTTGTCCCTGAAATGCAGAATATCCTCCCTCTTAGTTCCTTGAGAGAACCGCTTGCGGAGAATGATAGGATCGATGCGATCCCCTCCGTAATTTCCCATGGAGAAGGGAGGGGGGGGGTTGCTCACTCACTTGAATTTTGACCTGAGCGATGCCTGTGACGGATATGGGTACTCCTTGTTGCGTGTACACTTTGTGCGATTCGATCGAGAGAGTCATAGTATTTAGCGAGATGCGCTGAACTCTCTGAATGAGCGGCCACACGAATACCCGACCACCGGGCACCATCAAGGGATGTGAATGACAGCATCCTGAGATTGAGAGAAAAGTTCTGAGAACACGGCCTGGACAGGGGACGAGAAACGCTCGATGCTCGACCATTCGGAGAACTTGAGGCGGCCCGTCCTTCCGGTTCCCAAAACATAAACAAACTTGGAGTCTCCGGGTTATCTCCTCGTTCAGAGATGCGCGAGAGCATATCGATTCATGAATTCACTCCGGTCGGTGACTTCCGACCCATGGTGCAGATAAAGGTGGAGCAATCTTCCAGAATGGGCTACTGCGCTCATCCCGGCACTCGGGCAGATTCGCTCCTTGAGTAAGCCTACTCCACGTATATGAATGAAGTATACCGAGCGCACATATCAGCTGAGCGCCTCCCCAGATAGATGCCCTCAGGCGATTGGGTGCTCCTTCTGGCTAATTGCCAACTACTTTCATCATTGGACTACTGTCAGAGCTGGGTCTCCCCTCAGGACACCCGGCAACTTTGGCGAGCCGGCGGGTTTGTTCAGAGAATAAGTTTTCTTCCGGTAGCTTCCGGTGGAAAACATGTCAGCCGTCAAGATGAGAATGCAAGGAGGAATATCTCGAACAGAAAGGAACTAACCTGATACCACGAGAGCCTCGTTGGGCCCACAAGCTACGAAACCGGAGACCATTTCGAACGCGCTCGTCGTCGTCCACGCGATGCGTGCCAAGCGTGGAGGTTTTGTGAGCTTCTAAAACTTCTGTGACTCACGAAATGACTCGACGGCCACTGTCAGCTGATCCAGCGCGTAAATGAAACAGTCTCACTCAAATCTTTTCGGCTTTAGCGGCGATGATCCAGCAACGCCTGCTGCTACACCTAGTTGTCTTGTTGTATTCTCCTCTCTTCGTACCCTCTAATGGGTGAGCGCTTCGGGAACTCCGTACAAGTGATTGGATTCAAAATGGCGGCGCGCCAACGACAGAGCTCATCGAGCAGAGGACTTGTCACTCTCCTCGAAAATCATCACAAGCGTCCCACCGAAGAGGGCGACCGCAAGCGTAGCTCAAGACGATCCTGAGAGGACGATCAATGAGATATCCCTGTTGGTAAGGGCCGCCTCGACTCTTCCCTCTTTGGAATAAACAAAAGCACATGTACTCTCAACGGGATCGGCACCGACAGCCGGTCAGGCGCGCTCGACCGAAATGCCATCCCATCTGTGCGCTTTAGTCAAGCGCTCGGTCCAACGCGCTCCTACGGTGATTCAGCGGCGGACCCGCAAAGCCTGTCGCGCGGAATGAGCGGAGGGCTTCTTCGGGATAAGGGTCCTCGCTTGGTGTCAAACCCCGTGATCTCCTGAATCCGAGCCGGAGTCGACGCGACGGTCAGTTTCTTCCGGAGTGTCGCTGTGGGGGCATATTGGCTCGGCGTTCACCGGGGAAAACATCCAAAGTGATCCCAATCCATACCTGCTCACCAGCATGGACCGCTGGTCCGCGGTCTATGCGAACTCCCGAGTGAGACAGCCGCAGACGGTCCACCCTCATGCACGCTCAGCTTTGAGATTGAGAATGGAGTCGATCCGTCACCGCTTAGCTGTGTCCACCTTCTCTGAAAGTTTTGGCATTCCCTGGATTTTGACATCCGAGGTCGAGCTTGCGTCAGGAGGTATGGTCTTGAGTTCAGCGACCATTTATTCCTATCGGGAAGGATTCGAATCGAGCTGAAAGGCATCACTCGCCCGCAAGTCATATCCCTGATGATACTGCCAAATTTTTCACTTGAGCGAGAAACTAGTCCGGGAATCGAGAATTCCCCCGTCTCCTGTCCTTCCCGCCGATTCCATGGAAACGATGAGGCAAAGTTGAAAGGACAGAGGGATTTATTCTGTGCAGTGCTGTCAGGAATTCGGTCCCCGTCAGCACCCAGTTAACATTCATCAATTCTTAATTTATCGTGGATTCATTTCGCTCTCCATTTCCATCGAGTTAGACAACGACAGCCTGATCAGATTACAATTATTTACTGTACAGAATTTGAGCCCCAGTAGATTTCGAGGCTTTTCGCGAGGTTCGACTTGAAAACTCAGTGTCTAAAATCACTCCTTCTCAGCCTATAGATTGTTGCGACTTAGTCTGCGACGATGGAGACATCTTTGTTCTATTACAATCTAAGAAAATTCAAGTCGAAATTCATGAAACTCTATTCGCGACGCACGCCACAGAGTATCTGTTGTCTAGTTTATTATGTTACAATTATCAACAAATATCAAAACTAAGAGATCATACTGGATTATTATCATCTCTTGTCAGCTTACTTATTCCCCTTAAATCACTTTTCCCCTCACTTTTCAATTACTGTATACAAGTATTTACACACACAGACATTTGCAGGGATTTCAAACAAATTTCTGATTCACACGTTTCTATTGCCACCTCAAGGGATCGGATTTTGTCTCTTCTTCTCTCAGCGATCAAGTTCTTGAGATAATAGGATATTTTTCACAGCAATTCCATCCCATCCGTCTAACCATCTATCTATTTATCCTTAAATGTAACGCAAAGGTTAAATGACCGAAATGGATAGAGACGGTTAGTACTATGCTGGATATAAATAAGGCTCAAGACGTCGATTATCAATCGTCAGTCTCTGTAATGATCGAACAGTGTTTGCCCACTCCGCAGCTCGAGAGGATTATTTTTTTTGCTCTTTGTAACTTTTCCTTCCTCGAGATGCCGACACCGGTCACCGACGACTATATGGGATTCTTCATATATTAGAGTGAAACACTACAGGCATTTATCTCTAATTATTATCATCTGCCTATACGGTCTGAACTTACAGAGCGTAAATTTCCTCCTTCCTTCGTTGAAATACGTTAATAGTGTGAAAAGTCATCGAAGCCATCACCGATCCTGCGATGATCTGTCGGATACTGTGTGTCTGCCAACATTATTCTTTCTGGTGATGGTGACAAACGGCGGTGGCGGCGGTATCGGCGGTATCGGCAGGAGCAACAGCTGCTCTTGCATATCCCGATCCCCTAGTGCTCATCGTCTGCGTTCTGTTGTTGCAGTGTTGTTTTTTGGCGTGTTTCATCCTCCAAATTCTGTCCTGCGACTCGGTACACAAGAGAGTCGACCAGTGTCACGATGAGTTCTGTGTCCGAACTTTCAGAGTCGCTGACCGAAGATTCTGAGGAGGATGGCGACGACGATGTGGACGAAGACGAAGATTCCTCATCGTCGCTAGTGCATATGTTCGAAAACAGCTCTGCGCCTGTGGATGAATGCGAAACCTTAGTTGGGGGCTATCGTTGGAGGGTATCACAGCTCGCCGAGCCGAGTTTTAGGTTTTGTTACAGAGTGTACTGTTTGCTGACTTACCAGAAAAGGCGTAGGTGTTGTTCGCCACCCTGTAGATGTAAGGTTGCTCCTTGGGCACGGACTCGCCCTCAGAAAGGTCGACCAACGTGTAAGGATGATCGGGCTCGGTGGACGGTCTGCCGCCATTCAGCCATGGTTCGTCCCGCCAATCATCCAGACGAGCGCATAACTCTCGAATGACAACGTCACAATCACCGAGAAGCTGAACGTCGAATGCACCTATGTGCGGAAGAGCTTCCCGATTGATCAATATCTGGGGAACTTTATGGTCCATCCGATGGGGAATCGAAGCGACCGGCCGAACCTTCAGCGACGATCCCATAACGATTAGTAGATCTGCATCATCCCGGTCTTCTTTGATTTTTTCATGGAACTCTTTGGGTAGACCTTCACCAAAAAACACGATGTCCGGCTTCATTACAGCCATCATATTCCTCGAGTCTGGTGATTCGTCCCCCTGCGTTTCCCAATGCTGAACTTCGGGCTGAGGGCATTTGGGGCACAAAGGAACTCGCTGAGCAAATATATCCGCCCGCAACGCTTCACAATCGACCTTGTAGTCGCACCGTGTGCACGTCGCTGTCGAGAAGCCGCCATGGCACGCGATGACGCGCTCCAACCCACAGGCGTACTCTAGTGTGTCGATGTTTTGCGTGTAGTTCCGCAAAAGTTGACCGCGTTTCTCGAGTCCACGGATGAAATGATGAGAAGCCGATGGTTCGAAAAGTCCTGGGTATATTTCACGAGCGAACTTGAAGAACGGTCGAGGATCTTGCCGGAAGAATGTCATGTCGAACATCGCTTGAGGATCGGGGAGCGATGGGAAGTCCCGCCGTAATCGCGCGTAAATTCCGTTGCTCGATCGGAAGTCCGGGATTCCACAGGATACGGAGACTCCCGCGCCGGTAAGAACTATGATCTTCCGACATGTTGTCAGCAAGTGCAGAGCATCGTCTAGCGTCGACAGGTAACTCAGGCTACGGAAACGGAAGAGCAACGAATTAAGTACGCACTCCAATGGAATCGATAAATTGATGACATCTGACGCCGAAAATTTTCGAATAGACTGCTCTTTTTCCCGCTTACTCCTTCACGAAACTCACCTCGGTCTGGGCGGTTTGTGGAATTTATCATCATCTCCCAGCAGCTCGATAAGAATGTTCCACATGGTCATCCGATCGAGGAGAGCAGGAAGCTGTATGTTTAAAGGTAATAACTTCTCCAAGAGTGGTCTAGGATCGACCCCGGCCTGCATCTTGGCGCTCACCCATGCCAGAGGGTTCACAGTGGAGCCCCTGAGGGCGAGGATGCTGTCGTCCGAATCGCTCGAGGAATCGTCGCCGCAACGCCCTGCGATATCGAGAAATCCGGAATCGCCGTTGTCCGACGATACCGTCTCACCCGACACTGCTGCAAATCGGAACAGACTTCATAAGCATCCGCAATCGAGTTCGAATTTACCCACAGTGCCATCTGCTGGCAGTCTCGACTAGGCTGCAACCGCGGCAACACGGGAGACGAGAGAATCGAGATGCTCACCCGATCTCTCGATCTTAGACATGGATGATTGAAGGAGAACCGATCAAGGATTCAGGAGGGGGAGCGCTTGTTTCGATTTAAATTTTAGCGAAGATGTTGAATAAGATCCAATGACGACGGACACAACTGATCGCAGCGTTCGAGTTTCGGCGAGCAGAAGAGCTTTGCGGCGGAGTCAGCGGAATCGACTTCGTACCACAGCATCACCACAACGCTAAAAATACCACCACGGCGATGAGTGCGATAGTCGGACCCGATTTCGATCGAAATCGTATTCAAGTCGCCGCGACAGTCCACGCCGATAGCTCGCGCGAGATCTAAATATTCCTTCGGATACTATGTCGATTCGGGAATTTGGCTCGATTCCCAGCTCACGCATCTTGAGACAATGAACGCATGCCACCGATGGTACCCCCTCCCGCCTGCCCGCCGGCTAAGTGACCGCCTCATTTAGATTCGACGAAAACATCGAGTTCCGCGCCGTGAGCCGAAAACGAGTCATCGGAGGAACTCGTTCGCATCCCATGAGATCGACGAAAAGACGCCATGCTTCCCAAGAGAGACCAAAGATCGAAGTTTTCGTGCGCATGCGCAATAACGACTCGTGTAGCGTGGCCGCCGCCGCCGCTGGTGCTTCGCCCAGGCAAACACTCACTACATTTAATATATATCCAGAATAAAGGGACCACGGGCTTGGATAAAGGATTCAAATCCGTCGACTAGGTCTTATTGCGCGATTCGCATGAGGATCTAAGCTCGAAAGAGACCCCTGGGCGACCAGACAGAAACGGTCGGACACGGGCGAGACGCCTCGTCGAGCGTCGGCGACGACGGCCACTCCCCACTAAGCCTAACCAGTGACGCAGTAGGCCTAATGTAGAAATTTTGGTACTTACCATTCAGGCGCTCCGGGGTACTCGGTGACTCCTGATCGTCGAGTACTCGCATCCTCTTCGATGGCGGTTCCGTGGAGGCGTCCAAAGTTGGATAAAATTGAGCATTTTGCGAAATTTCGGGTCCCGCCATATTTGTACATTGGCGCCTGCCTCAGAACTGCAACGAGCGCTGGTGGTGATGGCGGTGTCGTAGCCGATGCTGCCTCGCTGGCTGGTTGGCTGCCTGCTTGGCTGCTCGCTCGACGGCTGCTGGCTGCCAAGAGGAATAGTATGACTCACTCATGAGAGGGCGCCCCGTGTCGGCTCGATGGTGGCGCCCCCTGCTGCTCGTGTCTTGAAATGAGCAGCCTCCCTCGTGGTTAAGAAAATGGCATCGAAAGCGGTGGCGCGCAAAAGGCTTGGAGAGAGTCTTGGCTCCGGAGATCTCTGGAGCCCGGATCCCGTTCATCGTTCAGCTTCGGGGGAACTTCTGTGTCGGGATTAAATCTTGATGAGGTGAAAACTTCGAGGAGCTCAAAGCAGTGAATCCGGTGCCTCGGAGTCCCTGCCACGCTCCCGGAGCGGGAAAGGGAGGGGCGCGGGCAGTCCGGGTCTCGGAAAGGAAGAAAGAAAGAACCTGGGAAATCGAGAACGATTGACCGGTATCGGCAGGCGAGATCCTCCGGGGCGCGTTTCCCGAGGAGGAATTGAGTAAGACCCAACAAACACCTCGGAAGCAGCGCACGAAACAAGGACTTCCGTGATTCTTGAGGGCGGGGCACGTTGCCTGCCGAATTCTGGGTCGTATTTTCCTCTGTAGGGAAGTTTCGCAGTGACTTTCGGCCTTTCGAGCCTATCGCGAGCTCCTCAAGGGCCTCGAGCGCATAATGCTCGGGGCGGGAATTCTAACCAGCAGCAAGGGGCTCATAGAGTGTATCCTCGATCAACGCAGGAAGACGCCCGAGCTTCCCCAGGATTGGGTTTCTGAGTTCAAGGTCAACACAAAGTGAGAAGCTGGTCTCTCCCTCAGCGAGCTGGTTCCTTTTCTTCTCAAAAGTCTATCCTTCCACCAGGATGATGAAGGGTCGTCTGATACGTTTCTGGTCAACAGGAAGAAATCCCAACTCCCTCCGGACCCCACGCAAGCCTTCTAGCTGGGAGTAGGGGACGCCCGATACTGGGAATCGTGCCGGGCACGCAAACCGTGAAGTGAATGCCTTGAATGGGATTACCACGGGATTAGACCATTTCGTTCTCATTGACAAGCTAGAGCAGTACATCGCAGCCCATAGGAGGAAATTGGAGGCCACGATCCTCAAACATCATCCGCTGCGCGGATTCGAGTACAAAAATATAGATACGTTAATACGAAACGACATGATTCGAATACGAAAAATACGATATATTTAAGTGGGAGGCTTTCGACGTCTTTATTGATGTACATATGCCGACGTCGACGAGCGTCGTAAAGTCCACCCTCCTCAACGAGAAGAGATAAGCGAGTTGGCGCGGTAAGTGGGGACGATTCAACGAGTTCAGCCGAATTCCATACAGAGCCATCCCGTCAAGTGAGGCGACGGCTCCGGTGACCCGCGACTCGAAGTCGGATGTCTTCGGCCTTCGGCCTGTTCTGTCGAACCGGAATAGTCATACCATGTCATCAGTGAGAGGTAGGCGGACATGTCGCAGCTGCGGCGCTACAAGTCCTTAGAAGCTAATTGAGTTTTCCCAGGGCTGGTCCTCACAGCGAAAACCCGAGTAGTGTTTTTCACGTCGCTCCCGAGGACCGATCAGGAAAGCAAATGTACCCGGAAAGCGATTTGTTTGATCCCTTCGATGATGATCAGCTGTTGGGAATGACGTCGAGATCTGAGAAGTTCTGCAAGGAGTCGGCTCAGTGACCTACCGCGGAGCATCTGATAATGCAGAACACCGATGAATCGTGGAGGGTCAGCTTGAATCCTGCAAGTCCTCCTCAACTCTCATCACCCCATCATCACGCTCCCGGACCACCGGGAAGAGCTAGAAAACATCTTCACGACTCGACTCTCAAGAGGAACACTGGTCCCGAGCGGAGGTTTGAAGAATTCGATCTTCTTGCGATCAATCCCACAGCCCTTCCTCTCCGTTGCGCGGAGCTCTCAGCGCAACAGTGCCCCTGATTGGCTTTCGGGACCTGGCCCGATCGAGCGGTCTCCTAGGAGATCGACTTGGCGAGCCGAGAACATCCACGAGGACCCTCAAAAGGTGTTGAAATCAGGGTGACGGAACGAGTCCGATCAGTATCGACATCCGGTGGATCTTGTTGCGCATCCAGGAATCCTCCTTTGAGGAGGCAGTCAAGGTATCGAGGGGGACGGGTGGATCGGTACCTGTGTCCTGCTCGACATAGGAAGTATAGGCAGTCGGACCTCCCGAGGGGGAGGGAAGGTGGGTGAAATCGGTCCCTCTTGGCGTGAGGATTTCTCTGGGAAATCTAGCTATTGTGAAGCTCCTGGCCCGCCGCCAAGGGTACGCCGAGACCACAAGGGATGGGGAACTAACTGCGAGGAGAGAAGCGACACAGGGGCGTTGCGCAGTGCGGTCCGGAGGGCGACTATTGAGACTTTCGGGTTCTATTCCGAAGCGAGGCTTTACATACTGCCGAGACGGATGCGTAACCCTTCCTTATACGCACCGGTCTAGAATACGACACACTGCATAGCTCTCGGCTGGAAACGGAGTGTCATCGGTCCCGAGGTCTCTCTGCTCCACGAAACATTCCGTTCCGATGATTTGACAGATCTCTATCAGGTATCCCACGGTACAGTCCATCATTGTATTTGAGCGGTCTGTCCCAACATCTCCCACGCGACAGGGAGATGCTTCTCGAAAGCGCACTGTATTAAGGAAATCGTATGAAATCACTTCGGATTCATTCCGACCGATTCCTTGGCAAGTGGTTCTTCGACGCCTTCTCCTGAACCGCCCCCTGAGCGGGAATATCCTTCCGGTCGCGGCATTCTCCTTGAAATGTTTTCCGCCCTCTCTGCGACTCCCTCCCGACTTTTCATCGGCGCCGACTCTCTCGGTCGCCCTCGGACCAGTCGGTGATAAGGTAACGAATATAAATATGATGCATAAATATCCACCCTGTGAACCCTTGTTTCTCACGGCTGGCTCGCGACAAACGAGTTCCAGCGAATTCGGAGTCTTTACTCCTAGTGCAGCCCGAGCTGGAGTAATTCGCGCGTATGAATTCATATTGAGCAGGAATTTCTCGAGGACGGAGAGAAGCGTGGTTCGATGCTCGAATGACTTCGCTCGAGTCTCCATAAACGTGAGGAAATCAGTCGCACTGTCGACTTTCTGCTCCCTCGCGCTGATGGACCACCGAAGCCAGGAGAAATTTTCAGTGAGATCCTTAGAAGGAAGCGGACTTGATAGATCCGCGTGAGCTCTAACTTCCCCAACGCCTAGTAAGTCGGCTCGTCTTTGTCCTTCCGCAGCTTGCGCGGCTGCCGCTGTGTAGGATGATCCATCAATCTCGCATTTCAGCAAGGAATGGTTCGAAACTTTGCACCAAATGGCGGCGGGAGATTCTCGCGGGATTATGTGCGCGGGAGATTTTCGCGGGAAATTATATCTGCTCCAACGTATACGCCTCCTCGTCCTCTCCTTTCCGGAAACGCATCAATCGCGCGTGTGTATGTTGCTTTGCTCCCTGAGCCGAGCATCTTGCCCTTTCCATTAAGATTGATGGCGAGCGAGTATACGAGCAGTCGCGAACCCCTCCCCCCCTCTTACCCCGCTCAAGAAGTCTTCATAGTTCGTCACGCATTAGAAGAAGTTCCAGATTAGACCTCTTCCACTGAGCTCTCGACGCCTCACCAGAACACTTGAACAGCCTCGCGGAACTTGACATCAATAGACAGGAAATTCACGAGACCTGGTGATAACCTCATTGCGAGAGCATCCGGCGACGGTGAAAAGCGTCGTCAGTTCCTATCTGCAGGGCGGAGCACAATCGAGAGTCCCTCGAAACCAGGATTCTCGACGCGGGATGCTCATGGCAAGCCGATCTATAAGCTCATACGATAGCAGCCGCGCAGTCGAAACTCGCGATGTTGCATATCGTTGGGTCTGTGATCTCGCTGTAGAAGCAGATGCAAAACCCAGACTTCATCTTCCCCCTCTGGGTATCATACATTCTGATACGTGTCGCTCGACATCTTTATCGTTCCTTTCATGCTGTGGAAGGGAATAGAATCCTACTCATACCCTCGGAGCACCGCCACCGAGCTAGCTGCTAGGAATTTTCGCTTGGGTGAGGATCGATGGGCAGCTCACACAAGCTAGCCGCGGGGGGGGGAGCAGGCGTACGTCGCACCTACCCTCGGATCCCCGGCCTCTACATCAAGAAAGCGCAGCATCACTGCAAGCTTAGGTCCAACCGAAATTCGATACGGCCCCTCCCTACAAAAATTCCAGGAAGCGTTTGCTCGCAGATGGTGTCTCTCGAAATTTCCTTTTGACCCTAAATATACCGTCGAGACGCCAAATCGATTTGCCGAGTTGACGGCAGTTCTCAGGATGGGGCAATTCGAGAAGCCAAAACCAGAATTGATTCACGAAACTCCGTAGATAAGCTCCACCTTGATAGCGAGTTCAAACCACGATTTCTGTGCCGGATAAGCTAATTGTTTTCAATAGAAAAGCTGCAGGAATTCCCCGGTGAGGAGGCCTTCATGAACAGTTCCTCTCCGGATGGTACGGCTGTCAAACGAATTATTTTCGCTCAGCCTCGGAGTCTTCCAGGTGAGAAGAAATCCCTGATTGGTGGAACCGGTGCTCCTCCAATAGATCGATTCTGTAGATCAGTTGCTCGGCTCGAAGGACAGAATGTCGGATCGTTCTGCAAATTCCCGAAAGATAGATTCGCCGGAGTCCATCTCATCGTCCTCCCAAGGGGAGGGGCTGCGGCTCTCACACCGATGCTCATATCACAGTAAGCGCCATGGCTCGATCCATGATCCATGATTGTTTATAATAACCGGAATATCTCCGCGGAGCAAAGGGCGAAAGATACGTTGCGATTACTCGGGGAAGTCTGAGAGCGATACGATCGATCTCGATGCGACGATCGGGTGGCTAGTCCCCTTCTGCGAAATCCGGGAGTTTACGAGGCTGCCAGAGGCAGAGCTCCGAAGAAACTTGCGAGGTATTGACGGCTTCGGGTTTCGCGCTCTTTGTAGCTCGATGGGATCGGATTCGATCGTTTGACAGAATGGGATTCCCTCCGGGGCACGCTTGCAGACAACCCACCGTCGTGTCGTAAGCGGGAAAACGGCCTGCCCGGCAAGAGGCTTCCGCGAAAGTTCCCCCTACCCGTCTATTCGGAGAGCACAGGACTCGCCGGATGATCAGCATAACCTAAGTAGTTAAGTAGATAGTTTCAACAGAGACCCCGAGTATTTCGAGTGGTATCCCGGAGGAAAATCCCCCTCCTGCGAGCTTCGAGGAAGTGCTACGTGGTTGACCGTGGATAGATGCTGCCGACTCTTATTCGGTTTTGTTCGTCTACCGGAGATTCTTCCTGCCGTGATACACTCTGACATTCCATAACTTCTCCTCGGATTTGCTCGAACGTTTGGGAGTGAGTAGGTTTATTCATTCAGATCCTCCACCGGTGGGCCGATCTCAGAGGGAAGCACCGATCAGGACCCCGGGCGAACTCCCGAATTTTGCCAAGCAGAGGCATTCGAGCAAGACGGGCATGTGAATAGGAAGGAACGCGGTCTCGAGCAGTACGCCTACGCGATCGCTTTTATTTCCATATTGACATCGCAAGCCAATCCACTGTAAGAATGAAGTTTATAAATATGAATAGATAGAATATGTAATCGTATTCCCCCAAGTTATCGCGTATGAGCCCGATCAGAGGGGTCCTCAGAAGGAAAGGCAAGAAACAGCTAAGATTCATCACGGCAAAAGCCATGGGGACTAAATTCGGCGAGTATTTTTTACTCAGCATCACGAACATCAGGAAGCCTCTGCTACCCTGACCCCATCCGACAAAGAAGGAGGCTAAACTCTGACACCAATATACTCCTTTTCCGATGGGCGAGATCATGAACATTAGAGCTAGTGCTTGTAAAACGCACGAGCTCAGAATGACGTAACGATCATAATATTTTCCGCGATCTACGATGGGACCCACGAAAATGCTCGCTATCAGCCATCCGAAGCATGTCATTACAACCAGAAAGGCCCCGTCTGCGCTATCGATGCCATTGTCTGTCTCGAAATCGATTACGAATAAAACTAGTGCGAACATGATGAAATTCGATAGAGCATTCGTTATGCACGTATTAACGAGCAAAGGGCGACAGAATCGTTCCGAGCCTGATTTCTTGTCGTCAGCTGCCTTGCTAGCCACCAGCGACTGCAGTGCTGCTTTCCAGGGAGCTGCATCGCAAACAATCACTGAAAGGAGTTGATTGCAGGAGAGCGCAGACAAAATAAGCAGCAGGCCAGAGAGCGAATATTCCCTGTAAACGAAAGTCGCCAAGATCGGGTATATGATTCCACTCAGCGAGGCGAAAATCGAGAATAGCGACATCGCCGTCGCTCGGTACTTGATGAAGTGTTGCGTTATCACAGCAGAGGGTATACACGTGCTACCCGCAATCCCGAAACCTGGGGAGAAATCCTGATCTGAAAATCCGCTGAGCGGGAAATACATCCTGGTTCCGAGGAACAGGTGGCCCGATCGCATTTCACTTCCTCCCATGGGACCAGGGTAGGGGCTGCGATTTTCTCGACAGATCGAACTTTACCATGTCCAAGGCCGAGTAAGGCTGCCAGGACTGTGACATTGTGCGTGAAGAACGAACTCAAGAGCAGAGAAGATGATGACAGCAGCGTCCCGAGTAGCAGTAGATTCCTCTCGGAGACCCTCCTGACAAGGAGGCCGAAGATTGCACCTGAAAACAGGTCGTTTTCATTCTTCATCCAGTAATTTTATGGTCTCGGAATGACTGCTCAAGCCTGTGGACTCTGGCTTCCCCGGAGCGTGCCGAATCACTTTGGTCTACATCCAAGTTTCCATGAGCTCAGACCAAGTTTATGACTGAAATTATTATCAATCATTCAGGGGGGCAGCTCACTGATTGAGGTGTCCCCGATGACGTGAGACTCCCTCACGGAAGTATTGTATTCTTGTGAGCACCCTACATGTCCGCTTATTCACCGAAGACATGATGAAGGCTGGACAGCTGCGCAATGGTGACGAGGAAGCAACGGGGACGGGGAAAGCAGCTTGGGTCGACTTTTTCCCATGGAAAGGTACTTGTGGTTTCTCTTCTTCCGAAAAGAGCGTGACGAGTTGTGTGTCAGGAGGCCGGTTTCGGTACAACGGCCAGGTATGCCGAACCAGAGCTTCCCGACAGATAACTCTCGCTCTCACATCTCCTCTCACCACATTATTCGTGAGTATGACGGTGCTTCTGGCTGAAGTTCTGCGCGTCGGAGGGACAGAACGCTATCAGTCAGTTCGGCGAAGAAGCCAGCGGCTCCGTTCCGAAGAATTCGATGACAAGTTATCGTTGCGAGACAGAAAGTGATACTGGTCTCAATTACGGTTCATCTCCGCAAGCATTATTGGGCCGTCTTCCCCGAGACAAGAGATTCGAAGGATAGGATGGAGTTAGGCGGGAGAGCATGCAGGGGAGAGTGCCCTGATACGGGATAGCGCCTTATATGGGGTACCCCCATTGAACCCCCATCGAAAAAAGAAGAAGTGTTCCATATAAGGTGGGCAAAAAAATGTTTCCCATATTAGGGCGCTAGCGGGAGAATACCCTGAAGGCGCTCTCCGCGATGCCGATGTCAACATGGTCATCATACGAGGAGGTTTGGCGGACTCTCATGAGTGAGAGGCTCCGCAGGTGCGACGGACTCGGGGACAAGAAGCGAATGCCGCTCCATTGGCCCTATATCCAAATACTCAAGCGCGCGTCGCGGTCCTCTTTTCGGAACATGGCCACTGTTGGGAATCTCAGGTCTGCGTGGGCTAGGATTCCGAGTTTTACTAGAGCGCAGAGTCTTGCTCTTTTTTCGAAGCCTCGGACATTCAGATCATTGGTAACCACGAGCTTGACTCGCTTCCCGGGCACGCATATCTCCTTGAGCAGCTTCCCTGCTCGATCTCTGGTTGGAAGAACTTGGCTCTTGGAGCAATCGTAAGAGATGCGCCTCGGACCGATAAAGGAGCGTCAAAAGTATCGGGAGCTTCCGAAGTAGCGGGGAAGGGTTGCGGATTCCTCTTGGCAAGAACATTCTCATATTCGAGTGAGCGGGCAGATCCGGGCGGGATATGGGCTATTACACAATACAGACTATGTCAGAAGTTCAACTATTCCTCTAAGTTGCCTCGGGCATCAATTCCAACGAGAGCGGAACTGAGCATGAAGTCCGCTCAACGTCAAACTATATTAGTGTCCGTGCGGGATGAGCGCGGTGACTGCGTGTTTGGGCGCTTAAAGTGATGGAACAGCGTGCGCGAGACTCTCCGGAAAGAGAGATTTAGCCTTCGGCTCCAGAGCAGGTCTTTTGATGACCAGTTCAAGGTGATGAGAGCTTCGTTTCGAAGGAATCAATACTTACTCCCGGTGAAAGTACAGCACGACATGACGGTGAAGGGCCACGAAGCCGTTTCTCTCGAGAGCCAAGGGTTCGTCTCCATGAGAGCAACATATAGAACGGGAGTGGAGCTGAATGCACACCAGCTGAAGAAGACGTAGAGCACCGCGAAGAATGCCACGTACCATGCGCGGATCGAGTCGGGGCCTTGTGCATGGTTCAAATATTTCTTCATAGGGTCGTCCGATGCGACCGCCGGCGGCGCCGTGCCGCTCTCGGCAGCGACTTCGGTCTGTTGCATAGTCTCCTGAAATTCGCTCTCGCAATGCTCTCGAGCTTGATTGACCCCTCACGAGGCGGGATGCTTTTCGGTGACTGTCAGAGCTGACGGAGATTCACAGATTCCGGTTTCTGGCTTGACGGTATCGCAGTGTTCACGAGCACAGAACAACGCATTTGGACTAGCGTTTACTGGGGATCGCTCCCATCGGTAGATAAGAATGCAGTCACTTGGTGACGACGATCCTTGGCGAACTGACAGGAAGACACCTGGCTGTAAACCGACTGGAAGACGTGAAATCGAGACGTATCAGCGTGATAAGAGTGGCGTCACAGGATTCCTAGGTAGGTGGCCGGTCCGGGGAGGAATCTCATACGGACTGGGCCCTTGGCGATACATGACCGTGATTCATTGAAGAGAGCAAACATTCACGGTCATGGCTCGATGGAAACGAAAATATTACTCGCTCGTTTCAAAGTCCGACCGTCGTCGGAAGAACTGAGTCATTCTGGGACTCTGCGGCTTCGCTCTCGCTAGAGGTCGGGGATTCTCTGATGTTGTCTTGGCTCCGCACTCACCGATTATCTCAGCGCATCAGTAGGAGCACACGAAGATCCAGAGAATCGGAACTTGTCACTCTGCAACAGCGAAACGCCCAGCGGGCTGCACTACATTTTGCGCTGAGAGTACATTCGCGCGGCCTCTGAACTCTCTCACTGGGGCCCGAGAGATTCGCCTGATCATCTTCCTCCTCTCTCGAGTTTTCGTTGGCGTCTAACAAGAGATTAAGACTCGAAAAAAAATATTCCAGAATGGAAAAGATTGCATCAAAGGAAACCGGCGTACCGTCATGAGCAATCTCACACTCCCCGTTGCGTAGCTTAATCGACTAGTCGCTCCATTCCGGCGTCTCGAAATACTTGCTCGCATAGTGGAGCGAGATCTTCATATGGAGACTCGATCTGAAGCCTGGACCGAGAAATCTGCGAGAGTTCGGAAAATCAAAAAAAGACTCCGGCGGCTGTTTTCTTTTCGAGTCAGCGAACTCCTCGCAGCCATCCATCCTATTTGAGAAGAAACTCTTCCAGGGCTCGATCGTAATATGCATATGTATCTCGAAACGGATTTGAATGAACGTAAATCGTCTGACGTGCCGTGCGCATTCGGACGTGGCGAGCGAGAGGAAACGATGGATCGGAAAATTACGCGCAGCCAGCAGATGAAAAAAACGAAGAACGCGGCACTTCCGGAGGCATTTGATGATCGGCAGTGTGTCCCAGAGGCGCTAGATGATCTGATTTTGTCTTCTCAGCTCGATATAGCGGTTTTGCCTGTGAGCGAACCTCTTGCTTCCTCTTCTGTACGTCCGTTTTCCTCCACGCCTCGGTGTTGTCGGATGACCGTCTCTATCATTCTCCCATTATGCAGGCAGCAAAGGGGCGATCGTTCGGATTCAGCCGGCTCGATTGCCCGATGCAGATCTATTTGATTTTGTACGGCAGGACATCTCTATCGTCGGCCACTCGAGGGTTGCAGCTCCGGGGTGCGTGTCCTCCGCCACCCGGTCTCCACCATTTTAATGACGATTCGTAATCATCCAATTAGCTCCGATGTACGCGAATGCTCAATGGACTACAACCCCGAATCGGAGTATCCCAGATCATCGATTATAGTACAAAGCAATGGAATCCAGCGCATCGCATTCAGTGGCCTCCGCTCCGAGTTACGCTTTTTCAAGAGCACGTCACCATCGGCAGCATGCAGTGGCTCGTCCGCTCTGAGGTTCCTTTCAAACGCTGCTTGCCTTTCTGGGTTAAAAGTATTTGGTCTCGCCGGGTATGTTATATCATTAGTCAAACACTTGTGCGATCCATTGGAGTCGTGGACACCATGCCCTGCCGAGGTGGTCGCCGATACTGATAGTTTGTGAGTTGGCTGCTCGCTTTCTTAGTTGTTCATTTGTCTGCTCGCTGCGCCGGTTGGTCGGCCCGTTGCTCGGCGGGTTGGAAGGATGGATGGTTGACTTTCTTAGTAATAGCAATATAAGTGCAGTAGTTCAGATCACTCTCACAGGACAGGATGTGTGTGTGTGTTGTGTGTGTCTGCGGCTGCCCCTCGCCACTAACTTCACCAGCGACCGGCTGTAACTGTTCGCCGGGTCTAGGCGCCAGTCGCTCATTGTGATCCACGGTCAGCATCAACAACGGCAGTCAGTCAGACAGTCAATCAGTCCGTCAGTCGGTCCGTCCGTCCGTCGGTCCGTCGGTCGACCCCTTAGTGAGTTCGGAGTGTAGTCCGCTCTCGACACCCGAGCTTTCAGATTGTACGGAAAACGAGTTTCCCCACGGATTTTGTACCCATCTTCCGCTACAGTTGTGTGTTCATCGCTCGTGTTACGTCTCGTGACTCTCGAGGGCCCGAACCCGTGGCCGACGAACATTCCCTGGAACTTCGGTGAGTGGCATCCCTTGATTCGGATTCTCCCTGGAACGATTGCGCTAGGTATTGATTCGTCTTCATTCTCATTTTGATGAAGTAGCGAGTAAAGATCGTCCATCGACTTCGAGTGACACAGGAAGCGGTGCTCTCTTTCCATTCTCCTCGTGGGATATTGGTGCGTTTCTATCCCGATCCCGAGTGATGGAACGTCGCTCTTAATTTTGAATAATTGAATTACCGAGGCGAGGTTTTTCCCTATAGGAGGGACCAAAGAATCTTTCGAGCTTTCATCAACACATATTGATTCTTGCTGACAGAGTTTCATTACAAGATCATTAGTCACGAGTCGAGCGATGGTGTGCCGTGATTATTCTATATCAACCCTTCCCGGAATGGCAGGCGAGCCGCAGAATTTATTGCTGCTGTCGATGAAGCTGTCGATGTGTGGGGACGGTAACAGTCGCATCTTCCCGTTCCGAATAGGAAAGCAGCAATGCCTCCCGCTGCTGACACCGGACATCAAAGAAGCAACTTGCCGAAAGAAAAAACATTGCAGAAAAAACGACAAGACAAAAGACGGAGTGGTTCAGTCGGAGACTAGCGGCCGACGCTTCTTTTCCTAGTTGTCGCTTCGATTACAGAAGGGTTCCGACTGTTGTGGGATTTTCGCCGTAGTCATTACTATCAGTCGTCGTCGTCGGATGGACGCGCAAGCGAACGGACGGACGAAGCACAGAGCGATCGAACGAAGACTTGCTCCGAGGCGGCCGTCGCAAAAGTCACACTGACATCTGGTACCTGGTGTCGAAATGGCGATGTCTCGAACGATTGATTTTTAGAACTCCTTTCTTGATGCTCTCTTTCGATACTTCGGCTTCCGTTAGCCGCAATTGTTCCCCTTTCGCGAGGTCAGAATGGATGCACCCTCGGAGAAGGAACTGAAACTTTGCGGAATCGGCCCCTCGGTGGAATCACGCTTAACCATACGTAGATCGTGAATGAAGCCTTTACGTTGCCGAGCAGATCGGACTTCCCCGACCGACATATCTATCCTCTTGCCCCGAGTATTTATTTCCGAAGAGCCCGGCGCAAAGCTTGAGCTCCCGCGTTTCCAGATGTCATATGGTTGCCCACAATGAGATATTTCCACAGTGGATATGCTTTTCCGCTCGTTTTTCCCTCGGTCTGTGCGTCTTCCCACATCTGCGACTCCATTGCCCTATCGTAAGACGAAGGGGGCACACAGCGCGCGGATACTTCCGCAAGTAACCGGATCAAGATCGTGATCACGACAGCGCGACCCTAGGCGAAAAGCACATTACTGCTATTCAGAAGCAGCACAAGAGCTCCCGTCAAGGGTTTCGGGTCCACGACTGCGGGACACAACTTCACACAGCTGCCCGATTCTGAATGGATCGTCTGCATAGGCAAATTCGGTTTCGATTTCACTCATTTTTCCCGTGGAGGCCTCGCTTACGCCAATATGGAGCAGGATAAGGGAGAATGAGCCGATCGCTGTGGCGCGGACTCCACAAACGAGGATTCCAACACAGGAGCCTTCGATCGCTCTGGAGGTTCGGGTCGAATTTCCACGCGAAGAAAGGTTACGGCTTGGGGAGATTTGGCAGGTCCTCAGAGAGAGGATGGACGACATCCTTGCCTCCCTAGCTCGAGAAAATACTCGAGATTTTCCCCATGCTGATGACTGATGACGGAATGCTATCAGTCTACGCGTGCTGAATAGTTTCTCTCTGTGAAATGTCATGCGGAACTCGAGCAGTCTTGGTGAAGAATCGAACTTTTCTCATTCGGAGCCGAATTTCTCCTCGCTCCTTCTTTTAATACAGCGTAGCTTCGTTTCTCAACGTGGATGTGGGGTGGCGCTCGCCTCAGCATCGAATCATTATTGAACGCCTCGGTCTTGAACTTGTTTCAAGATGTACTAATAACCCTCAACTCAGTCAGATTGCCTCTGAGGGCGAAGACGGAGTTTCGTTCATGCTTCGTCATGTACCCAATTGTTTCGACCACGGCGGATATTCCGTGTTCTGATCCTCCAACATGCGTGTGTTGCCTGAAAGATGTCCTTAATGCGTTCAGATTCGGGTCGCCATTTTCCCTGCTACTGCAGCTCAAGTTGCTGCTGCCGCCGCGGCTTCTGTTGGTCGATCTGCGGGTAAACATTATTTTCCCATGATGGCTTTGCTTCAAAATGCTCCGTTACGGAAACCAATTTCACGCCGCAATTTCTCGCCGCTCAAAGGCGCCTTTGACAAAGATGCACCTCCGAGCGGATTTGGGCGTCCGTTCTTCGTTCTCAGTCAGCGGTGAAACAGGCTGGCAGCTTTTAAGCGGAGTACAACACGATTTATTGAAATGAAACGTGATTATCCTACTATCCGAGACAATCGCGATACAAGCCGCCGCCGGTCGAAGACAGGAGGGTCGAAGAGACAAATGGACGAAAGAACGAACGAGCGGACAGGCCGACAAATCGAGTGTCGTTGCCGGCATAAATTGGAACGAATTGAAACGCTCCGAGCATGCCCCACTTAGATTATGGACAGCTTCTACTTGTCTGATAAAAGAATGGTAATTCCGATGAGTGGCTGCTTCACTTGAGCAACAGGTTCTTCTCGTGGAGAGGCTTGTCTTGTTATAATCATCATCGAAATAAATATCCACCGATCGATCGTCGACCGTTTCACACCTGAGGATTATCACGGAGATAAAGTAACAGAAACAAAACGCTCGCTGCCAGATAGACGTGAACCAGCAGCCGAATTGATGGTCGGACCAATCGACGCACGGACGAGCCGACCGGCCAGCCGACCGACCGACAGGCCGACCCGCAGACGGATAGACCACGCATAGATTAATGGATTTGGCAGTCTTAAGTGCGAATTGCTGGAGTGTTTCGCCGGGGACGATGATGGTGGCAATGGCTCTAACTCGTCCTGGTGGCAACACCCAACAGCAGTTGCGAAGCAAGTGGGCGAACGTGCGTATGGACGAGCGGGTGGCAGGCGGGCGGGCGGGCAGACGAGCGTTCACTCAGGCAGACGGCCGCGATGACTGAATTCCTGAAATTGAACTCTAGCCCAGTGACTTGTTGAATCCTGTTGCTTGCTTGAAGAAATGCTTGTTGGCTGGGTGGAGCTAACTCGCCTGAGCGACCGCTGCAGAATGCGGCATTGTTACGACAGTTGGTTTCATCGGTACGAGTTGACTGTTGGCAGGCAGACTGACAGACACCGTTAGGTTGAATGTCGAGGGGAATTGCTGACGTAATTCCATCAGCTTCAGATCCGCACGCCTCAGACGTGAGCATTTCATCGGTGTGAGGCAATCTACCCTGGAGCCGTCGAGCGTGACAACTCTCAACACGCACCTCACTGACACGCGAACATAAATGAGCACAGCAACCACAAGAGCAATATGCGCTCAAATAACTGAAGTTATTCAATAGCGGGCGTTGATTGGTTTTCGCCGACTCGCTTCGGTCTCAATCGGGAGTGCTTCGAAATGGACTGACACGAATAAATATCGAGCGAGCGATGAGCGCGCTCGATTAGCGAAGCGAGGTTCTCTTCAGACTTAGAATATGTATACGTACACGTGTAGAATCGACGGAAAAAAATCGTGTCCTCCCGGCTAGCTGAAGAACACCGATTACCGCCGTGGTCGAGACTTTTCCCGTAAAATTCACTCCAGGACTCATGCTTTCCAGTCACAATGGAGTATTGAGGGGGACCCCCGTGGACTGCGAATTCGTGAGCGTGGCCATTCGATCGCATCCTTTTCTCCCGAGCCGTCGAACATGTGGGAGAAACGACGTTTTCGTTGGCTTCGATGATTTACTCGAGCAACTACAAAAACACTGCCAACGACGGAAGGAACAACGGCAGACGAAGCACATCGATCGACTGGGAATTCCTTGAGCCGTGGATCGTGGGAAATGCGTTCGGCTGCACATCCTCATATTGGCCGTACGAAACCGAAGAAATATCTCGATTGCTGATCCCGAGAATCACTGTACTAGCTGACCCCCGAAAGAACCCTACGAGCCTGTCCGTTGACAATATCATCGTATCGGCTTAGAGCTTAGACGATCCCATCGGAAAAGCCCCGCGTCCTGCTCTCGACGAATCGCAGAGCACCGCGAGCATAGGCCGCCTACTCAATCCTGGTCAGGTGAGGCTCGACGCATGGATAGGCCCTGATTTCTTTACTGTCTCGTCTCTCAACTTTTCGGGAAATATGATTGTATTCCGGACAGCGTCGCAAAGTTATTCGATGTTGGCAAATTTTCCGTCAAAAGTACCGTAGGGGTGCTCATTATGGCACACAGAGCTCTGAAGATATCGAACCCGTGTACTCAATGGAACGCCGACGCGGAGGCTCCCTGGCCGGTCGCCCCTAATAATTCTCTTCCTAGAGCAGATCGAAAGTGGAACAATTGCCCTGGCGGGCAGAAAACATGGCTGGAATTCATCATGGAGGAGCTTGCGTGCGACAATCGCCAACTCGTCCGAGGAAATGCACCTATCGATTTGGGATCCACAAGCCATCGTCGGGCTTCCTCAATTTGTTCGTTGTTATTCTAGTCATGTCACCCGCTCTAGGTAAATGACCGTTTTCCCGCCTTCAGAACGAATCGTTAGATATCAGAGCATGATGAGCGCTCGGTCCCAATTAACATCCCAAATGTTTCGTTTCCGGGCACAGGAGTGAAGATGAATCAGAAAAAAAGTTGTTCCAATGCACAAGGCGAAGAGGGTCGGTGTATGTTCGTGTGGGAATGCATAAAAAACGATGGAAAGCATCTCGGTACTTGCACCGATGGATTCCTGTACGGTAGCTGCTGTGGGAAACCTGAAAGAGGTACTATGATCGTGGATAATCTTAAGAAAGAAAAAACATGGAGATCGAGGGGGCATCCAGACCGCTCGATAAATGCAATTTCGTTCTCGAAGCGCGACTCACCGAATCCGACTTGTTTACCCAGGGGGACTTGGTCTGGTCTCGTCAGAGTCAGAGTGACGAGCCCTCACCGTCGTCAACAAGGAAGATTTCACCAAAAAGTTCCTTCATTGTAGATAGTGGCAGACCGGGAGTGCAATCGGAGCCTCTAAGTCACGAAGATGAAGACAACAACCAAAACTCACTCGAGAAGTCGAGCGAAGGCATGACCCCTTCCTCCCTATTGTCGTCGACGACTTCGACGTCCACCACCTCGACCACCGCGAGGCCGGCCGGCGGATCGAACTTCAACGTGATTTCTGCGGCGCATTTGCCCGTAGGTTTTCCTCCCCTACCTTGCGAGAGTTCGAATCCGGACGTCACGTCTATGGAATTACCCCCCTGTCGAGAGTGAAATGACGCTACGATTAATGGTAGGATCCTCAGTTCCGATGAACATATTGCATGATCGATTTGCAGGTTCAACATAAACAGCCGACGTCCTATCTGCAATTCGGCCGGCCGCCTACGATGACAACTTTAATGACTCACAATATGCAACGATGGCCTCCAACGATCAGGCCAACCATTGTTAATTCTTTCTGGTCGATATTCCGACCGCGGCCGACCCTGTTGGTGAAACCAGGCATCACAGTTCCCGTGGTGGCCATGAAGCCTACCACCCCAATCAGACCGATTATTGTAAGTTGAGACCTCTTTGTGGGACCAGGAGCTATGGCTTATTGGGGTCGAGAACACTCAAGTGTGCTTTCAGGAGAAAAAAGATACACCAGGCCGTTTCAGATGACGTCCCCCCTCACCTCACCCTTGATGCAAGTTCCAATGACAACTCCGGCAACTCCCGGACCTCCGTCATCGGCAACAGTTAAGAGGTCCTCTACGTCGACCACGACCACGACGACGACTTCCACAACAACGCAATCGTCCCCCACGAGAATTCAAGTACCGACCACGATTCGACCCGCCTATTCGAGCGCGAACGATTTTGAGAGCAATTTGATCGAGACTGGCGGCACGGAATCGTGTGGAGTGCCGCCGTTACGGCCGCAGAAAAAAGTCGTCGGCGGGAAAACCTCATCCTTCGGCCAGTGGCCGTGGCAGGCTTCTGTGCGGAAGAGCTCATTTTTTGGTTTCTCGTCCACGCACCGATGTGGCGGCGCGATTCTGAACAAAAACTGGATCATCACCGCTGGACACTGCGTAGACGAGTGAGTGTTCTCGCAGCTCTTTCATCGATCGATTTTCTCCGAGCATCCGCAGCTCATGATCTATGAACAATGAATGATGAGCATCGTGACGGGCGACATGAAACGTGGAATCGTTTTCCTGAGGAAGCTATCGTTTATAATTTCACATCGATACCGCCCGCGTCCAAATTTTTCCTTTGTATTCATGGGCGATGTTGATTGAGGCGCGAGTCTTATCCATGTTCCGGGCACCTCTTTCGATTCCTCTTTCAAACGAGTACTGTCTTCCTTTTCAGCCTCATGGTCACTCACATAAGGGTTCGTCTCGGAGAGTTTGATTTTTCCTCCACACAAGAGCCGTATCCGTTCCAGGAGCGTGGAATCGTGGCGAAATACGTTCATCCTCAGTATAACTTCTTCACATACGAAAACGACCTCGCACTGTTGAAACTCGACAAGCCCCTACAATACATGCCGCATGTCGCGGCCATTTGCCTGCCCCCTGACACGACGGGGAATCTCGTAGGGCATAACGCCACTGTCACGGGTTGGGGTAGACTCAGCGAAGGTGGGGTCCTGCCTTCATTGCTCCAAGAAGTTCAAGTTCCAATCGTCTCAAACGATAAATGCAAATCGATGTTCCAAGCGGCGGGCCGCAACGAATTCATTCCTCCGATTTTTATGTGCGCTGGCTTCGAGACTGGAGGCAAAGATTCGTGCCAAGGTGATTCGGGCGGTCCCCTGCAGGTGAAAGATGTCAGTGGCCGCTGGATGTTGGCCGGGATCATTTCGTGGGGCATTGGTTGCGCAGAACCGAATTTGCCAGGAGTTTGTACTAGGATCACGAAATTCAAGCCCTGGATCGCCAGCACGATCCGGAAGCACAGTTAAACGTTTTTGAACAGTGAACGAGGAGGTTTAGGTATTTGGTCGACTGACTGAACAGGCGGCCCCGTTGTACAATCAAGTTCGAAGTAGGACCATGCAATAAAAGTATTACTGTATGTTGGAAAAGAAAATAAATCTGGTAACTGCGTGCTCACTGCGATAACGGTCTCAAGGGACGCCTCAGGGGAAGGAGACCTAATTCGTAATGCTATTGATGCGTGGGATCCGTGGTGAATGAAATCAAGTCTCGTCATCGTCCAGTTGAAGCGGGATCTATAGGAAAGAGAGGGGAAACTGTCCTTCCTTCGAGTATCCGAGAGCCTTTCGTAATCGGGAAACGAGCCGATTCGTTCATCAACTACGTCTATCGACACTTGACGGTCCGTAGCTTATGATAAGATGACACGATGAACAATCCTACCCCTGAAATTCCAGAGAGTGAGAGTTTCTCCTCAGAGCTGTGAAGGTTGATCTGTTCTTGGCCGGGAGGGATGGATTCCCTCGATGATGAGTCGGACTCGGGGGGATGATCGCAGACAGAATGGTCAGCAGTTGACGACCCCTCATCTGGTTTTGCAGTCTATCTACGCTCCTGGACCGCCCGTGAAATCTGACGGGAGAAGATCTGAAAATCTGATCTTGTCATACTGCAATCTTGGTAAGGTACACGCAATTCCTTTCAACAGGGCAACAAGTCTTGGATAGTTGAGACTCGTTACCGATAGCTAGAGCAGTAACGATGGCAAGATGATCAACCGGTGCCACCCAGGGATTCTAGGTGGAAAGATTCGGACTCACAAGGTCGTCAGGGCCAGAGGCGACATTCTGGTCGCTCGGGGGGCCTAAACAATAGAATAATGTGTGACAATGAGGGCCTCAGCAGCGAGAGTAATCTCCAAACGATACCAACGCGATCCGAGCCCCCACCACCGCTCGGGGGAATTCTCGCTCTCAAGATGGAAGCAACACAGGTGCGGACGAAGATGGAATTGGAAGCAAACGTCGGACACAGGAAACCAGTAGACCGAGATGGATCCTAACGATGAGATATCGAAAAGGAGAACGGAGCCTTCCTCAGGGCTCTGATAATCTCGCTCCCCGAGGGACTCACGAAGAAAACCACCGACGCCGACGGTGGAAAAAAGGTCTCGGGATCGTGTACGTCGACTGGAGTGCGGGCCAGGGATATTATCATCGGTACGCGAACTCCCTGGAGTGGTTAGGCGTGAGGACCGAGAGTCAAGTCCTGGAGACTTTCGGACGATTGTGGGGTCATCACGCGTCTTCCCCGCGGAATCTCGAGCGGAGACTCTCGCTGGTCGGATTGGCAAATTCATGCAGTGTATTTCGAGTCAGACATTCTATGCTCAGCAATCGCCAAGGAATGCGACGACAACTCCGAGTGTCTCCTGGGTTTCGAATAATTGAGGAATCGGAGATCGAGGGGGAACCCGAACAACCTTGACAAAGTGGACCAACCAGATAGGTGGTGGTCTTGTCCTCAGAAAGTATTGCAGCAAAGAGAGGGAGCGGGGAGAGAGGGATAACGCAGAAATTCAGCTTTCCTTCAACACAATCTTATATCTCTTCATCTTTATTGGAAAAACACTTTGCATGTGTTCTCGTAGATCTGGGAAGCCAGATGATCAACATCTTCCTCCCCTTTGATAGCCGCGATCACTTCCAAAACCTGGACTATGTTTTGCGGTTCGTTTCTTCCTTTTACTTGCTTGGTTTCTTCGAAGCGTTCCTTCTTCTTCGATTCGAAAAAAGTTTTTACATGCTTGTAACTTGCGTGCGTTGGTTTTATATCACAGTAAGGACAATCTGTCTCGATCATCAATCGATCGTTGGGAATCTTCTTCACGACGTCGAGCCGTTCCTCTGTCTTCAGTGAACAGCCATTTATCCCTATGTAGAGTCCCATATCCAAATATGTGCTAGCCTGCTCCCAGCTTCCGTCGAACGAATGAACCACACCAGTGGAATAAGAGTCTCGATACTGCTTCATGAGTTTGGTGAAATCTTCCGCTGCGCTTCGACAATGCAGGAATAGTGGTTTCCGTGTAGCTTCGGCCAATCCGAACTGTGTTTCGAAATATTTTAATTGGGTCTCCTTCGGGCAGAAGTTGGTGCGATCGTAGTCCAGTCCAAATTCGCCGACGGCAACGATCTTTGATGATGACTTCGCAAGCTCAATGAGCTCGTCGAGGTACGCATGGTCTTTTTCGAAATCGTTACATCTCGTTGGATGACAACCCACGGTGGAGAATAGGTTTTCAGCTGACTTCGCGAGCTCTAGCGCGTTTCTTGAGTCCTCGAGGCTGCCGCCAGTGATAATTATTTTCTCCACACCGGTCTCTTTGGCTCTGCCCAACATAGCATTGAAGTCGCTGACGTGTTTCTGGGATCCGTGGTAGAGTCCACGGAACACGGCGTCGGTGATGTTCGCGCCTATGTCTATGAATTTCCGCATCTTCGCCCAGATCTCGAGTCTACCCGTCCTCAACGCCAGATCGATACGTTCGGCTTCGGAAAGCTGTCTAGCGCGCGTCTCGTCCGACGGAAATGCGGAATGGAAATGCTTTGGGTGCAATGCGAGGAGCGCGACGAACACGTTCAGAGCTCCGGCATGATGTTTTCAAGATTATTGCGACACGGAGGACTGTCGGAAGGGCTTGACAGCGAAACGGGAGGGTGTTCTGCTGTATTTTATCCTGCAAGGTCTGGAACGCGGAGAACTGCGCTGAATGACTTATCCTAGACTTCAAATCGTTCCAGAGCTTTGCTGTTGCAGACGAAAGTTTACGAGACGCTGTTGTCGATGATCTCTGCTTGGAAGCGTCGATGCCGCAGACCGTGCCCCCCTTTTTCAGCTTTTCCTTCGATACACCTTTGAGATCTCCCGTCAGAGCGCCGGAGCGTGGGCATTCAATTCAGGTTCTCGAACTCCCCGACCTGGGGGGGGGGTATGGCGGTCCGTATACACCGGACTTTTTGCGCCCTCGGCATTCTTCCCGGAAATTCTGCCTTGACGTGTAGGTTCGTACAACCGGCAATGTATCTCACGTGCTCCTCCGAGCGGAGCTTGAGGACGATGCAGACCCTGCGACCTCCTGATAGGGTCTATTATGGGCGGATCCGCGTGCGACAGTCGAGGCTTGGTGTTGTGACGATTTCTCCCTGAATTCCGCGCGCCCTACGCCGAGAATTTCGGTCGCGGCAGTACTGCGGTTTGTCCGCACCGTGACTTATCCTCGAAATTCCAGAGAGTCTCTGGGAAATTCTCATTCACGGCCGTTTGGTATAATCAGAGATGCCATCGCGATCGTCAAGAACGTCCACATGGTTGCGAGAGCCGTGGTTTAGTCGCGAATAAGTCGCAGGCTGCGCTTGTGAAACTTGCTCCTGGCCTAAGCAATAGCTCGTGATCAGCAGCGTGGTGTCTCGGTATGTGGAGTGGTATGTGCTTATGACCATCGCCAGGTGATCATTTTGGAGTGATTGTGATCCGCGAAGACTGGCTTACCTCGCATTGTGTGCCCGGAGAATCCTCAAAACTTGCAGGTAGGTAGATGGAAGTCCTGCGGAGGTTACGAGAATTCGGGCGAGAGACCGAGTCGTTGCCTAGTTTCGTGGGCCGACCTCATTCGAGCTTCCAGCTGTTGGCGTCGGCCCGAGCGCCCGATATACTTCTGATATTTCAATATTTGATTTCTATTGCTGTTGGGTACATGGGGTAATGCCCCATGGACTGGCCACATACTGGTAGAGTGTAAAATTGGAATCAGTGACTGGAAAATGGGCTCTGAGGAGTTACTCGGTGGAGCAGAGCATGGTACTATTGCGCCTGATTCGTGAGGGCAGCGTGCTCCACAGGGCTTTTCCTCTAGCAGATATAAATAATAATATTTGATTGATTGATGAGCATGTCGTATTGCTGGTGCTGCGAGTGCGAACCGCTTTAGCTCTCAGAGAAAGGAAAAATGGGGTTAAAACAAAAAATAAAAGTACATAACAGTGAATCGAATAATTCATTGCATGTGTGATAAATGAACCCTGAGCTCAAGCAATCATACAGAACTTGAGATTGTTATCGGCACGTCTGTGGGAGTTGGGGAGCCGACATTTGCCGCCTCAGGTCGGACAAAGCGAGCGGACGAGTGGGACAATTTCAGAGACCTTTCCATCTTTTGCTCCAGACTCTAGATATTAAGTGACACGTATTAACGTCCAGACGTATCTTAAGTGAGGTAGCGTACTGGACGAGTAGCGGGTAGGCGAGAATATTAAACGATCGATGATTATTCTCTCATTCGGTGGTTTCCGCTTTCCTTGCAAGATGATTCGACTGGCGAGAGACTTCTTTTGGGATGGTTCTCGCCAAGGCACGGCTCACGAAAAATGTCTCGACCTTCAATCCGCCGCCCCCGTTCAGTGAGGGAGCTCTCGTATTGAGTGGAGACTTGATCGATCAGCAGCGCCCTCGGCTGCGAGCCTGGGAATTCGGAGAACAAAATATCTATGTCGTTCAGTGGGGCACCCCGCTGGTCTGACAGGTTGTCTCAGGGTGTGAGTCTCCAATCAGAATCGTAAGTTATACTTCATGTACTGTGGATATTCTGATATACGGGCAGTCTCACGGGCGCAGACTACAATAGACGGCCGGGTTCTGAAGGATAGATGAGATTAAGGGGCATTCTTGAAGGTAGGAATATAGGTATGCGGGTAACAGAGGCAAAATTCTCTCGCTCCTTTGAGAGCCTACTCGGTATGTTCCACGTACTTATTTCATTGGTCAAATGCATGGAATGCCGATATGAGACACCGGACTCAATACCCTCTTTCGTGGACGGGACAAATAGACGGGCGGTCTCTTATGAACGGGCAGGTTCTGGATGGTGGTAAATAGACGGTAATGCCCATGTTCATTGTACCGTAAATCCTCCAACAGCGGCCCGCCTACAATCGTAGCCCCTCTCTATTAGAGGCCCCCTGCCTAGCTTTTGAGATAATAAAAGCACCCCTCCAAAAAAAGCCCCTCTCCGAAAGAGTTTCCGCTCCCATAGGCGCCCCTCTCTGAAAGGAGATTCCGGACAGCGGCGCCCAAGGATTTCCCCCCAGACCGGGAACATCCATACTCACTTTTCCGGAGCAAGATTTTTCTGAGAATAATTGGAGCCCCCCTCCGAAAGTAGCCCCTCTTCAATAGAAGCCGCCACCGGAGGTATTTGGAAAAAAAGAAGCCCGGGTCACTATTGGAGGGTTTACGGTATATTTTAAAAATCCCGTGTGGGGCGATCCTCTAGCCGAAACTTTTCCACTGACGGCCGCTTCAGAGATCGCTTCTCTGAATGCCTAGGGAGCAGTCTTGAGTCAATGTGTTTGGGAAAGCTTGAGTGGATCTGAAGTGCAAACTTCTCTCCTACCCCGGCTCTGTGCGCCGTTCGTCCGACAGAAGCGGTCGGAGAGCGGAGCCAGTCACAGACTTCATGACAAGCAGACGAAAGTGTGGGAGGAGAAGTCCCGACTCTTCAACAAAACATTTAGGCCCAAGCGTCGGTCCTGGCATACATCCACACCTGAGCGTCCTGACTGAGCAGCGAGACGTAGTGGTCGATTTCCGACGAATTGATCCAATCGACCAGGTGAGTTTGGCTCTAGTTGAGAACCAAGGATTCGCACAAAATGCTAACAGAAGCTCGCGGCAACTATCGTATCTTGGATTATCTTCAGTCGGAACGAAATGAAGGGAATAACTGCCTAGGTTCGGAGATTTCACATCAGTCTCCGACTTCGGCACAGGTCTCCAGAAAATCGCTCGATGATTCTTTTCGGGAACACGTCTCGAATCGCGAAATGTAGCAATTACCCGTTCTCCAGAAAGCCTTGCGAAGGGTCGTTCTTCGGAAAGTGAAATCTCCGATCTCTTTGTCCTTAGTATGCGTCATGATCTTGGTTCTTTGCTCCGTGCTTTGCGGTGTACGCCTCTGAGCGCTTCACTCGATTGTCACCATCCACGGGGACCGCGCTAATGGCCGCCGAACCCATATGAAGAACGATCGTGGGAATCGATGAATAGGGATCCAACGCAAAGCACTCTCCGGGTATACGAGCAAATATTTTCATCAAAAACTTCTTGTCTCCACTAAGGTGTAGCAGCGAGGGATTATCTACGCAATCCGCGAATAAAAACAACATGGCCAGCAAATCAGCCTCCCAACAGTCGGAAAATGGAGCGCCCCTCCCATCGACCGAGGAGCCGTCGAAGGGAGAAGTCAAAATCCCTTTGACCGAGGAGGGGCTCCCTGGGATTACCACTGTAAGTATGAGAAATCCGTTCGGCCGTACGCAGGGTCCCGGCAGCTCTCCTGAGTAATACAAGCTCGGAACCAGACTCACAAACCGGAAGGCAGTCTATCCGACATCCTGAGAGCCTCAGTCGAAAGCGAATTGCAACCTTCGCCGAGATCCAGCGTTCTCCCAGGTTAACATCTACCTTTTTGTCTCTCAACAAAGATCGTGGAATCTCTGGGAGAGTCGATAGCCCAGAAGCCGGCTTGCTACATCGTGGTGCCATTGATGGTGGCCATCACGCTCATCAAGGGTTTGCCGGAAAAACCCTTCCACGATGACAGGAACTTGGTGGCAGACGCCATCTTCTTCACTTCCTGTTGTATGATCCTGCGCTGTCTCTCCGGATTACCGAGCTTGATGACGGGTAGAGGACGGTCCCGAGTTCTCTTGGGAATCTTCGCCTGCTTCGCATCGGGAATATCTCTTCTAGTATCGCTCAGACTCATGACGTATTCCCGGGCAAGTTCTCTTCGTCAGTATGAGGAGATTATCGTCCTGGTGAACCGTAAGTGAGGATTTTTCACAAGTGCTTCTTCGAGCTCTGCGTATTTTTGATTCGAGCTCTGAATATCCTTGCATCTCTGGACCATCATCGGCTCAGACAATTTCCGGAATGGATCTGCGCAAGTCTGACGGAAATCGACAATTTTTGAGCCGAATGGGTGACGGAAGCGTGAGGAATCCTCAGAAAACGATTCGTGGCGAATGATCATACCTTCAACTTCAGACACAATCTACGATATGGTGGGGAAGATGCTGATCTTTCCCGCTGGGACCAAGATCCAATCGCAGGAGTCGTCACAAGCACTGTTCGCGGATCGTTACCGCGACTACTTCGGCTCTTATCTCCTCCTGGCGCCTTTGCTCGCCTGCAGCGTCTCGATAATGGGTGAATATGATGAGATTCATCAGGCTCTTGGCCTATGAGAGCCCCCTTTACCAAGCTCCGGTCTTGCACATAGTATTGGGTCCACGAGAAAACGGCGCGACCGCATTCTGATTCGAGGATGCGTGAAAGCTCAAATTCATTCGGATGACCTCGCTCCTCCCGTTACGAGCATGGGCAATCTGCTGTCACCCCTTTCTCGTGATATAGCACAACCTACCATTGCAGGACTCTTTTGGACTTCGCAAGCAGAGCTGTGCTATGGATGCGCGATAATTTACGCTGTGTCCTGGTTCTTCAACATCTCGATGTTCGCCGCTGGTTGCGCGATCCTACATCGCGCAGAGCGTCGGGATCACATCCGAAGGGTCTCGGCTGATCCTGGGACGCTCGAAAAGGAGGCAGACGCTGCAGACGGGACTGGAGAAGATTGGTTGACGAGATTCCTCCGGCTGTATCGAGAGAGGCTGATCGACAGAGTTTGGGTAAAAACCATCGTGATGCTGACTCTCTTCGTTTGTCTCATCATCGGACTCGTTTATGGCACGGAAGCCAAGGACGGGCCTGACATGTGAGTTCCCGATCATCTCCAGATTCCTTTTATTGCCGAGCGGGCTCATGGAGAAGATACTCCTCGTTCCATCTGCAGAGGCCCTGCTCGTGGTTAATTCCTTGCCGGATTCGGTATTTCAGGAGCGTCGCGCGCTGGTATGGCGGGAAGGTCTCGAGGACGACCTTGTTCGCCCCTAATTTGAGCGAGGATGATCCACGTAACAAGTACTCGTACCGTATAGAGCTGTTCATCAACGCCAGCATTGAGTACTGGGAGCCCGAGACGCATCAACGACTCTTGGACATGTTGGACGAAATCGAGAGTATTCCCCACGTCAGCACGCGGGGACTGACGGACTGCTGGTTCAGAGATTCGCCCCTATCGGCCGGGGTTGGAGTCCCGCCTTCAACATCATCGATCAGAGCAGACTACATAGAAGCTTTGAAGCAGAAGCTTCGAACGAGACCGTTCTCCGATGTCGTTCGCGATATTCGGTTCGATGTCAACGAGACGGAGATCGTGGCGTCGCGATGCGAAATCCACGCCAAACATGTTAGGAGCGCCGATGACGAGCGGGAGACCATACGCCACCTGAGGAGCATCGTGGCGAAATACCCAGATTTGAGCTCCAGCATCTTCACAGGTCGCCTGGCGCCCCGAGCCTTGGAAGGAGCTCTGAAACTTACATCCATGACTCTGGCATACACGATATGTTTCGCCCTTTTCACGTATTTCTCGTCCTCTCGGAAGGATCCTGATTTGAGCGCTGCTGATATCTTCTGGTGTGGCTGGTGGTTTTTCTTCTCGGTACTTTTCACTCAAATCGGAGTCATCGGCTGGTCTATGTGGTTCGGTATAGAAGTGGACCCAGTGGTGCATCTACTCTGTGTGCTCAACGATTATTTCTGCTTCCCAATGTATTGTGCTGATCTCCTCCCGAAGCGGAAGCCCTCTGAGGGAAGGCTGCATGATTCCGTCCTCTGTCTCAAAGTCCTGATCTTCGAACTTTACGCGAGCGCCTGTTTCTGTAGCTACATGTTGCTCACGACCGAAACTCCGAGCTTCGTCTGGATCTCTGCGCTGGAGACTACCACTCTGGCGATTTTGTTCACCGCGTTCAAAAACGTGTTCCTCCTCCCACTGGTTGCGGCGTCTCGTGAAAACCAAGAAAAAATCGCTGCTGAGCTCAGTTCCATCAAGTTTTGCTGAGTATCGGCGCGCAAGTCGCCAACTGGCTTGTGGAACGCGGCGACCGGCGTGGAGTGTTCCCCCAACGCCACAAAAAGAGATTCGGGGTATAGATCATGTACACTCATATGTATATAAGCATTGTATATAAACGTGAATAATGTTCGTGAAAAAATATTGTATATAAACGTTTATAATGTTCGTCAGAAATAGTGCATGTTAGTGTTCATAATGTTCGTATAAATATTGTATATCATGTACATTATAATAAACTAAGGATCTAAACGTCTGCTCTTGAAGTCCCCAATCGAGGTGTAGCAAGATAACGACTTTGACCCCTCGATAGGTCGCTCAGCTTGGCGACAAGAACCCCTCCGATGCGGGCACAATCCCTTAAGAAATCGCCTGTCGAAGATCGTTCGATTCCATGCGAGAAGTCAGAGCAAGGCGAATTTCCTCATCGGCTCCAGGCTTCGCAACGGCGGCTCTTTGTTTGATTTTCAAACCTGAGCTTTTGGACCGGCAGACTTGCACACCAAGCGCAGCAGCGCCCAATGCGAGGACTCGTTCTAGCTCCCTATACGGAAAATCCTGCGGACGCCACTGGCGTTCACTCCGGGAAGAAAACGCGACTCAATATTGTTCTCGCCCCGTGGGATGCCCCCGCTCATCAAGGCAACTGAAAGGATGCACGCCTCTTTCTGATTTCTTGGACAACTCAAATTGCCAACCTCTTCTCCCGTCCGTCGCACAGTGAGAAGATTCGTTGCCCGTTTCTCTTCCAGCGCGTCGCCTCCATTCATTATACACGAGCTTGAGAATGTAGCCTAGAGCGTGATTCCAGGAGCCCGAGTTTCCCTTGTCATCGCAGCTCGCGTCCACGTGCTGGCGCCGACGGCGTTGGCACAGGGTTATACCCCTATGAGTGAGAATATCAGTGCAATCTCAAGATTGCTCCCGAAACCAAGGCGCGAACAGAGGGTTCATTGAAGAGCCCCTGGCCGCAGCTTGAGCGCTGGCCATCGGTTTCACTTTCAAGCTCATCTCAGCTGTCGCCGTCGTCCATGTCCAGACGGGGGAAAGCGAGAGAGAAGAAACTTGTCGTCTGCTGAACAACTGTTACGCCAGACGGCTGGCAGCCTGTCGAGCAGCTGATCGCTCTTCTTTGAAAATCGTGGAGGCAACTTCAAAGGATTTGCGTCCACCCTGGCACGATCCCGCTCGCCGCACTTCGAGACCAGATTACTCGTCAGGGACGTTTCTCCGTGTCATGTGTAAGGAAATCATTCTTGCCCTGGAGGAAGACTGAGAGAGAAACCAATCGACCCCCAGCTGTCAACCACCTCGTCCCATAGACTATTTCCATAAAGAGCATTGCTCAGGTGTGCGAGACTGGAGCCACTATTCAGGCACTCACGGAGAAGTCCGGGATATGTGAATGTGTGAAGATTGCCCTGCAGAGACTCAGGAATTCCTCGTGAGCTTGTTGGACAGCGCTGCTTTTCCTCAGCCCAGGCTGCGGAAACCAACTACAGCAACACATTCGTCCTTGATCATGGAGAACCTCGTCTCACCTCTTCCCTTTGAAATCAATATCGTACAGCGGTGTGGAGATTCCATCAAGGTGGAGAACGGAGCGCCAGACGAGAATTCGGACAATGCCATCGAACTGACGGCCGCAGCCTATACGTGAGTTATTCGGACCAAATATGCGAGTTACCGCGACCCCTTCACCATGATTGAAGCGACAACCCACGGATTGGCGGTGCTATCGATTGAATTCTTTCTGCCTGAGAGCGGAATTTCGATTCTCTGGCGCTCGAACCCCTGTGTTTGAGAGTGACAAGAAGTGGGGGCGCGAATAATCGCCTCGATTGAATACTGGAAGTAGGAATTCTGGATCTTGACCCTGGTGGGATTGTTCTTCCGGGTTATGCTGGAGAAGCTTCTCGAAGCGCGATCCCTACAGGGACAATGGGGATATCTGGACCTTTGCTTAGTCTTAGGATAGACGGATAGATCTATCGGAAGAGTACCACCGCTTCTCGACTGGGATTAAGATCGATCACGGGATTGAGTAGGAATCGAATCCTCAGCAACGATTCAGTCCACACGCGCTCCAGCCTCACTAGGTCTAGGTAGCTCTTCCTAATGGGAATGAGCCCGATAGCTTCCACGGCATGCGTGGCCTGCGGGGACACTTCTCGCGAAATCAGAGGGAAACTGAGAGGCTCAGAGGATGCCGCTTGCCGCCGCTGGGATCAGAATAATGACGAAGGATCCTCTTCCCTCCTTCGACCGTAGTTCTCATCAAGGCACCAGACATCGATAATTGCCATTCCGAAAGGTCGTCAGCCCATTCGGGCCGTTTGATCTCAAACTTGTATACGGGTGTATGGCGTCAGATGGCGCCTAAAACGGAACATAAGAGGCATACCAAAGAGATTGGCAGTGAATGCGCGCCGCCCGGATTTAGAGGATCCGGGGTCATCAAAAGGCTCGAATGAGCGCCAAAAAGAGTTCCATGGAGGGTTTTCACTTGTCGAGTCGAGCTTCCTCGAAAAACTCATTGGTAATAGTATTGAAGGTTGAAAACGGGAAGGTATCAGAAATACTGAAAATGAATCTGAGAGGGGCATGAAATCGAAGCCTCGGCCTGGGAATCGAGGACGTCCGCCCCGGCCAAACAGAGGCACAGTACGTTTTTGAGGAGCGCCCATGTCGAATCGAGAATGCGCAGCGCATGGTGTTAATCTTCGTAATGGATGACCACGGCCCTAGATATTGCTTGGTCAGAGATATCGCGGATTGCTCGCCCTGGGGTCGCCGACATCCGAGCTGGCAGCCCATATGATCCGGATTCCGATTATTTCCAGGAAACTGAAGGAAATCGTTGATTCCCTCGGCGAAAGCTCCGCTAGGGTGAGTATCTGGAACTCGTTTCTCAGCTCGAAGAGCGTACGATAGCGATCGACTACACTAAGCCGTGCCTCACGGAGATTTCAAGGAGTCGGAGGCACGAAGCATGCCCGATGGACACAGGGAGCGATCGTTGCATGTGCGAGCTTGCGGGCAGACCGAGGCAAGGGCGAAGCGCACAGGGATATCCGATGCGCAGTCTCTGGTTGTGAGTTGGACAATGTCACAGAAACGATTCTTCCAGGCACAAGGATTGAAGAGTCCGATAACTTGCATGGAGAGTTTCGTGATGGCACCAACGGGCTCGGAGCAGAGGCTATACGTCGTCGCACTGAACTGGAGAAAAACTCAAGAGAGGTGAGCAATAGTAATTTGATTCCGAGACGTGGTGTATCAGCAATCAAGCCGGGGCTCACGCTCCCGGAGCAAGGCCGAAAGATGAGCCAATCTAGAGATCTGAGGACCCAACTAGGGCTCCGCTGGAGTCTACGGGGGACTGCTACGGCGATAGCCGAAATTCGAAAACACGAGGAGCCGAATATCATCGAGCCTCGCTCGAGAAGCAGGTTCACCGCTGGGGGCTGAGAACCCTTTGATTTCCATGTTCCGAAATCACCTCATTCTACGAGCGCCATACAGAGGGTAGTTTTTTTATCGATCGCTCGGAATCTCGTCGGTTTCGGTGATGAGCCGCATGATGGACGGAACCACTTGACGCCAGAAAACTCGCGCAGGCCGCGATTCGGGGGGCGTCGATCGACTGGGGTGCAAGATTCCTGTCGATGCAATGGCATCGTCCCCCTCGAATGGACTCTGCGGCGGAGCTCATCATGCTCTTCGGAGCGATTTTAGAAACAAAAGCGGGGAATCCACCCGAGGAATTCAAGAGCTCAAGCGGGGAGGCCGCTCTCGAATTTCTTTCACAATCGGGTGTGAGTCGTTTGAGAAACGAAAATAAGGGTCGAAGCGAAAGAATTTGAGGGGATGCATCGAATGCGTGCAGCCAGTAATCCGCTTAATCACTTTCCGGAACGGGGGGTTGGACTCCCTCCGCTCCGGATCATCTAGAAATGCAATTAGCTCCCACCCTTCTCTGCGAGAACGGTGGGGGTAGGCGAACGCCGCGCCTCGATTTCGAAAATTCTTCTCTCCGATCCGACTATATATTGAGCTACTGCCCGCTGTAGTCCGTCAAAGTCTGCTGCGACAGCGCGAGAAAGGTTGTGGTTCTCGTGTGGTGATCGTTCGTGGTACGTAGTCTAGGCGGGCGACGACTGCGTGTGTGTCCATCCTTTGAGTCGTGCTGCTACCACTGTTGCTGCTGGTCGGTCTTGTGTACTGGTGTGAGAAGAAGTCTGTTTGGCAGTCAGGCAGACGCCGCAAAGACATCCAAAGTTCCTGAATTTCCGTCGGGGGCTCGTTAGTTGTTCATCGTGCTCCAGATAGAGGCCGTCCTCGATCCGAAAATGGAGGAACCAACAAAGGAAACGGAACTGTTACTCGAGGATGACACCATGGCCGAAGGTGGCGAAGAGGTACGTAAAGTCCAAATCAATACTCGTATCTTCCGTAGTAGCTCTTTTTCTACCGGCCGGAATGATCAGAAAGACCGGACTCGGTTTGAGAAATCGTGGCGGATCCCAGAGGCGCGGCGACGTTGAGCACCGCTTCGCTCGAAGCGGTGAATCTCGCTGTTAACGGTGCCCTAGCCGCGGATCGCCCGTCTGAGATCTTCATGCAGGAATGTGGAACGTATGTGGCCATGCGCTCTGGTTTCTCCTGAGGTAGCCTTCTTCCGCTGGTCTGCCGGTAACGAGAACCTCCTCCGAAATGATTCGAAGCGAGCAGAGAGTAATAAGGACGCTCTTTTCTTCTTCAGGAGGACTTGGACTCACTCCGAGCTCGTGTTCGGGAGATGGCCGAAGAAGCTGAGAAGTTGAAAAAACTCCAGTCCGAAGTTGACAAGAACACGACGCAACTCAGTGAGCAGGAGAAAAAAGAAATAGATCAAAGGTAAATAGGATTGAGAGCGTGAAGCGAACGAGATCTCGATCGACGGTACGGTATCGAATCCCGATGCGCCGCGGGACGAAAGATCAGCGAATCATCCCAGGTTTTTTTCTGTTGCAGGTCAATTTATGTTGGAAATGTCGATTACGGAGCCACAGCCGAAGAACTCGAGCAGCACTTCCATGGTTGCGGTTCTGTTAACCGGGTCACAATACTTTGCGACAAGTTCTCTGGTCATCCAAAAGGCTTCGCCTACATTGAATTCGCGGACAAAGACTCCGTGGAAACGGCTATGGCCATGGATGATAGTCTGTTCCGAGGGCGTCAGATAAAAGTACTCCAAAAGAGGACCAATATGCCTGGTATCAGCACCACCAACCGACCTCCCCGAGGACGCGGGTTACGCGGTAGAGGATTTAGAGGTGGTTTCCGAGCACCAAGACGGGGTGTTTTCAGAGGTCGCGGAAGAGGCTTCTACGCTGGATATGCTCCTTATTGAGAAAGGAAAATCAAACACCAGCTCCACAGAAAAGCTGCTGTCAGAAAAGGGGGAGGAAGGAAATTCATGTAAAAGATCCGGGAAGAATCCAAGTTTACGATAACAGCAGTGTGTGTGTGTAACAATGTCTAAAGGAGTGAAAATATCCGAAAAGAATGTCCCGCGACACCCCAATAATAAAAAAAAAAGTAATAAAACACTAGAAAAAAAGAGAAAAAAAGAAGGAAAAAATATTTTCTGATAAAGAAGGAAGCGAGTGAAAATATCATGAAGAAAAAGATGAAATGGACAAAAAGGGGGTTGAAAAGAAAATCAGAGAGGTAGCATCTCGGATCGCAAGCGGACGAGCGGATCGAGTTGGCGCATGATGTCTGTGAGGCGCAGCGGAGCACATTTTGCTCGGTCAAATCATCGACAGAGCGTGTTCCGATTGGCCGGAGACTGCGTACTGAGTCACGAATCTCGTTTCGCCGACAGTCCTCAGTTCAGGAGGAACAGTTCGGATAAGATCGAGACTTCTTCTCATGATACAGATGTTTTTCTCGATCCATGAATAACTTATGAAGAAATATTCATTCCAGATCATTCCAAAAAGCGGTGGGGTTCTTGAAGGTCGGCTGGAAACACCTACTGCTACAGGATGAGGTTCAGCGGACATACGAGATGACAGTTTTGTGTGCTCTGGACTTCTACGTTCAGCAAAAGCATCGCCGGCTTGGATACGGAAAGAAGCTATTCGACTGGTTAGAGCCATGTTTTTCTACTTCTCGAGGAAGTCTGTTCGATAGGCCATCAGGAGTCTTATCGTTCCGATCCCGCTTGCTAGACTTGCTCGTGAAAACAGACTCGTCTCTAATGGCTCTCATGATTGTTTCTAGCATGCTCTTACACGAGGGCAGACGGCCGTGGGACGTACCAGTGGATAATCCGAGCTTGAGCTGTCGTCGCTTTCTACGGAAGCATTTCAATCTGTCGACGCAAATTCCTCAGATGAACAAGTTCGCAATATTCTTCGGATTCCCATTCCCGCCAGACAAGCGGAGGCGGGAACGATCAGGGAACGCGTCGGCTGAAGATTTCTACGCCTCGAAATCCTGTACTTTGAAGTTCTTCCAAGATATCGACGACCGAGACGATTTCATTTCCAAATCGTGAGTGTCGATCAGTATTTCGTACCTAGTTCCGCACTCACTCAAAGGCAGCACACAGGGGGGGGGGGGAGGGTTTTATCACGAGCCAATCTACTTTGACGCCATAAAATGGCAATGACTGACAAGCGCTGTCCTTTCCTCAGGTCGTCATGGAGGGTACTCGGGTTAGAGGCGCCTTTGCATGACATGGATGAGCTTTCACAATAGACTCCGATTAGGATGAACGCGCGCACAGATATGAGAGCTTTCACTTGATTGTGAAAGGTTTCGAAACCGGTGACTCGGGGCCGGAATCCCAGAAGGCTCCATTCCATAGGCTATGTCCCGGAAACAGTCCGCATTTCGGAGCAACTGATCCTGTAAGTATGCGCTCGAGTCGATGCATTGTACAAGTCCATCAGAAGAGATCCCTGCATTCCCCACCTTCATTGAGGAGTATGTAACGATCTCGCATCATTTGATCTTTTATTATTCCAACTGTACATCCATTCACTTATGAAATGCTGCATGCTGAGGCCATGTCGAACGATCAATAAATAAATAAACAGAGTACTAATATACTTGCGGAGAACGCCGTCTCTGTCTGCGCGTATACCTCGAAGGCGGGACGGGAGAACGACCGACAGATTGTCGTCATTTTTAGTTAACGAGTCGAAGCGTAAGTTACGTGAGTCCGGCGAGATCGGATCAGTGATGAAAATATATCGACCGAGCAGATCAAATGCGGGGACTGTGCTGAATGGGTAACTTGAGCAGGATGAACTCCTTCTTGAACTCTTCCAATGATCTGTTCGTGGCTGGGGAAGAGACACGAGAGTGCCAGTCGTAACTTACGATATAGGATGGAATGGAAGACATGGCGAAAGACTCACTTCGGACGGTCGACTCACCTGGGTTCATGAATCTCTCCGAAATCATTCGACCATACTTCTTCCATAAAATCAAGGCCAGAATGCAGTTTGTGAATATTATAGCGACCAATAGGCATCCAAGCCAGATCTGAGGGTAAGACACGACCGAGTCAGAAATGAGGACCAGTCAGCCTTGAGGTCCATAGAACTGGACTCCGTCAGTAGGAATCACCGTGGAACTCATACCTGCAGTGAGGAGAATTGAGGGAAATCATTTTGGATGATATCCCAGATGATCTCGTTGAAGGACATCTCCGCTTCCTGTGCGCAATCACAAGAAATCTGAAATTCCACCACAAGAGAAATCATGAGTCCTCTTCAATGACAAATACTCGAAATACTTGATTCGGTCCGGAGCGCCAAGAAGGTTGAGATGTCAGATGGATTCATCATCGGAAGAGTGCTAGAGATCGAGTTGTTCCCGCAGGGACAGTAAGCTCAGGATTCCTGACAGCGGAGGTCTTCGGCGCCTCGCTCCTCGAATGACCCCTGCCCTGCGAGCTCGGAATTTCGTCTCCCATGCCCTTACCTTCGCTAGAGACTCCTTCCGAACCCCTCATATTATCAGCGAGCGATACTTCTCCCGTCTCTTTGCAGACTGCCGGAGAGCTGCGGAGAGTTCATCCGATTCTGTTTTTGCTGCTCAATCGTGATTCGATTCAGACTTCGAAAGTCGGTCAGGCCGCGGCAGTGCTGTGATCGAATTCCCTGGCGCTAGAAACAGAGGCAATTCGTAATAGAGCTCCCTAAGCGGCTCCGAAATTTTGCGCGATGCGGAGTCTGCCAATCATGACTCGCCAATTGAGATTCTGCTAGCGGAATCGGCGAATTCCATTTTCCGAACCGAGAATTATGATTTCTTACTTCGCCAGAGCGCTGTCGATTTCAATGGGCGCTTTCAGGCCGAGGAGAACATTTCAATCGATTGCAGAAAAACAGCAATCAGACGTGTGAACTATTTACATGTAGTCAACTCAACTTGGACCAGTATGTTTATTTTATTATTACCCTCCTCTCCGCTAAGTCGGGTTTTCGAATCACAGCCACGGCGCGGCCGTGGCACCAATGGGGCCCTCTCGATCTCCACGAATCAGTGAGGATGCGCGGGAGCGTGCTCCGCGCAAACGAGCTGTAGTATCTGTCTCCGGTGAAGGCGACTGGAATGCACTCCAGGGGACTCAGCAGTGATGAGAGGACCGTTGCGTCGCTAGAACATTTAGTTAGCCCTGCATCAATTTCAGGCCTCGATCATCCCCTCGTCACTCGTCAGCTGATACCCCGTCATCCGGGACTTGGCCTGATTTGGCGACGGCATAACCCCAAGAAGAAATTCGTCCACATGATCCTTGATGCCGTGCGATGGGGAATAGATCTCGGTCGTCGATACTCGATACTCGGTTGCCGCATCCCGTCGGCGGCGGCCCCAGCACCCCAACGGCGCACAGCACTGACCGCCAGTCTGGTCGGGGAGAGAGCAGCTCATGACCCACACACGTACTACCGCAACGAAAATAATAATACTAGACACTGCAAGCAGCAGAAACGCGACTGTGTGGAGGAAGAGGAGTTCTCATTGACAGCGGTCCGGTCCATTGATTGCAATCGTTCCCGAAGCCTCCCACAATGAATAAACTCGATGAATTGGCATTCCAATTACGCTTCAGCTCGAAACAGCTGGAGCGCATGTCGAAGCGCTGCGAAAAAGAAGAGCGTGAGGAAAAGACCAAGATCAAAAAAGCTCTGGAGAAGGGTGAGTCACTAGCAAAGTACTCTGAACCGTCGATTTTCTTTCTCGACAGTCTCGGAGCAGTCCAGCTCCCCTCGATCGGTGTATTCAAAAGATCTCTCTCGGAAACTGCTGCAGCTGTTCGCCTAGCTTCGGGAAACTCAATAGCTGCGTTCGAATCGCTGCCTTCGACCCGTGACTGATTCCGCTTGCAATACCTCTTGCAGCAATCAGACAGCGTATGTAGAAGTGTCAGACCCCCACGGCAGCACAGTTGGTGGGGTCACGGCACCAGCTGATCGAGATTCGGCGCTTGGTCGGGATCGTTCGCGGACTCTCGGTGTACCCGAATGGATATTAGCTGAATGACTGCTCGCTCTGTTTTCAGGGAACACTGAAAATGCAAAGATCTACGCGGAGAACTCCATACGGAAACGCACCGAGGCCACGAATTTCCTACGTATGGCAGCTCGTGTCGACGGAGTCGCGTCCAGAGTCAAGAGCGCCGCGGCAATGAATCACGTCTTGAAAAACATGGGCAGCGTTGTGAAAAATCTCGATAAAGCAATCAACGCCATGGACCTCCAGAAGGTCATTATATATATATACCTCACCATAGCCCACGTGGATCCTGCCACCCACCCATCTGAAGCTCTCTCGAGGTTTATGAGAAAACACCTCACCCGAAGCCCTCGATTTGCAGGTTTCGACAATCATGGAGAAGTTCGAAGAGCAGTTCGAAAGCCTCGATGTACGATCGTCGGTCATGGAAGATACGATGGGCTCGACCACGGCGACCACAACACCGCAAGGACAAGTAGATGCACTCATCCAACAGGTTGCGGACGAGAACGGTCTGGAGTTGAAGGAGAAATTGGCTTCTGCCGCGACAGAAGTTCCAACGGATCAGGTGTCGGGTTTGAAAGTCACGACGAAGGAGGAAGACGATGCTCTGGCGAGGAGACTTGCCGCGCTACGGAACTGATCCACCCTAAGCCTCGACCGATAGACCCCCTGGGAAGTACCAAATGAATATGGAATAAATATATGTTTTGATTGTTCTTATCCTCATTTTCTGATGATTGGGGACCTTCATCGAGTCTTCAGATTCGAGGCGATGTACTATACATATGGCGAGCGGGACAAATCTCGTATGACGCTCCTGCATCATAAGTCTCAACTCGCTAGCTTTATTATGTTTTTTTATTCACAATGGCAGACCTCCGTCGGTTCGGCGAGGTTTTCCGTCGATCGTTTTGAGCCTTCAGGAGGAGATTTTTTTTTCTCCGTCGTGTTTAGTCCAGAGGTTCTCGAACGTCATCACTTTCTTGCTCTGCTCCTGGAAGGTTTCTGATGGCGGTTTTAACCACAAGGACGGCGCCACATCCAGGACACTCCCGATAACTTCCAAGCCGAAGTATTCCGGGAATCTATCTCGATCTTCGATTACATGGGCATAGCCATTCTGCTCGCCAAAATCCACCGCGAAATACGGAAGCCCCTTCGGTATGCAGGATCGGGCTCCTCCGTCAGTCAGACGTACCTGAAAAATGTCAGACCGATTCGTCTCATAGCTGTGGGACCAGGAGCGGCTCCATATTCTGGAGGTAGAGAGGTTCATCCTATGTAGCTGGGCACCGTCGATTCGAAGGACCTACCAATTTTTTGTTCATACTCCATTCGGTCTCGCACTCCTCGATCGCTTTCTTGAAATACATGGGCATCATATCCGCCGACTCCACAGGTATCGGAACGCATTGCATCACTGCATGCGATCGCTGGGAAAGCTTGACGCTCGTTTGCAGGAATATGCAATCCATTTCTTCCGCTTCGAAAATCCGGGTCAGGACCTTCCGGAGTTTCTAGAGGGGGAGGGGGGAGGGGGGGGACGAACACGCACTTAAAAACCTCTTCTGTACCAAGTTTGAGCGGGAATCCGGAGCGCAAGGATATTCTGCGCTTGATAAGGCGAATGGCATAGGCTCCCAGCATCGGTTGTAGTTGACCCAGTTCAAATCCCTCGAGCCTCATCCTGGATCGCAATAGTTACCTGCAAATCCGACCACGTATCCTCGTCCGCCTGCGTGAGCACGGGCAAGTGCTCTTTGGGTACCAGGATGCAATGGAAATCGGTCAAGGAGCTGTTTCGGGGCAGCATCAGACTGACGTTCTCTCCCGAATGGATGATGAGATGTTTGACGCACGTCGATGACTCCACACAGAACGGGCAGGATGCCACGAAGCTGTCGGCCCTTGAACGATCTGGGAAGGATAAGCCGTTGAGAAGAGTCCCGCAAACTCCCAAAACTCAATACGAGAAACTCACGATGCCTAGAGCGCACGAACATCGCGAGGCTTGATCCGTGACCATGTATCACGGTCGGCCGGGGTTTGCCCCTGGCACTCGGCACTTACCTCTCATCGCGGGATTTAGCGGAAGCTGGCTTCGCACTCCTGATTCTTCATCGTCTTCGTCGTCGTGTTCTCCGTTTCCTTCGGTTAGCTCTCGACTTGAGCCCGCTTCCATCTTGTTGATGGCTCGCTGGAGCACTGCATCCATCCTCTCGTCGCTTTCGACTTTTTTGCGAACGAACTGCATTGAGGATTTAGAAAGAACTTTAGACATTTCCTGAGGAAATTCTTGTAGAGAACCGAACGATGCAAAATCGGAAGTCGACTGCTGGAATCAGCGGCACGCATTCGCTGACCTTATCTTCGAGACGATGCCAAGCGTCGTCATTTCGCATCTTCTTCTTTTCTCGTCCACAAGAAGAGTTCGAAATGCGTTTTCCCTGATCGTGCCGACTTTCACCTATTGGGGAGGGCAATAGAAGCGCAATGGAGAGCTCAGACTCACACAGCGGATATAGTTTGCCACGAATCAAAAATAGGGGGATGACTATGCTCACTTTTCGTTATGACAATGACCCTCGTCTCCTCATCTCCCGCTGCTTGTTCGGCCAAATGTCGAGCGACGTCCAGTTTCGCTTTCAAGCGCTGCACAGTCTCTTGATCGCCGCGTAACTCTGCTTTGAGTATCTTCGCCGACAGTTTATTCATATCGTCTTTACCGAGTGCCTGGCGACATGAACCAGTTACAGCGAATACAAAGGAGGCGGGATTAACTTCATATTTCAGCGATGTTCTCATTCGAAAATCGAAGAAGACTCACCGCGGGTGTTTGCGTTCCGCCCTTCGAAACGTCTTTCCCCATCGTGATCCTGACGTCATCAGCCGGCAGACTCCGGACGACTCTCGTCCGATCCTTATCCTCTTCGGGGTTATCCCGAGTCTGCTCCTCAGATCTTCGCGAGCCATGCGCGCAGTCGCGGTCGGTTTTCTCTTTCTCCGAAGGACTTTCCTCAAGGACCTCCTCTTTGGCAGCAGATACGTTGATTCGCGCATCAGGTTCACAACGTCTGGTACTCGAATCCCTTTGCCTTTCGGAAGCTCTCCCCGAGTCCTCGACGTCGCGTTCACTACGCTTGTCTCCCGCGTAATCTCGCTTCCGCCAGGAAGATCGATCGTGGGTCCTCGATACGCTGCGAGCTTCCGGCCGGCGGACACTCGGTCTCCTAGAAATTCGCCGTCCCAATAATCGAGAGAAGGAACGCAGAATGTGGAGCTACATAGCTCTAACGATATGAAGCTGGTTGCCCGGTGAGAACTCACTGTGAGTCGTCGTCATCGTCGTCGAGGGGTTTCCTCATCTTCAAATGTGCCTTGGATCTCTGTGGAGATGAAAAATAATGATATACATAAATCGATTCCCCGGAATCGGCCGACACCCACCATTGGCATCGAGAGGCTCAGGATTTTTTCCGAGGCGGTTGCCCAGGGTTTTCTGACAGAATCAAGACTTCAAGAAGCGGTTGAACAAACCGAAGTTTCCTCCACAGGAGCTGTCTTCTCTTCCCATTCATCCGAACTGTCCTGAAGATGGGGAAGGAACCTTCATTGCTTAGACCCTGAGGTTCGGATAGAACTCTCACACCATTATTCCTTCCGCACTACTACAGGGCGAGCTTCTCGCTGTCGACATTTCTGGAGGGAAAATCCTCCGGAGTGCTCACCTCATGTTCTCTGCGCCTACTGGACTTCTTGCTCTTCTTGTGCTTATGCTTCCCCATTCTGCGTATTGGACAGACTCTCTGCTCACTCTCGCCAAGTCGCAGAGATCCCCCGCCGGCAAAGTCAGATGCCGATCCTAAGCTCGATCGGTCGAATGACACTCGGAAAGATTCGGATACCGGATCAGAACTAGCGCGGCTTTTTCGGCGGCTGTCACTCAGCAGCCACGGCCATTCGTCCGAAAACATGGCCGCGCAGCAGACGGTTTTGGGAATGGAGAATCCATTCGACAAGAATCGTTCCCATCCATTTTCGGCCTTTCAAGCCACCATTCCAGACGTGTTCCGTCCTCGTCCGATCTAGTCCCGCGTTTCTGTCGATCTCAAGCCGAAATGATCGTTACCTCTGGAATGGTGGTAAGTTACCCCGCTGTTTTGGCGGTCGAATCCTGCCCTCAGCGGAGACTCTCTTGTTTTGATAAGTAACACCGAAAACACGACAGCAGCAGCAGAGCTGACTGAGTGAGTTGATGAAGAACAATAATTGTGTCAAGCGAATGATGTGAAGCACCGCGATGAATTTGTGGGCTTGTTTTGCACTTCTCAGTATAAGGTCAATCGAGATCGACCGCTGCCGAGATAGACTTTGAAGCTCAGTTCGATTCGGAAGCGAATGAAAACGCCTCTCTCCACCTCCGTGGATTTCTCGTCTCTGTTGAGTACCATTCACCCAGGTAAGAATCGTCGCGGTCCAGGAACAGTTGCACAGGGATCGCTCTCAGGGGATCGTCGTAGGCTACGCTGCAGAATGAGGTAGAACAGTTCGATCCAAGATCGTTCCTAGGAGTCTCTGGAGTCCACGCATCATCGGATTTGCGAAAGCCGCCGAGATCTGAAACTATCGCAGTTCATCCATCCGCGATATCACGCGGCTCCGACGTGCGGATTCTCAGCTTTCCCGACGCTGCGACGAACATAGGGAGAGAAGTTCCGCAAACCTTCCCTCTGGTCTCGACCTGCGCTGAATGCTACGCTTGTGGGTGACAGATCAGTCACGATGACATGCTTGTGGTCGAAACTCAATAGAGACGTTTGCTTCGTGTTCCAGTCGCGCACCGTGGCTACCCCGAAAATAACGTCGAAGGTGCATCACCTGCGGAAGCTGCTGCCCTGGGCCAGCTTCATGGGGGCAAACGGTTCTCTGCTCAATGATCGGGAGGATGCCATCCCGTCAACCGAGCGCTATCTCGGTCTGGTGAATTTCGGCAATACTTGTTACTGTAATTCGGTTCTGCAAGCCCTGTACTACTGCAAGCCCTTCAGGGAAAAAGTTCTCGAATACAAGGTGAGTGTGGTCGAGCGATGACCGCTGAGCGCCAATATTCACGTGATTATGTACGCGGGACAGGGACGCTGGGAGTGCTCTCCTGCTGCGTCGCGGCCGAAGCTCGCAATGCAATCGTGGCTGCAGGACCAGGTCTGAGCGTTGGAATGCACTTGCAGGCGAAGAACAAACGAACCAGAGAAACCTTATTGACGTGTCTGGCGGATCTGTTCCATAATATACATTCGCATAAGAAGAAAACCGGCACGTTGGCGCCGAAAAAGTTCATAGCCAGATTGCGCAAGGACAACGAGGTGTTCGATAATTATCTACAACAGGATGCGCACGAGTTCCTCAATTATCTCTTGAACACGATCGGAGATCTCTTGCAAGCTGAAAGTATATCGAAAGAGCCGTCATGGGTGCATGAAATATTCCAAGGTGAGTTTCTCCGTCTCGTTTAACTTATGCCCCGATAATTAAAAGAATCTGTTCTGAACGTGGAGATCTCGAGAAATGAGATGAAGTCTGATTGTTCGGGAGATCGCCGAATAATCATGTTCGTATTCGATGATCAGGTACCCTCGTGAACGAAACTCGGTGCTTGACTTGCGAAACGATCTCTTCGAAAGACGAAGATTTCCTGGACTTGTCCGTGGACATCTCTCCGAATACTTCAATAAGCCACTGTCTACGCGGCTTCAGTTCAACGGAAACCCTGCGTGGTGAACACAAGTACCACTGCGAGCAGTGCAACTCGAAGCAGGAAGCCCAGAAATCCCTTAAAGTAAAGAAACTTCCACCTATATTAGCTCTGCACCTCAAAAGGTTCGTTTCTCCGTAACTTGGATTCTGGTTCCCGGAGGAAAGGCGGTCGTTTGCGTCGAGCTAGAGCTGACGAGCCGAGCAGCTCCCCGAGACGGGAGTAATTAGAGCCATTCCTCACGGTCTTATTTCCTCATTCCAGATTCAAGTACACCGAGCAGCAGAATCGCAATACGAAGCTCTCTTGGCGTGTCGTCTTTCCACTGGAACTCAGACTGTTCAATACTTCAGACGATGCTGTGAACGGAGATCGTCTGTACGACCTCGTCGCTATCGTTGTGCACTGCGGAACCGGTCCCAATCGGGGCCATTACATCTCTATAGTGAAATCGCACGGGGTCTGGTTACTCTTCGATGATGACATCGTTGATAAGATCGATCCGACAACAATTGACGACTTTTTCGGGCTGACACAGGACACTCCAAAGGCTTCGGAGTCGGGATACATTCTTTTCTACCAGTCGAAAGAGTGAGACCAGAAAAGCAAATTGTTGTTTTGTGGGGACTGCCAAAGACCATCCCGCGTACAGATCCAAAGATTAGTTTATGAGTGAGCTCGACGGCGAGCCGGTAACAGTGATAGACCGGGTGGGTCAGTCGGAACAATTCAGGAAGCGCAAACTTGCTCATTTCGATCCATCTTGCCAACTGAGGGACGACTTACGATAATCATTGAACGCTGTTCCCGAGGCTTTCGCCTCACAGCGTTTCTGGATCTATCGAACCAACAGATCGAGTGAATTTCCTCCGTCGAGTCCTTCTGCGCGAGACCGAGGAAAGAGATCTTCGGAGGATTGAGCGGATTCCATCGGAATACGGCGTACGCAAGCTAAGGGGCGAGCAAGCATCAATCGTCTGACCTTTCTGATGGCGGGGACGAGTTGTCGTGTACATATGAAGTGATATAATATATTATTTCATCAAGTTATCGGAGCGGGAATTGATGCCGCGGAGAGGAACGAGGGCGGATAAATAAACTGTTATCAATTTCTATCCCGTTTGTTATCGTTGCATAGATAGCACTCCGAAGCGGGCAGAGCTCCTTCCGGAAGTCGGGATGAGCAATCTTATTCGGTATAAGGGATTTATTCTAGTCCGGCGATTCATTCACAAGAGTTCACGCTTGACGACTAGTTCTTTGAAAAAGTTGTGAATCACTTCAGGTCCGTCCACATTCGTGAACTCGGTGTCTGGCGAGTGGAGTTCGAGTCCATTTTTGCCAAGAACTACCTGATGAGGGATGCCGCTCGATTTCAGTTCCAGGAGCTTCCTGCCGATCGACCATTTCCTGTCGTCGAAGATGACGCGATGACTCGGCAAGATCTGAAATATATTCACGATGTTTGAAGGATTGAATGCTCGTTATACATCTATTGTGCGGCGACGAGTTTCATCATGGAAGACCGTTTACCCTATCGAGTTGGTCAGCCATCTCCATGGCTCGGGGATTCAGATCCTCGTACTCTCTGGAGCCTTGTTTCGGCCCGATCACTCCGACGGTGAAAGGAGCTATGGCGTCGGGCAATTTAAGTTTAAGCCCCTGAGATAGGATATGCGCTGCGGCAGACATTATGCGGGTCACGCCAATGCCATAACATCCCATTTGCAGTGGAAGCTAGGAGAGAAGATCGGGTCCTGGTTGAGAATGAGGGACTTGAGAACCATCCCGCGGAGATGCAAGCGGCGATAATTTTTGGGGGAGGGGAATTCCACACTCACATTTTGGCCGTTCTGGAAAGATTTCGCGCCGAAAAGCTTCGAGTAGGTGTCGCCCAAAATGAAGGTATGACCGACTTCAATGCCCTGAAGCTTCTGCATCTCTGATGAACAGCTAGGGCATCGGGTATCATTGGCATCTTTCAGAGCCTCCCCATTGATTTTGTGCTCACAAGTCCCACAGGCATAGACGACATCCTCACCGTGCGGCGAGCAGTAGTGATACTCGTGAGACACCGATCCGCCCATGTCCCCGGAGCTCGCCAACACTCTCACGAAGGGCAAACCAATTCGATTGAAGATTCTGTCGTATGCCCCGGTGACTGTGTCGTAGGTTTCCTGACATTTTTCCAGGTCGGAGTCGAAGGAATACATGTCTGCCATTAGAAATTCTCGTGCCCGCAGGAGACCTCGTTTCGGTCTGTCCTCATCCCGGAATTTCCAAGACGTCTGATAGAGTCTGCAATAGTGGGACATGGATCGTCATGGTGGGCCAGATCCGATTGGCGAGAGCGGAGCCCCCCGAGAATCGCCGATCTCACCGTATAGGGAGTTTGGTTCCGACGGATGATATTTCCAGGGCGGCAATACATTGCGTTACGGTTTCCTCATGCGTTGGACCGAGGCAGAACTCCTGTCCCGCCCTGTCTGTGACTCGAAATAGAACTGGTCCGTAACGGTCCCATCGGCCGCTTTTTCGCCAAAGTTGTGAATGGCTAAGGGACGGCAGAACGATCTGATGAGGAGAGCAACGAGCTCGTGAGAATATGTCGTGGCATACGTTTGGGTCGGGACTCCATTCGAATAATCACTGCACTGATAGAGGATTTGAGCTTAGGATCTTCGAATCGAGTTTTACTTTCTGCCCATCGATCGCCTGGAATTCATGATCGATTATTTTGGTGAGTCGTTCTAAGACTTTGTTCGCTAGAGGTAGAATGGCGAATGTCCCGGCACTGAGTGGCTGGATCGCGAATATTGTCTGGTAGGCAACATCGCCTCGATCCTCCTGTAAATCGAGTCGGGGGTTACTCTCGACAGACGTCTCTTGGTCTTCTGCGGGGTAAGGAGAGGAAGAAGGCATTCCCTCCTCGATATACTCCGAGAACTCGAAATCAGTCGAGAACTTCGAGAGGTTCTTCCATTACCTTGGCTGCTTTACTGAATGACGGGAAGGTGAAGAAAGAGCTCGTCCGCGAATACAACCTAGAATGTCCAATTTTCTAATCCAGGCAGAGCAATCGAGGAGAAACGCTCTGCTCATGATGTTTGCCGGCTGCCCGTCGCCGCGAAAGATACGATTGGGAGCTCAACGGCAGTTCGTTCCGAGTGTCTGATCAGCGATCGACGGAAAGCTTACAGAAAAGCAATGTGAGGACGGCTAAAGCGCGACCTCCGATTTACCTCCGTGGGTTGAGAAACATTAGGCACTATGAAGTTGGATATCGGAGTTCAGCCAATGAGTCGCGCACCCACTCTGTGTTTCTGCCGAGCTGTCTGCTCAGCTCCGCTCGCTCTCACCCGCTGCTCACTCGCACGTGCCCATGTTGACGTTGTTGTAATCGAGGGGACTTCTTCACGACGAATTCGAACGTTTGCATTGTACGCGAATTCCGACGTCCCGAGCGTGTGATTCTCAAAAAGGACGATCCCTGTTGTCGGGAGACACGCCAGACATCCTTTCAGTGAAGAACCGATTCGATCGCATGTAGCTCACTCCAAACAGAGAAATCAAAATTGTCACGGAAAGCTACGATGAGCACCAGCAGCAATGGTGATTAGACTTCTGAATTATACACTCGCGTATGTCAGTCCCGGTTTTATCGACGGTTCGCGCATGACAGCTAGCCGGACGACTTATTCCAGGAAAGTCAGTATTCTGTTCGTCTCATCACGCCCATGAACGATTCACTTGGAAACCGAATAGGTAGACGAGTTCGACAACAGTTGGTTCCCATCGCTCACATTGAACACATTTCGACAGCTTCCAGGAGAAGAGCACAAAAACATCAGAATACTTTCGCTTTCAAGACAGGTCTCTACGGCCTCACGCCTCAGCAAAAAGCAGTGCAGAATCTCTCAATAGAAGGTGAGGCTTGACCGGGCTTCGGATATGGAGGATGTCTCGAGGGGGAGGAACGATTCACAGAGGACCTTACCCACTCCATCTTTAGTGCGCTCTCTCTCGTAAACCCGAGGAGAGACCGCGCCGGTTGGGTCTGCCGTTCCGAAATTTGACGTTCCGAAATATCTTTTATTACAGGCGTATGTACGCGGTGCAAAGACGTCCTCGAATGGAAGATAAAATATGATAAATATAAACCTTTGACTGTGCCGGCTCGATGCACGAAATGTGGCGAGAAAAATATTAAGAAAGCCTATCATATGCTGTGCTCAGGATGCGCCGGTAGCTCAGATCTTTGTCCCAAGTGTGGGAAGGTTCCTCCGCTGAAACCTGATGAATCTGAGTGATTCAGTTGGTTTCGAGAGTCGAATTAAAGTGTCGTCCATCGAGAATAGTTGTGATCATTGATCGATAGAATACGGAAGGGGAGCAGCATCATCCGTTGTCTGTGGAGCTGGAAAATCTCCCGTACTTACAGAAGATTCTTCCTAAAGGAAAATCGTGATACCAAAAATCCTCTTTTATTAGTCTAAAACAGTCGGCCTTGATGGATACTTCCCCTCCATCGCTGGTTTCTCGGATTCATCCGTATCGCTGCTCCTCCATAACCGTCATCGGTAGTTATTGACTCGAGGGCTGATGACTGCGGTGCGCTTCATATTTTTGGCTACACATTCGGGAAAAAAATGCACGTCAGCTCCGCGTGAGAACCACACCAAGAGATGAGCTCTCTATCCCATTCTCGGATGCGATCCCTTCTTTCAAATCGCGAGTTTTTCCCTGCTCTTGTCAGATTCGATGGAATCTCTCTTCCATCGCAAGGAAGAGAGATTTCAACTTTCAAACAGGACCGGACAGCCGACGCATGGTATCATTGCACATTCAAGCTTCAAATACGGCTCCGATCACTAGAGCAATACATCGATGATTATGCTCATCACGGTTGATAGGAAGTTGAGCAAGGGAGATTCATGGAAATTAGATGCGCCTCTGTAAGCATCTGTTTCCACGAAATCCGTCCTCATGTCCTCATCATCGAGCAGTAATTCACTATCGGTCTCTGTAGCGTCTTGGTCGATCTGGAATCAAGAGAATGAAGTGAGGAGAATGACACGGGCGTCGAGGACCGATTTCCCGACATGGAATTCGAGTTATTACACTTTACCTTGACCTGTAGCTCATATATTGACTTCTCATGCGACGGGTGACCGTAAACTCCGATCACCACGGGACGGATTGCGATGACCGGGACGACCACGCGATCAATCCCGCATGAAGTGCTCTGGTAGGAATGGTTCCCGATACTGTAATCAGGCTCTATCCCTGAAAGGCACAGAGATGCTCACGTATGCAATGCTCCGAAGAGCGGAATATCGATTCGAACTGATTTGAATTGAGCAGATATTCCCGAGGATTTCGAACGGACCATTTTCGCCTATGTACAAGTCAGGATCTCCTTCCTTGGGAATCAGAGTTATAACGACTCTTCCAGGTTTGTTCAGCGTGTAATAACTGAACTGGCCGGACTCGATAGTGGCTAAAATCTTATCGACTACCACATGTCCCTCCAGATTCGTTATGGCATTGACAAGGCACAGAAGACTCAACAACAACATTTTCCCGTTCCTGTGGAAAATTGGATGTCGCTCAGAATGAGACCAGTGAAATCGCTGTCCCCAGGGGACCTCACCGTATTTTCCCCGTCAACAATTATTCGCGTTTCCGAAAGTCACGGGACGATAAGCCCGACCGTCAGGAGCACTGCTCAAAGTAGGAATTTCCGTATAAAGTACATACTTGTGTTCTGCAATAGCGCGCTCTTTCCGAGTATCTAAATTCTCATTTGAAAAGCGGAGAATAGTAGAGACATGTCACGTTGGCAGCACTGAGGATTCCGGAATTGAACACCTCGCTCACAGCCCTCGCGGGGTCGCTTGAAACTTATCGAGGCGTTGAAAAAGCAGGTGTCGTTTTCTCGTTCCCGACCTCCTATTTACACAATACGAGAATGACAATGGCGCCAAACTTGAATCTCCCCTTGCCGAAGGTCGGTATGGCTCGGTCACCACAAATCGTCTTGCCTGAGACTTGAGCGATATTATAAGCTAGAAGCTTGGTGCGTCAGTCGCGCAATTCGACTCTGATATCGATTTTCAAAGAAAGATCGTCCATTCCCCCAAAAACCATGAGCACCGCTGAACCGGCGGCTGTGTGCGTTGTCGAGAGAGGGAAAATTCGAAGGAGCCAACGCGTGCGTGGAGAAGAATCGAACGTCGATGTCACGGTGGATTCTCTGAATGACGGCACATCTGGTCGGATTGTGAACGATCGATCACCACTATGTCTGATCATGCCAAGCGATCTTCCAAGAAGAGACACAAAAAGCTCATCAAAGCGGGGAAGAGCCTAGAGAACGATTTCGGGGTGAAACTCTCCGCCGCGCCAACAAAGGTGAGAACTTTCGTTCGATAAGGCCAGACGGAGCTTCATTTTCGATTGCGGCTCATGCGATGCTATTTTCTAGTTCGTGCTGCTCTCTAATGCTGGATTAGTCAATGGTGGTTTGACGTCTTCGATCCTGAGAGCCCTTCCTGAATCGGACAATCTGCATTATGACGTCGTGCTGCACCCGGACAAAACATATGCGGTCGTGAGATGTCCTAACATCGAAGCTGCGTCTGCTGTGATTGAAAATCTCGACGGATCGTCATCATTGGATTATCTCGATGGACAGCCGGTTCACGCGGGATATCTGGAGGGCGGTGAGCATCTCTCACCAAAGAAGGGGCAGACCAAACACTCTCGGTCGGATATGCTTGCTCCATGCTTGCTTCATGCACTAGAGCCAGGATTTCCATCCTAGGCGATAACTGATGGCGCTCCCCTCGATTCCAGATATCCCAGATCCTGATTTGCAGAGCAGTTCCCTGCCCTCGGGTCTGGAGATTATCGAGAACGGCTTATCGCCCGAAGATGAAGCCGCCTGGCTGAAACTCTGCTCGTTCGATGATGGTATGTCGGACTTCTGATCTCGAGGCTTCCGATGACGATTTACCTCAGCGAGGTTTTGGGGCGGTGAAATCAAGTAGTTATTTATTGTTTCTCGATTCTTCCCAAGATTCCGCTAGCTGTCTCCTCAAGAACCGTCTGGTTGAACATTTCGGATACCGTTTCGACTACGCGATCAATGGAGTTAACCGAGACGACCCTCTGCTTGAGAAACCGATCCCAGAACCCTGCACCAAGTTTCTCAAGGGGCTCGTGCACCGAGGGCTGATGCCGGAATCTTGCTTCCCGAATCAGCTCACTGTCAACAGATATGAGGCTGGCGCCGGTAAGCTGAAGCGGGAACGAACGACAGAAACTTCTACTTCGATGCGTGGAATCCAACGGGGATTCTAGCGCGTGGATTCGCTCCGAATAATTTTTCCCCGCAGGAATCCCCGCACATTGTGATACGCACTCAATGTTCTCCTCGTGTATCGTTGTGGTGTCCCTCGGCGCGGACGTCGTCGTGAACTACCGGAAAGACGACACGGAACTTTCTGTTCTAATTCCAAGGCGGAGCGTGACTCTGATGCAGGACGAGAGCAGATACGCCTGGACTCATAGGTCGGTTTTCGGGGTCATATCGAACTCATACGATATCAACATGATTAGAAGCGCGCTCAAAAACCGTAAATTTACTGATTGTTCCGGATTTCGCTTTTTCAGCATCATACCCAGGAAGTACGATCTCATTCCGAGCGGCTCGGGTGCGCCCCTAGCCGTCGCTCGGGGGGTTCGAACATCGTTCACATTCCGGCGCGTTCGCTCCCAGGAAGCATGTGATTGCAGCTTCCCATCTCTTTGCGATTCGAGACTTAAGTTTTCCCTGGATGAATCCGACGCGGCGCAGCTAGAGAAGCTACATGTTCATGAAGTGAGAATAGCCCATCGCGCCGTTCATGTATTTCCGAAGTTGAGACCTACCGACTCCCTTATACGGAATTCAACGGCAAAATTGTGAGAGATTCTTTCTCTGCAGGTGTACGAAAACATAGCGAGTCACTTCAGCGATACCCGTCACAGTCAGTGGCCGAAAGTGGTGGAGTTCCTCAACAGTCTCCCAGATTGTTCTCTGGTAGTCGACGTGGGATGCGGGAACGGAAAGAACATGCTCATAAAAAACAGGGAAGACCTGAGTTTCATCGGCTGCGACCGCAGCTCGGGGCTCCTGGAAATCTGTCGTCGGAAGAATCTGCAGGCGTTGCAGTGTGATTGCTTGGCTTTGCCATTCAGACATGCGGTTTTCGATGCCGTTATCTGCATTGCCGTGATTCATCATCTCTCCACGTCACTTAGGCGAAGGCAGGCGATCGAACAGTTGCTGAGTCTCCTCAAGAAAGATGGAAAGCTGCTGATAAGTGTGTGGGCCTTCGATCAGAACCTCCGAGGAGGATCGAAATATCTGAAGGGTGGTGATCCTTCTACCGCTACAGCGAGGCACGCATGCATTCGTGCCGGCAAGGCTGAGGTGTGTACCGTTATCGTAATAGAGGACTTCCCAACCTCTCCTGAATTTCCTTGGACTCTGGTCTAGCACAAACCAGGCTCGGAATAATATCTGCTCGATTCCAGGTCACTCTCCCGGTACACACGAACCGATGCGCATTTTCGAACTCAGATGTTCTCGTTCCATGGAAGAAATCCGAGAATAACGATACGCAGCAACGATATTACCATGTGTTCGACAAGGGTGAACTGAGATCACTCGTTCAGGATATTGAGGGAATAGAGCTGCTGGACGAATACCACGACGAAGGGAATTGGTGTATAATTTTGAAGAAAACGCAACAAGTATTAAACGAGGTGGAAACGTGATGCAGTGGCCTTTTATTACAATAGTTTCCTTCTCGTCCTCCTCCCCCCCCCTCGAGTATCCTATAGCCTTTGTCGGCTCAGCATCGCCGAAGATGCCAGCCCGAAACTTCTTTTCATTGACATCGGTTATTGGGTCGAGCCCGAGCAGAATTGTTCAATTCTAACGAATGGTCGGTACGGGTAGATTCAAACCTGGTTTCGATTCAAAGAAAGTATACGACAGCGTTATTTGGTCGACATTTTCCATTTTCGGGTCTTCAGCGTACTCCGGATCTATATAGAAGAAAACGGGCATGTCCACCTGAAACAACGGAGATTTTCAGCGTCAATTCATAGTGAGCGATGTTTCATGGAATTTATCTCACTCAGGCGAGGATGCCGTCCATCTCGGAAAATAATTACCTCTTCACCCGGATTGAGTCTTTGTTCTTCAAAGCAGAAGCACTGAATCTTATTGAAGTATTTGCCGGCTTCGAAAGGCATCACGTTGTATGTAGCAATACCATCCACGGGTTTATCGAAGGGATTTTTGGCGGAATAGAAGGCTAACACCGTCTCACCGGGTCGAAGCCGGACGGAGCTCTGTTGGGGCTTGAAATTCCACCTGGGAAGAGAGATATATGTATCAATCTCTTTGAGCCCGACACTGCGCGAGCTTCCTCGTCAAAACTCTCCAAAATCGATCCCTACCCCCCTCGATTGAGCCTCGATATTTCGGGGGAGCGCAGTAGAATCTTTACCTCATCCCAGATGCGGTGTCAGCCTGGAAGCTCACTGTGATTGTCCTGTGCTTCACCGCGGTCATCGTTTCCACCTTGCTACCAGCGTCTTCGGTGGACGGACCAAGAAAAGCGGCCTGTCCTCCGGTGCCTGCCGCCTGAAACGGGCAGGATCGTCGTTCCATTTAGGGGTCTTATCACCGATCATCGCATCATATATCATATGAGGGAGCAATTTCTATGCGGAACTCCATGATTCGAAATTATTATTTTCGCGACAGACTCCCAGGTCGACTGGTGAGTTCTGACCTGGCAGTATATCCGGTAGAGGGGAACAGCTGCATAACTCAGACCACCAACGACCAGAACAAGCGAAGTTGTATAGTACACGGCAGTGCGGTTACCGATGACGGCCCGCTTGTCACTAATAGTCCGTGAGATGCGTTTAGTAATCAATACTTTAGGATGCTTCAATAAACACTGGGTACTCAGTCGCCCCAGCGCCCTCAAGCACATAATTCGCGACCGCGCACGAAGACCAATGAATACACAGGAGACATTCGAATCAGCTGATCGGATGGAAGCATTCGCGTTCTGATCATCGAGGCTGACATTTCCGACCCAAGCCGGCCGCTTCTGCGCCGCGCGCTCTCTCGAAGACTCATACAGAGGAGAATAAGAAACAAGGATCCTTAATGCAGAACATGGGCGTCGGTTTGCAACTCAATTTCGCAACAAGATATCCACGAAAAGCGGGAGGAATATGCGAGGAGACGATGAATGTAGGGTGCACGCTTTCTCCCCCGCTTGGTCAGCCTGGGCTCGGAGCCTGGACTTATCCTCTACTGAACAACTTCGGATCCCCGGAGGTTTGAGACTCTGATTCCAGCGGACAGTACTGTTAGGCCAAACATCACATAAGCGACAGAAATACATGGATTTCTGTCCTCGACGTCCGAGTTGCTCAGATTCACTTATTCCGTCTCGAGCGGGAGCGCGGCGGATCCTCTGCTAGGGGATAAATTCGATTCGATTTCTGGCTCCGCTGCTCCGCCATGAGGATCTCTCGCACAACATGAGATCAGAGTCCGCTTCCAATCGCCTGAAGTAATGAGCGGGGAACCTACGGCTCGTCGCAGCGGCGGATGGACGTCGCTGAGATGCGATCTCCTAGCCGTCGGAAATTATAGGTCACGCCGAACTGAACTAGGAGTTGGAACACTGGACAGCTACGTAGCTTGTGACGTAAGGACGGGAATTGCGCTTTCGGTCTCAAGACTAGTGCCAAAATTCTGTGTCATCAACGTCGACCTAGCGCAGACTGCATTCTTTCATCAACTCGTGTCTTAGGATCCGCTGAAATTGAGTTCATGCCGTATGGCCGGAACCCTTGCATTGGATTCTCGTCGGAGTCCCAATCGTGCCGGAAAGGTGCCGATTTCATGGACGGATAACGGGTCACCCAGGAAACTTGAGCTCACTCAGCTATAGCTACCGCGGATATTCACGGAATTCGCGACGAGATCGTTCTCGAAAGGTTGCAGTGATCTGCGATCGTGAATCGAGTGCGACGAGATTTCAAGGATCGGTTGTCGTTCGGAAGAGTCAAGCTATACTGTATCAACTTTACCAAGGTACTGTCTCCCTCGCCTGACAAACATTCTGTACTTTGAAGGGCACTCGAGTCGAGAATCTCCCCCAGTACTAGACTTTCCTCAAACATCTTTCCTTGACGTTTTCCTTGGCGTAAGAGACGGCGACGGCTCGTTTCTGATGGCAGTGTGAGCATTCACGACATCCTTGCTCGGGAACGAGAGCGAGCTCGACGGATCCTGAAGGAACGTGAGCAAGAGCGAGGATTTTCTCACAGCGCCCACGACTTTCGATGAGGCAACAGTTGTTTTCGGGGTGGGCTTGCTCGCTGCACTCGACCCGGGCGCGGCGAGAGCAGCTTTCTCGGGTCGACTGGTCACAACAGATTTCATGTGGACAGATTTCGGTGATTGAAGCGCGATGACAGCCTCCGACCAATTGCTGGCCTCGGCCGCGCTGATTGTCCCGACCGGATCTTCGACGGCTAACGGATTCCTTCCGAGCTCGAGTCGTCGAGAAGGGTTGAAACCGAACTCCACTTTGGCCGGCGCGATTCTTTCCGATCTGATCATTGTTTTCGGCGGGGGGCTGTACGTGGTTGCGATCTCCGGGAGGTATTTCGCTGGAGTCGATCGGCTGGCTTTAGGGAATGCGCCGCTTTTAGGCTGCAGGTTGGCCATTCCGAGGCGAGTCTCGAGCAGAAGCGCGATCTCGTCTATGTTAACTTGCGGCTCCTCGGTCCCAGCTCTCGCAGCAAAATTCAAAGGTCTCCGTGGTCCGAGTCGATTTATTTTTCCACGACGTTTACCGCGGAATCGATTCTTGGTCCTGGAAACGCGGGAGAATTCTCTCATAATCACGGGACACAGCGACAACAACATAGACTCGAACGAAGTCGCCTGACTCCGTCCAACAACAGAAACTGGGTCAATGATTTGATCGCAGAGAAGAGACTCACATGGCGGCGCGATCCCCGCTCAAGGTGACGCTCGATAGTACATTGCGGTCTTCGGGCAGAAAATCCGGCGCATTAGTGAGAGGAACGGGGGAAAAACGAGAGGATTTCGTGAAAATTGACCTCGTTCGAGGATTCGTCTGTGTTGAGCGAGAATTACATACGGACATCGCATTGAGCAGAACCACCGGTTCAGTCTGTGTTCCACTGTCTGCGAGTGTGGAAACTGTCATCGGACTCGCCCCTCCCTTCAGTTTTGACTTCACAGGGAATCCCATGATCGAAACTCCGAGGATCTCTCCACTGCCTAGATTTATCGAGTCTTCGTTATCGTATAGAAGAATTCGTTGGAGTATATGGCGAATTATCTCCGGAAGCTCCCACGCCGGCTCGAATCTCAGCCCGATCCCCACATAGAGTTTGAAGACAGGATATCGTTCGGTTCTCTTGCCCATATCACTTGATCGGAGTGTGTTCTGAATAGAAGTCAAATATAGACGGGCAGCTCGGGTATTCCGATTATTATGAGGCTGCCCCCGGAGCGGACCTATTCTAATCGGCACCACGAAATGTGGGTGATTGAGGCCTGACCCCAACAATGGGTCAATGGAGCTCTTCCCATTTTGAATTTTGTTCTGAGCCCTCAAGTGATTCGAGCCCCAAATGATCGAAAGGGGGTATCATTGTCCTCTCAGCTCGCAGCTTCCCTATGTAAGCAAGCAAGCGCGCTGAATTGAATGCGAAAGGTACACATCTGTAAGGATGTCACATTTTCGCACAACCTCTGGCCGCATCGCAGACGTCGAATCGGTGGAGATCTTCGTGTGTCCATAAGTAAACAGAGGCTGTTGCTCTAGAGGGTGCAGCGTAAAAGAAGAAATAATGACATCAATAACCGATCGGGAGTTCGTGGATCCCGGTACGCTAAGAAGTTTCGCGAGTTCCGAAGTGGCGTTCTGTGTTGACGAGGATGAGGGTGGCGGTGAAAGCGACGATGCGAAACCCGAGGACCTATCAGGCAAGTCCTAGCAGAAACGTGTTAGGCCTAGGGGCTAGCGAACTATCCATCGATTCTCTCGTTTCTGACCTCGAATGGATTTCCGCCAGCCGCGTCTGGATAGATGGCTCCGCTCAGTGTACCTCCACAAAATTGCTTCTCTTTCCTCGAGCAGAGAATTCCGTTGCGCCGGACGATGGTTCCGTAGCGCCGGACGATGGTTCCGTACTGCAATCGACCCCAGTGAACGGACCGCCACCGAGTCACGAAGCTAGTCTCCCGTCTGCGATAAAAAGTTTGCCAGTGGACGATATCGGGATCGTCAATCTCCCTAAGAGAGCGCAGAAGAGCAAGAGCATATTCTCCAGATTGTCATCCATAGCAGAGAAATCCTTCAGCTCACCTCTAAGGACGAAACGCACGCCCTCGGACATCATAGAAGAACCCGATCTCGAAACGGTTCCTTTCGACGAGAACAACAACACCATGGGGAGTCTCGACAGCCACCCACGCACTCCGCCTGGAGACGGGACGACGCTACCCGAGAGTCACTGTGGATGCACCGAATGCAAGGAAGCAGTGGCTCAGGTCGGATTACCTTGAGATCGTTTTTTTGTTCCGACTTTTGAGGGAGAGATGGAGTTGCCTATATATTGTCCGCTTCCGCGATGGGATCGGTATCCCAACTCTGTGAATTCTCACTTCTAGGACCGGGTTGCGTTTTGTGAGCGAGCGAGTGAAATATCATGTTCGTTGGCGAGTCTCACAACGACCCACAACAGTCCCCGAGCTACGAAAGAGCCTTTCGGAAAATTCCCTGTCAGCGATGAAGAAGACAATGATGATGCAAATACGAGTATTCTCTGCGAAGAGAAACCAGAGCGGAACCCCAGGAGTAAGTATTGTTAGGATTCGGAACACTGTTCCAGAATTGTGCCAGAGCACAACAACTATTCTTCTGGGCTCTATCAGCGTCGGTATGGCGAGCGTGGTTTCAAGCACATGAGAGACGTTGACCGCTTTTCAGGCATGCATAATCATCCGACATTATAAACAGGTCTAAAGCGATGGGAATTTTTCAGTCAGTGACGGCGTTCAACGACTCTCGAAATTTTTGCACTCTACGGTGAGAGCAGGTGAGTCGCTAGAGGAGATTTTCTGGTACCCACGCTGTCCCCCATTCGATTCGAGTTCGAGAACTCATCCAAAAGAAGCGGGAGGAGAGTCCCTTAGAGAGGTTTCATTGACTTGACCTTCTCCAGGTCGAAAGTCAATCAGCAAAAGCAATAGCAGGAGCGGGTTCGATTCTGAAACATCTTCGAATACGATTGGCGCTCGATCCTGCCGAACATTCCACGGAGGTGAGGATAATTACACAACGCGAATCACGCCGATATATCGAGGGAGCTGGAAACGTCGCTCCCGAAATCTCAGAACGGATTTGCTTTGCAGAAGATTCACGGTCCATCCGAGAAAACGTTTTCCTCTCGAGATGTTTGAGGAAACTGGCTTCTGCGGTCTCAATCCATCGTTACAGCCACGAAACAGGATCAATTAAGACCGATATCGATGACGGTAGTATCGATAACGATCAAATCAGCGTTTCGAATAATTCCTTGATGTTTGTCCTGCTATCGCCTAAACCAGGTGAGATTTGCGAAAGTTCTGCCGAATGGCTCCTGGTGCTCAAACCTGTCTGGACCTACTCCACACTGAGAGACATGCGTCCGACGCTAATAGTCACGACCCACGACCAGTGGCGCCCCCTTCTCGCGTGAGATATCTTCCGAGATTCGAGTATCGTTGCGAATGCGAAGTCGAATTTTTGGATCTTCGCAGGCGAAGTCGAGTTCGACCACCTGATTTGGGGCAGCGGTGACGATAACGGCTCCCAGAAGGTGCCGAGAGATCCGGCTCTGAGGAGTGTTCTTGAAGAACTGCGGAGCATAATGCTGACTCAGGAAGTTGTCGTCAAGCAAGCGTCGAAAGCTCTCGATGAGTGCAGCAGCCTCGTGAGGAAGCAAGCCGATGGAATTATTTTCGCCGAGCAGCTGCTCAATATCGCGTCTCAAAGGTCTCCGAATGTTTCCGTGTTCCGAAGTTTCAAAGGTCGGAGGTTTGGTCGAGATCCAACCCTAATCGATCGATTTTTCCTCGACAGCTACTTTTCGGCTGAGCGCGAACTCCATCGTCTTCTAGACGGCGGGGTATTCGAGCCTCAGAAGGACCATGTTGCGCTCGAGAAAATTAGCTTCCAACTTCCAGAGTTCAGATCGCCGATTAATCTCCTGCAGTCCTATTTCCTCGTTCTCGTAAAATGCGGTCACCGACTCAGATCGAGCGAGCTCATTTGTGTCGCTTCTCTGAGAGAGCGATGGCTAACCGTGGAGAATTGGAAACGCTACACCGAGGATAAGGATCAAAACACGGACTGCGTCTTCGAGTTTAACCGGCCCGACTGGAGAATTGACATCGAAGTCTATTTTGTTGTAAGCGATCTTCGCTCCTCTCGCTTTGTGGTATCCGCTCGCTAATTCGCTACGAGGATTGAGGCCGAATACGAGCGGTCAGATGCTTCGAAACTTTTTCTTCCATTATCACGCAGTGTAAACGAAGACGAGCCAGTCTTGCCTCTTTGGATCGAATCGCCCGCCTGATGGACAATCGAGGCCCACCGTCGCGGGAGATGGGATCCAATCGAAACGTTGAAGTGCGGAAAAGCTCCTTCGGGCTCCTGGGGAAAGCCACGCTCTCCAAGGAAGACATCATCGAAAAAAGGTATTCAACCGTAGAAAAGTCAGCCCTCCGAGAGTTTATTAAGGAGATTCCTCGATCATTGACTTCGAAACTTTCAGCGCCGTCTACCTCACGCAATCCCATGGATATGCACCTTTCCGGAGTCAGATATTCTTCGAGGGAAAGGCTTTCGTTCACTCAAGAGTATCCTACGAAGCTTACTTGGTAATGAGCTGCGCGGAAATCCCGAATCCCCTTTGGTGTCCCTGACCATTCTATGACCCAGCTAACGCTTTCCCCCGTCCTTTCAAATCAGATCGTGAAAGATTTCAATGGGAGGTTCGGCTCGAAAGGTCAGATGAGAACATTCTCTGCGAGGCTCTCCAATCAGCGACTGGACTTCTTCGAGAGATATGACAACTCCGACGAGAAGGTATCCAAACATAGAGGGGATTTTCAGCAACCCTTGTCCTCGATGATTATTAGCGAGCTCCGGGTATCGAAGGCATCTACGAATTTCGTGTGCGGCCTGTTTCAGGCGGAACCAAGGGAGACGATTTTGCTCAACGATATCCCCGAAGAGAGCGTCGTCGTAGACAATGATGACTGCACCTACTTCTATGACTTCACGCTGAAACTCAATGAATCGAAAGAATCGTGGCTTCATTTGTGCACGAATTCCCGCGAGGACACCGACCTGTGGATTGATCAGTTAAGATTAGCGCTCCGCGAGCCAAGCGTCACAGATCTGCAATCTCTCTCATCCCGCCCAGATGCGACTGTTCCCGTCAGACACTTCCAATCAGACTTCTTGGAGTGAACGATGTCAGGAGTTCATCGAGAGAATCAGATAGGAATGTAAACGGTGGACTAGTGAATCGATGCGAATAGCATTCTAAATAATTGCGTTGGAGCTTCATGCAGTACGTTATTCTCTTGGTGGAAGCGTCCCAGCGCATCGGCGTTCGCATTAATTCATGTTAATTGTTATCTGTGGATTGATTGCTCTTTGTAGATAAGAATTTACCGAAAGAGAGGTGGATTGCAGTTCGAAATAATTCCCGGGAGAAATAAAGCTCGTAATAATGAATGAAAGGCTATGCTCGATCGCTCCGTGGGCGACTCCCAGAGTTTTCCGAACCAATGAAAGAAGATGTGCAAAGTTTTGCGCATCAGGTCAGAGAAATTGATCGAAGGTTCCTCCGAAAACTTCGTAACATTTATTCATCCACAAATTAAAAGCCTAAACTGAGGAACACGGGAGCCAGAGAGGATCCGCCCGACCACGAATGTCCGAATTCGTGGATCACCTTCGGAGGTGGATTTCTCCTGATGCACGCCACTCCATCGACCCGAGTGCTGTCTTCTTGTTGTTTCAAAACTAAACTACATCATCACACGGATTCCCGATGCTTTGTGGAGGGTTATTCATATTGCATCTAAATGACTTTCGAAAGCGAAATCCCCGAAATCAGTGATTTACTGCGCGATACAAGCTCACTCGTGTCGTCAGACGAGTAGCTCCCCGTGAGAACGACATACCCTGAAACCATGACGAGGAGAATCGTGCTGAGCAATATGACATCTGGAAACACCTGCGGTGCGGACTCGATCAGGGGTCCTATCGCAAGCGGCGGAACGAGACCACCACAGTTCGACATGAACTTCAATATACTTGTCTGAGAGCGTGATTGAGCTGCGTCAAGCGACTGACCAAATAGGCTGTTCCAGCCGCATAGATTGGCCCGCTGGTGGCACCTAGCAGTACGATTGTGACGTGGAGATTCTGGTGGGATACCGAACCATAGTAGAAAAAAACAAGCACAGAGGCGAAGAATACCAAATCTACGATCACAAGGAACGACCCCGGCAGCACTTTCGAAGCTATAAAAATCGAAATCAATCTGGATATTGTGAAACTTGAATAGAACGACGACATCAATACGACACTCTCATCTTTGGTCATTCCCCTGAGTACAGCATACACTGAGATGTAGCGAGATAAACACAAGAATATCACCAGAAATATGAGACAGTGTAGGCCGATGAGCACAGAAAGCCTAATGTGACTCGAGTTATTTATGCCAACGCCGCCGCCGCCGATGCTATTCCGGCTATCAGTTCGAGTCTTGACATCGGGTGTCGAGTCGATGATCAGGCTGATCAAGAGCGATAAGGCCAAGCCTACGGCGAGGAGCCCTACCATCAGGTATGCGACGTGAATCCGGGACGGACTTGGCTCGATCTGCGCTCCGGCTTCAAGGATGCTGAGGAACGGAAGCGGTGAGACCGAACTTGTAGTCGTCTTGCCGTTGTATTATACGTATAAAACTGTGTGAGATAACTTTCGCACGCAGTCCCGTTGGATGCCCGAGGTCCCGACCCACCTTTGCGGCGCAACGAACGGACGAATGAGAATCGAACCCAGCAGACTGCCCACACCGAACATCAGATGGTAGGTTTGCAAAGCGGCTGAGCACAAACGACTCTTGGAGTACAAAGCGACTAGCCAAACGTAAACGCCTGAGGATCCACGGATCATCGAGTTTTCATCATTCGATCGAGATCGCGACAAAGGTTTCAGCGGAAGATCCAAAACAAATCACGACACCTTGCCGGGTGATCTCACAATCACCCTATGTTGGAGTGAAGAACAACTAACCTGTCTCGAGGAATCCCAAAGAAAAGCCGAAGATGAGAGAAACTAGATGAGCTTCCTCCAGGGACTTCATCATCGGGAGGGCTGCATTCGACAGTCCCTTCAACAGAACGCCAAAAATGATCACACATTGCGAATGGAACTTGCTATAGATCCAATTAGCTGAAATTATTGCGAATTTTCTCTGAGGCTCTACGAATATTCAGCGCTCAATACTGCTTCGCTCGGTAGGGTGATTCCGGATTCAGTCCCTCATGGTCCTCTACGGGAGATGAATTATTCATTTATTATTAGGCGCCTATCCGACTGTGATAACCTGAGCGTCCTCTCGATACTTTCCGGCATCAGGGGGACTCAGTGTGGCGGCGCCTGACATTCACCAACCCATGTGGGCTCATGGGTTGAGTCTACTTACCCAGACTACATCCCGTTAGAGCCGCGAACGTCATCGTGAACGACAAATAAGACACATGCTTGATGTCGGAATGGAAAACATCTGCCAAGTCTAGGAGCGAAGGACCGAACAGTGACACGATAACTCCCTGAAAAGAGATGTACAGTCAAGTCTTCCTAAGTTATAATTCTCGGGAGACCGATTTCGGAGAAAATTATAAGTTATAAGTTAGCGAAGGCTCATGTTTTTTCCTATTCTTCCTCTTCCAGCGATAGTTTATTAATATTTCTATGGTGAAAGTCTATGTTATAAGTTATCGGAGCGCTGCTGGAAATTGGTTCAAATTATAACTTAGCGAGGGTTTTTAATTTAGGGCGGGTTCAATTTAGGAAGAGGGATGGGAGGAAGGACTTGACTGTAGACTGTAAGAAAACGCCATAATATATCCCGACATGCAGTCGTGGTTCAAGGCGTCGAGCTGCGAGAAGCGTCCGATTGCTCTGACTGCATTCACAGAAGACTCGGGAGGGAGGCTATTCTGACCCCGCGCTTAGGAGCGAGGAATTTCCAAGTCGGATGAATCTTGATGATGTCCGATTTCCAAGCCGATCTTGTCCATCGATATCACTGGCCCCAGCCCGAAGATATCATTTTGAATCGCCGTGAGCTCCTGCGGACACCTGCAGTTCCTGCGGCTCCGCGTGTCCCGCTGATACCTTTCCAAAAGGCCGCCTACTACGCTGAATGCAATGTCCCGGAGATCTGATTTGCACCCCGAAGCCTCGTTGTGAGACGGGAGAGCGTTGGCTTGGGCTGATTCAATTGAAGCGATGCATATTCAGTCCAGGGAAGTCTCGATCCGATCATAATTGTTTTTGAATCATAAGCTGCGGAACAAGGCTCAAGCTTGGGGGAAATCTTTGAAAACTCGTGGTTCTGACCGCGGGAGAGCTGAAGACGATCTTCCATTGCCGCTCGTCAATGAATGGCGCTGAGGGGGCATCAGGGACAAATATTCCCCATTCTGTCACAGGCGCATTATACATACAAGCGGCTGATCGGCAATCCGCATCGGTTCAAACGGCATACAGCTGTCACCGCACCACACGGGTTACATTCCGACTTTTCCGAAAGTGGCTAATTTTCGCGGAGAGTGTTCCATGAAGTTCATGATTTATGCTCAAGGCCCATGGGTATCCTACTGCCGAGCTGACCCGCATATATCAAGATATTCGAGAAAAATTTCGAGGTAACATTCGCTCCGTCGAGTACATCGCAATTTTTCTTTTGGAGAAGCTCTGTCTCCGTAGAGCGGAGTGTGTCAGCTTCCTGCAATGAATTTCTTCAGCGCGTGACGAGCAATCGAAGGGCTTGCAGTCGGTTGCAGTGAAAATATTCGCTTCGACCGAATGCGCGAACGCTGCTCCCGATATCGTCGTTCAAAAGCTAGTCGGAGATGAGACTAAATGCGTAGTGAAACATACGTGCAGGGCCGCCAAGCAGAGTATATTCAAAGTTTTATGAATGGCTGGCATCCTACGGCGGATTTCCGCAGGGGGAAAAAGAAACTGGACCCCGATGGAGAGAGAATCATCATCCACGAACGCGGGCGGGAGCAGGCATGGTGAAGGTTTCCCTGAAGTGATTGGTGTCGGGGAACGAAGTCACATCATTCTTGTATCACGACCGAAACAGTGACAGCCACGTATAAATGCTCTCACTCGCGCCACTACCACGAGCACAGGCGTGTGGTTGTCGGGCAGTCCGGCTGTTATAACAGCGAGAGCAGGAGCGAAGGCGACGGAAGACGCTAAAACAGACTTTGGAGCGGTAGAGCGGGATGTTGCTCTACAGAGGGGAATTCCGCGAGAGTTGACGTCGTGATGTAGGTTCACGGATAGTGATGAGCTGACAATTCCTAAGGAATGACCAAAGTCACTAGAGAACACAACGACACTTCTGACGATTCTGTTTCCGAGAGTGACTCGCCGACCCCGATCGTCAGCCGCATGGAGCACACAATCGGCATGCTCCTTTGTCGTGCCATCAGGAACGGGGTAGGGAAGAGAGCCTCAGAATTTCATTCAAGCCTAACCTCTCGAAACCCGCTGTCCGCGTCTCTCCGAACATTCGTGCGCGACGAAGTCTCCGCCGAGGGGGACAATCGCTGCGATCTGGGCCCGCTGGGTCGTGGCTCTCTGACGGAACCATGTGGAGTTTCCTCAATGTCTGCTTGAGCCATCGGAGTTGCTCCGAAGAAAGATCGACAATATTCGAATCCCGATACACTAGAACATCCTTGTAACGGACTCGAAGGCGAATGACGGCCGAAACCGTGCGTCATATCCTGATGGGTTCTGAATAGGAATGGACCGTGAAAACTATCGGGAACGTCGCATAGGCATTCGCTTCCGAACTACCTACTCGCGAGAGTAGGTAGTTTTGCTTGCTATTGCTTACGAATTCCCGATCCGCGAGAATAGGACCCTCATAATTCATTCAATCAGCATGGGAGGAGGTTGGGCCGGGGCTTGGAAATCAAGGTATATCCGAAAGTCCGTCATTGGGTCCGCTGTAGTCGAGCCTTTTAACATCGGAGATCCCATAGGCTCATCTGGGACCGAGCGATCGGTCCGTTGTGTCTTCCATGTCCGGGTCCGTTATAGCAAAGAGTTTGTGCTCTTCCTCCTTGACATCTGACCCCCTTGGAGTCCTCCCAACTTTCCGAACATCACAATGCCTGTCTAAAAATGCTTGATATTGGACCGATACTGGCTGATGATCGCCCTCATTAGAATTATCCTCGAGCTGTCGTCGTTCCCTCATCTTGAACTGTAGCATCGTGACGCTGGTGCCGTGACTGTCATGAGTGTGTATAGGGACGGGGGAAATTGATCGACTCAGCTCACGGCTGTCTGCGCTTATCCGGTGACCAGAGTTTGAGGGGCGTACTGAAAATGCTGCGCATGTTCTCGCGGGTGCAGATGTCATACGTTCATCGACAGCATCGCGTCAGTCAGAGGAATGTTGAACGATCGCCCCTCTCCGTATAATTTTCATCCACGAAAGGCTGACTAGTCGAGAATGGGGACCCTGAGATTCTGAGGAGGTCCACTCAAACTCGCGAAAGCCGCTCGTACACATTTCTCTCCATCCATGTTCGAATATGTCACGGAATAGCTCGTTTCGACTGAGTCCAGCGTTCGGTATCCTTTCTGGCGTCGCACTCTACCGAAATCGTAGCCGAAGACAAATTCACTCGGAGATTCAGACCCAGAGGATGGGTTGACTCGTCGGACTGTCCGGTCGCTGAAGAGCGATAGAATGCCGGTCCTGGAGACAGAATTATCCGCTGGGTAATGATACATTGAAAATCATCCCGGGAACCTGGACTAACTTCGTTTATTCAAACCTACGCATTCAATCAAAGAATCTCTCAACGAAACCCCCAAGCAACTGCGTATATTCATCCCGAAATCCGAGCTCCCTTCACTACTTAGGTCCAGCTGCGAGAGAAGCGTCCCCGATCTTGGGATGGATCAGGGACTTCGTCGGATCATTTTGAAGCATCGAATCGGTGTCTGGGATCATTTTCTCTATCACATGTTTCCATACGAGTCCATCGCTCCCGACGTACATAATCGAGAAGCCGTCGACGACACTGCAACGAACGAGACCAATTGAGCAGGGGATTGAAAGCTTCTATCCGATCAACGAGCTAGGTCTCCCCACTTACCGAGACGGTTCGACCTGGGTTTTGGTCAAAAACGCATGCAGGGCACCCCGTAAGTATTTCAGTGTGTAGGACCCCTTGAAAGTCCATCGGATGCACACTTTAGAATCCTGCGTGTCATGGGTTATCTTGAGGACATCCACCGAGGACGATGCGTAGCGTAACAGACAATACCAGCGAACTTGCGAGACTTGTAAGTAGTAATTGAAAATCCCGCTGAAAAGGAAGACGCAATCGTATCCGCCGTAGAATCACACGGTCTGAGTTAGGTATATATCGTGGACGTTTCCCCGGGGGTCTCGATCCCAGATTGAGTTTGTTCCTGCTCGCTTACTTGGTCGTGACTTTTCTTATGTTGTCTTCGAATACCATATTGGGATGATAATCCGAGAAATTATGTGATACTAGGAAGATTCTTGGTATACTCTTCGCCATTTTTTCTTTTATGTCTACGAGCTGCGCTTCCGTTGCTTTCGTTCCGGGGCCGCCAGGAGCTGACTTCTATCGGAAGGAACTGGGGTTATTGCTCGTCCCGCGATTGTGTGCTCAGCGTGGGTTCACATTAGCGTACGCGCACGCCCTTCACTGAGTCTCCGAGACGGACTGCGAAATGTATGCCCCTCGCCCATCCGATGCTGAACTCACGTTTGTGTTTTCGGACCTTCCGTCGGTGCTGTAGCTCACCATGGGGCTTGAGCTCCGTGTCCATGGCGAAGGGATTCTTCGTACTGTGTCAAGATAGAATGTCGAACAACGGCCGGACACCGGCAACATCCGCATCGCGGAAAACATAGATCGCGCCCCACTCATCTAACGGGCTTCAAACGAATTTCATGTCTTCGTCTAATTGCTCCCGAACCGCTGTTTGCTCTCTCCGCAGAAAGTCGGCGAAAGGAACTTCCAACTCAAACTCCCAATGCTTCTCCTTGTCCTCGTCTCAGTGCTTCGCGCACACGGCCGACCCACGACACGACGGTGGTAGATGGAGACCGAAGCTCGGCTTGCTCTTGAAATCGCGTCTAAGCCACTTTTTTCCCCCCGAATCTTATGGCGAACGTCAAGGAGCGGGGAGTCTGAGCTCGAGCTGGCATGCTGATAGACGTAGCTCACGCTCGTCTCGTTCTAAAGTTGCCGGTGGAGCGTCGGCTATTTTGGTGCCCGGGCGGTTATTTCCCCCGCACGCTTGCCGCCTCGATGGTGGTGTTCGTCCGTATGAGGCTCTCGGGATCCATCAATTCGAGACGTGAAACGTTCAAGTCCCGGAGCGCACGAGAGATGAGGATCTCGCCAAGTTACATGGCGCGATGAAGATTGCCGATTCATCAGTTTCTTATTCGAAGGAGATTTCCGCGGGAGCATTCCGCATCCATCGACGACTCTGAGATCTCGACTAAAGACTTCCGGGTGATGGGACAGGCCCATGTGTTTTCATGATGTTTTCCCTCCCTCGGTCGTCGTGATCAGACGAGCTGAGCGGCTATCAAACGGGTCTTATCGAACAAAGAAATCCAACTTCTTCGAGGCGGTCGCGGAGAAGAAAACTGCCTTTGCCCTGGAGAGGCGTACCGACGAAGTCACTCCGGTTCCCACGATAGCCGTTGGAGAGACAAAGCGGAGACGATTGGACGCTTCGACCCGGAAACCGGTGCCGGTCGCCTGAGAACGTCAACCGGGCTCAGAAACTCCGATCGTCGGTACTGAATTTTTCGAGGCAGCGGAAGTTTGTTCATCGAGTCAATCGTTTCAGACGTCGAAAATCGTAAGTTCTTTCCCTCGTTTCTGCCAGTCCGCGGGTTGAGCCGATCGAATACCGAGCATCCTAGAAAAGAAATCAGCTCTCGAACCTCCATCAAATGTCTTCCCAGAACGACCGGTGGAAAAATGGCTCAATTCATTGGTGGAGCTCAGCCACCTTCTATCGACCCCGTGAGCATGGAGAATGTGCGCCAGGCTCTCGGAGCCGTCCGCGCCGTGCGTTCGAGCGTCGGCGATGTTTTCCGGACGTTGGCCGAAGGTGTCCGCTCAAGCCATGAGTCCGAGGAACGCGAGAAGGACCAGGACTTCAAAGGAAGCTTAGCGCACTCATTGAGCAGCGTGCATACGAAGCTGAGGTGAGAAGGAAAATCGAGCAGAACTTCTGGAAATTGAACGGAACTTCTGGAGATCGAACGGAACTTCTGGAAAACGACCTAGTCCCTGCTCACTTCTGGGAGCATCCGACCAGAAACTCACTAGACTCATTCCCCAGAGAGCTGGAGACCTCGGTTCAGAATCTGAGCAGCACAGGCGGAGCAGGACTCTCGCTTGGATCGACTTCACATCTCTGCCAAGACCCGACTATCGACCGGACATCCTTATACGTCGATATGATAAAAACTCATCGTTGGCTGGACAGGGTCCACGAGTACACCTCTCACATGGCCAGTGTCCTGCAGCAGAACAATCTGAAACGATCGAATAACATGGTGTTTTCGAATAAACGTCGACAAAGGCTACCCATCGCGACCGGACACAACGTCCCGCCGCAACACGTCGAGAATTTCATCGGCGGTCTCCAGAGACAATTGACAGACATGACCATAGATCTCGTCCGACCGTGCGGCTCGAATGCGGTGCTCAAGATCACACTCGCGCGAACGCTAAAGGCCATAGTGGTGCTTCGCGGACTGCTCATTGAATGGGTAGGCTCGATAGGTCGTCAGGTTCCTCATTGGGTCGGCCCACCGGTGCGAATTGGATTCTCAAATGATCGATCTCACTTCCTCCTCCGATTGCAGGTGCTCGTGAAAGCATATCACGAAGAACTCTATACGGCCGACGAGCAACTGGACATTTGGACCCCTTCGAGATACAAAGTCTTCCAGAAAGTCACCGATCATGCCAACGCAGCGATGCTTCACTTCCATTCGCCCAATCTCCATGACTTAGCAGTGAAGTCATTCCTCGTTAGTGACCTGTCCCCCTAAGCGTCATTATTTCCGAAGCGTTCCGCTAATCACAGTGTATCGAATGACGAGAACTAAAGGCGGATATTCTTTGCACTTCCAGCATTGGCTCCAGAGTTATTCGACCCTCTTCTCTGACGCGTGCAAGCGATGCAATAGGCATCTCATGCACAACTTCCCACCCACATGGAGATGTGTTCGCACCTACGAAGCTTATCATGAAACCTGTAGACCCTGATGGCGGGAATGCGAACTCGTTCCGTAGAGGAAACTTCATTGTACACTCCTGTATAAATGGTGCAGTTCGATGAGGGATTCGATCAGCCAATAAACTATCCGAAGACGTGTTCATCACGAAGCATGGAGTACTTCAATTCAGACATGAATCGGTGTCGTGGGAGAGTCGAAGTGCCGCGATGTCTCGGTTCAGGCCGATTGCGACCGTCACTGGAGACCATCCTTGACGACAGCTCAAACATGGACCGCGAATAAATAGGAGGGAGGTGTATTACAACAGCCGGAGTGGTGACTGAATCAGGAGGAATCGTTGACACGTTTTTTTCCTATGTACATAGATAGATACATTTTCGCCCGATCCATACGCGGACATTAGGTTCATTCACTCCATGCTCATGATGGTGTCCTCCTCGCTCAGATCTTCCAGTTTTTCAGCTTCTTGCATTTCGCCTTCCTCCAACGGCTCTTCGTCCTTGCCATTGAGGCTTTGGAGCTGCTGCACAGCACTCAGGAGAACCTATTAGAAAACGAAGCTTGTTTTCTCGTCTCTGCCGGGGTCTTCGTTCATGAAGGGAGTTAATCATTAACTATTAAGCAGGTCAAGACTCACTTGGAATTGTCGGCGATGCTGCTCGATGCGGGCCGCCAGCTGCTCTCTTTTGCGATTAAGCTCCAGCATGCCTATTTCAGCTTTGGCGAGATCTTTAGTCGTTTCCTTTCGATCTTTCTCCTCGGCTATCACCTTCGATAGAGCGTGGTACTGCTCTCTGTAGCAGCGGACCTCTCTCGCCGTCTTGAAGTCGACTTTGCTCTTTTCGATGTCTGCTGAAGTTTTTTGAATATCTTCCTCGATTTGGAGGTACAGCTTGTTGTATTGACTGAGTTCGGCTTCATTCATCGACATCACCTGCAAGGTGCACAATCCGAAGCCTCGATGAGCGGTGTTCAAGGCAGGGCTCACTCCGAGTTCCTCGTAGAGAAAAACAAAAATTACTTACTTTCTGAGATTTTATCATGGACATCAAACAACCGTCGATTGTGTTTTCGAGTGAGTCCAGGGAAGATTGCTGATCGTCGCTCTCCGCGGGCTTGTTGACCCATTTGAAGAAACTCTTGAGCAGAAGGTCGATTCTGAAAACGGAGACCGAAATATTGAGCTTCCTGACTAGCAGAACGTCTCCCGTGAGCTCTTCGTCGCCTCACATGGAACGAACCTCCGGTCATCGCCCATTCCTTCGCCGTCGACGAGGAGCTTCCTCCGAATGACTTCATCATCCGTCACTGAAGAGCCCATTCCGTGCTCGGGTGTATCGTGCCGAATCCTATCTCAAAAGCTCTGTGGTGCACTAGAGGCACTGTCTGCGGAATGAATCGAACGAATGCGCCGACCACCCGCAGCAGCCGGTCGCCTAGATGGAACATCGAGCAGCTTCTCTTGTTTATGTTCATTGAGCGAAAACCCAGAAGAGGACTCTTCCCCGAATGTGTGTCTCGAGGGGCTTTGCGCCTCTCCGTGCCGGTAGGTCGTCGTCGATGGACTCTTGATGTCGTCGTGATTCGCGCAGTTCTGTGTTCCACTGATTCGGGGGAACCATGCTGCGCTCTCTGATTTCGACGGCAAGGAATTCGTTGCCATGTACTAGTGTGATGCCTTGGAATCCAAACACAGGCGGTCTTCTATCCCCGGCTCCGAGCCTGTTAGAGCAAGTTCGAACGGTGACCAAGTTCGGTTGGCGCAAGGGAGGCCGAAAAACTGTGAAAGCGGCTCTCTCGAGATTCTACAGGTAAATAGGAAGCTCCGGAAAGCAACGGTGCGAGAACATTTCGCGCCATCAGGATAAAGCGCTTGTCTCGCGAGCGATTCCGAAGGCGAGTCCACATTGAATGAACTCGCAGGTATCCTCGGCCGAAGACCCGTGGACTACTTCTCTTATGTTCGACGCGAGAACTCAATGTGCGCAATCCGTAGTTGCTGTCCTTTCAATCAATTCAGCAGTTTTCCCTTGGTGGATTCTAGAACACGCATTCCTGGCAGCTCGGCTCTGAGAGCCAGCATTCATTTGAGTGTTAATGGGGAAAACGTGGATGAAGTACTTCGCTGAGTTTCTCGCGGAAATGCCGTCTTTTTCGGATCCGCTGTCGAATCAGCTCCTCTCCTGAAGTGACTCGAATTGATTGCAGATTGAATTGTGGATTGTGGATCCACACTCCAATTGGACGAGACAGAAAAATTTGGAGAAAAACTCCGGAGCAAGTTAAGGAGTTGAGAAAGCACGTCTTCTCCCGGAAGAGACACTCCGAGGTACTTGACAAAATGATGACTGAGAAGTTCAAGAAGCCCACGTATCTACCGGACTCACCTTATGAGCCTTACGATAATTTCAAGCCGCCACAACATGTCTACAAGACGTACAAGTGAGACAGTGCACTGATCATGGAAAATAAATCTGTATTTAGTGGTAACGAAAGATGTGGCTCTACTAAGTTCGATGAGCGACAGGATGACCCCCCTGCTGCGAGTCGCCGAGAGTGTTCGATATGATTGCCGTGAAGAATCGAAGGAATGATATGCTTGAAGGGGGCAGTCACAGGATGGTCGTCGATTCGAGATAGAATGAAAAATTGGATATCATCCCTCGTCGTCCGGACGTGGCTCTGATTTCGGAGAGTATCCTACCTGCTTCGTCCGAAAGTCACGCTCGACGGAGATCCGGCCCGCCCCCTCGGTGCCGTAGTCTCTTTCGCAAGCCTTATGACAGGAAGCGACTTCATGGACCGCATCGCCAGCTCGATGTCTCGTTCCCCGAAGTATAACTCTGCATGCTCGCGTAGTATGACTTTGAAATCCGTGTGTCGGAGCGGCCCCCATAAGCCTTTTCTTGAGCAACGAGACTTCAAATTGAATAATGCGTAAGCTAAAGATGTTTGGCATGAGCTGCTCCACTGTGCAGAACTCCGACACCTCCCTCGGCGGGTCTCTTGAATATTCGTTCCTCGGAAGAATTATTCCCCGAACAGCACTTGAGCAGGACCTTCAGCCCGAAACGATTCTACGTCAGATCTCGCAACACTTGATGGGAAAATATTCTATATTCGAAATGCCCATCGCAAAGCTTTCGAATGGCAGATTCGACAACTTCCCGTCAAGTCCCCGGCGGTGGGGTCTTGACACCCGCGGCTCTTCTCAGGGCTGCCGCTTGCCCCACGAGTTTGTGGCGGATTCGAACCCCGGAAATGCTCGCACGCGCTAGATGAGGATGAAATTTTTTATCCTGATTGATGACTGAATAATTAGCGAGGATCACTGCTGACGAACATACGCATAATCGTTATTTTCGTTTTGGAGAGTTTGGAAGTTCAGTCTTGACAATAACGTTTCGGATTTGCCTCCATAACAATGTTTCCTCAGAAAGGGGCCGATTTTATCCTAGCCCGCCGACGGAATCGCAGGGCGGAACAGAAGATTCGTCACTGGATTCAATACAGCTTTACGATAACGGATCTGCACCCACCGGCTCTTCCGGCAGAGCGGATTCTGAGTGAGATTCTTTGCCCAACTGGCTGCAGTCTGTCGGAAGATCCGATGCGTTATCGGGAAAGGGCTCCCAAGAGTTGTTGAAATTCTTGTCGCACAGACGTAGAAAGATTGTTTGCGACGGGAGCCCCCGCTTACGACAAACTTCAGATTGGACATTCTGCAAAATGGTTCACCGGAACCGAACTTGAGAGCGCGTACCCGCTGAAGCAACCCGCACGAACTTTCTACGCGGACTCCGTAGCGATATCGTCGTGAGCTGTGTCGGAGTCGGCTGGTTCCGCAGATCGGGAAAACTGAAATGAACTTTTCCGACTGCCGAGCGAAAACTTTTGCCTGAGGAGGGCGGCGGCGAAGTTCTCGGAGCCGGGTTTCGGATCTTTCGTTCCAATGCGATCCACACTGAGCATTGTCCGGCTCCGGCACAGAATTTCACTCTTGAGCCCTGAGGTCACTGGCTGCAAGGGGCCCCTAAAAGAACGGAAACTCCGTCGGATGATCGGTTAATCGAGACGAAAAGCGCGCCGTGCGACGATCTATTCCATCTTCTGGGGAGGGCTCAAAGCCCTTAGATTGACTCGATGAGAGTGTGAAGGCGCCGAGCATCCAGTTTTACGCGAGGAAACTTCGACGAGCTCTCTTCCGTCACTTTCAAGCGGAGCGGCATCTTATTGAGGGTCATTTCACTCTGCGAGACAGCATCTTAGGTTCAACCATGTCTCTTCTCCGAATTCCGGTTCCTCCAAGATAGAGATGAAGAATGTACCGAAAAGACCACGGTTGCGAGAGGATTGGTTGCTTGCAAACTTCCTCCGCCGGTGTACAAGCTTAGTTCAAGTGCCTTGATAGTGTTCTTCCAGCCATTCTTCCGCGTCTGATCGCCATGGTGAAACCTTGGCAGCATGTAGGTGATAGTCTCTCGCATAGGACTGACACGAGGAATGTGAGCCGGGCGATCCTCTGGAAAGCACTCCATCCACAGAATCAGATCTACACGTGATGACTCTCGTCTCCCAGAAGTTTTCCACCCATACAGGCGACATGAGTGACTGATCGGAACGCGATTGAATACGCGTCACGGCATACTCCTGCAACAAAGGACCTGCTTCAGAATTCGAGCTTTCGATCTTCTTCGGAACTCTCATAGCGCGAGCGTGCCGTTCACACCGAAAGCGAAAACTCGTGAATCTGCAGGGGGCCTTCGGGAATTTCCTGCCCACTCCGTTCATCCAAGCGTTTAGACTTAAATATCTTCCGGATTGGGTGCTCGGACAACGATGCTTGCCGGAGAGGGAGTTTCAGTTTTCGGGAACAGAAGACCGCGAATTGAATCTGACCCCTGAAGCGTTGTCCCGTATCGAGGAGAATTCCAGAGCCATGAGGCTCTGCGAACCGTAGAAGACCTCCCTATGTTCTCCCCCAAGCTCAAGTGAGTCGGTACCCCTTCCGAGCATGTCCGTGAAAAGTTCATACAGATCCAATGCTGGTCATTCGCTCTGGCTAAGGGATGATTTTGAATTCGTTGTGAGTACGTGCGCTGTCAGCGTCCGTGACCATCACGTTCCCGGCGGCCTTTCGGTCTTCAGAAAAATCTTGTTTTCTCCTTCTCATTTTTCGCCAAGTGGTATTCCGAACGACTGTCCCGGTATTTTCGTTTGCGGTTTTCGTAGAAGTTAGCGCCCGTTGTCATCGTCTAAACAAAAGCGTAGCCATGACCCATCGTCAGCAGGGCGGCCATACAAAATGACTCCAATTGTGTACTACACGTCCCGTCTGGAAGGCTCGTCGTCATTGCAATAACTCTCTGGTCCCACGATGGCATTGTAAACGGGTGTTCAGAACGGGTCATCGACGCCTGAGGGACTTCATCTTCTGATTTGTGGAGCGAGCGAAATCTTCAGAAGGTGCAGAAAACGTTGCTGCAAGAATCCTCAGAAGTATGGAGGATCCTAATTCTTGGTTCATCCGGGGAATGGCAGAAGAGAGTATCACAGAAGCTCGAGAACGCTGTGGGATCGATGTGGAACGGATCCGATACCCTCAGATGACAGCCGTCGATGAGCTCATAGGCACCTTACCGCGCTCCTAGTCCGGGCGAGTGAGTCCACCCGAATCGGCGGCGACATGTAGTCTGTCGTTGCGTCAACGTCGAAGGCTCCTCATCAGGCAGCTTGTGAGTTGCGATATTCGCTCCGGAGGATCCTCCCGATCAGAAAGCGCCAGTGCGGACGCGTCCGAGCATCATGTGAAGTAATTTGTGGCATAGTCAGAGGGAAGAAGAGGAGTGCAACTCGTGCGTCCTTCCTCTGGGGACGGTTCCACAGTTTATCGGTCGGGAGCCCCGTCGTCGACTCGTCGATGATCATCGGACGGAGTATTGCAATCTCTATTTCGATGCAGCATAGAAGTTTTTGATGAGTCGTTCATCATGTCGATGATGAGCCGCTGGCCCTAAAAATCACGGTCGCTTCATCCGGAGCTGCTGCTCAAATTCTAAAAGGATTCTCGATTCCGGACCGCAATTTCGAATACATATTTCCGGTGGTATCGTTCGATATTCGGCTCGTTTTCACCACACAGGACTCCGCGGTCAATCAGCAAAACGACGTTGCTGACGGGTGAGCCATCAGAAAAGCTTTGCTCGAGAAAAAAAACGTCGCGAAGGGCTCCGGCTCCGGCTATTAAAATCGTCTCCCCCAACAGATTCAAACCGCTCGGATTCCCGAATGACGTCATTTCGTGTGTTACGTATGCGCGTAAGTGTGCATGTACGTATGCGCGCGTTCCGTCCATTCGACGCCTGTTCGTTGAGGGATAACGAACACCTCCTCGGGCTAGCTGGTTGGCTGGTTAGTCGGATGCTTGCTTGGTTGGATGGTGACTCCTCCGCTCTTCCCCTCCACTGCAGCACTCTCCCCTTGGACTGACGGCTCTTTTTCCAGCGAGTGGTACGGATGCCTTAACCGCGCATCGTGCCTGGTGACAACAGAAAACATTTTGTGCTCGCGAATTTGTGACAGCGAAAGTGAGAAGACGGTGCGATGCGCCAATCCGTCGGCCGAGCGCACGTGTGTCGTTGCGTGATGTGGCTATTCCTTGTTGGCCTCGTACTCGTCCCAACGTCAGAAGGTCTTCAGCGCGGATCGGACTCGAAGCACCACAACAACTATGAACTCAATAAAGAGCTAGAGAGAATCAATCAGGAATGTCCATCGATCACCCTGCTCTACGAACTGAACTACCGATCTCTCAAGGGCTGGCCGTTGACTGTCATCGAGTTCTCGGGAAATCCTGGAGTTCATGAACCGCGTGAGTACCACCCACCTGCTGGCAGCTCCTCGACAGCGCATCATCAGCCATATGGACTGAGGGATTGAAGCTCTCTCCGAGCTTAGATCCGCCCGCATCGTGTATCACAACCTGATCCAGCCAGACTCCGCGCTCTGCGGAAGTCGGAACTTCATTATCATGAGTTTCCACCAAAAAAAGGATCGAAATTTCTTTCGTGGGGAGAATCGGTAGTCGGCTCGCCGCACCTGATTCTCGATACTCAAGGGTGTGATGAACGTCGAGGCAACACGGTAGCTCAGCGTAGAATTCCCTGTGCCCGGCGGATATTCATATCTCCTTTCCCCTAGTCCGAGGGACAGTACGACGAAAAGTCCCGTAATTACTCCGAGAATTTGAGCTTGTCTAGACTACCCTTTCCCTAAATCGCGCTCTCGTCTGGAATTTTCCCGTGCGCGTACTCCGGGTGGGAGATCAGGCGTATTGGATGTTTCAGCCGATGGACAATACGGTGACGCCTGCTTTCAAGCCGGGGCTCTCATCATGTAGATTCATGTTTTGATATGCAGACCCGAGGATCGGGGTTCGGTATCTGAGAACCTCCGATTCTGAATATTGTCGAGCTGTCTAGCTCAGATTCGAAACGGCCAGACTTTCAGTGGAATCCGATTATTCCTCTTACCGAAATTATTTGATTTGTAGGCTCAAGATTGCAGCGTCGTGACCGAAGCGAAAGCTCGATTTTGAGCGGAGATCACGTTCAGATCGATAATTTCGGAACTTTCAATCCGCTCCGGAACCGCTAATCATTTCGTCGACAAGAAGTCCCTAATTTCATCGTTTATAAATGGAAAGAATCATCTTCCCTGGGCATGGCGATATACGGGGATCCATTTTGGGGTAGGGTCGATCTTCGAGATTTTCTCCGAGTCCGATCGCGAACCTTGTTGACAATCTCGACACGGTCCAGAGGTGAGATCCCCCAGCGGTTATTGAGCCCTCCGACATTCGAAGAAAGCTGCCGAGCTTTCCCGATGACTCGGGTTCCGCGAACCTACAATGGCCACGGAAGAGCCCTGATTGAATCTAGCGTTCCGGTGGCTCGAATAACTCCGAGCAGCTGTATGAAATATCAGAATATTCCAACCGGTTGCCATTAAGATAGCGATTTTTGCGGTTCACAGTATAAATCCGGGCCTGCCGTGGAGCTGCATGCACCAGACGTGGCTCCGTCAAACAGTAGTTCCTGTACACGAGTCACGTAAACGATCTTCTTTCTCCGATGTTTATTAGCGACGACGAGCACGCGTATGAGGGGCAAGCCAGAAATACAAGACATGGAGGAGACGGAAGACTTCTGAAAATTTCGAAGTTATCAGAGCGCTCCGTACATTGCTGCTCTTCGTGACGACCTCCTGACTCGGAACTTTTACTCTTGGGCAAGCCGCTAGCTCGTGCTTGACTTTTCTTGATGGGCAACCGGGTTGATCATTTGTTTTCGTCAAGAGAGGAATATGCAATAGGCGAATGTGACTCGTGAACGCAAGGGAGCGATCTCACGGGAAGAATAGCCCTCCGGACCGAATATAAAACACCTCGCTAACAACAATTATGTTGGAATCCCTGGCTGCAGTTTTCTGCCTTCATCGAAGACAAGGACGACCAACCGGTCCACAATCGCCCTCGATTTCGGTCGTACCGCTTTCTGTCATCCGATCAGTTGGATGAAAGCCGTGCTCCTACCCGAAGACTGCTTATAATTGAAACGAAGAATTGATTTTCTGACGATCGCGCTCCAAAGGATAATTGCCTGACCAGCGGTGTTGAGTGTAGAGAAATATCCGTAGAGAGAGCCCTCGTCTCCACGTCTCGAGGCGAGCCGTATCGTGATGATCCTTGAGTGGAAACGGACGCAGACGGAGTTTTAGGCGGAAGCACGTTCGAGAGAAACTTCGCCGATCACGTTAGTTACCTTATCTGCCGAAGAATCTTGGCTGTGAGTTAGTAAATCGAAGCGGAAAGAAGCGACTCCGCTCATCACCGATCGATGGTCTTTTGAAAAATGATTCCAATTCCTTAGAAGGTCCCTTCCTCTGATTCACGTGGGGTGAATTCGGGTTGTGATCCGCCATCGAGGCTGCCTCCGTGTTTTGAGTTTGTGATAGCAGGAATTTGGATGGTTTTGGAAGATCAAGCTCCCTCTGATCACCCCTGGACAATCAGGACTCCTTGATAGACTGGCTCTCTTGTTGACTTGCCGAGCCTGGCCATATCGAAGTCTGAGGGGAACCGGCAGTTACTCCATCCGCGAGTGAGCGGGACGCGGGCTCCGCGAATTTCCGTACGATATGAACAGCGCATTGACTGACGCATTGATTTGCGTCGGACGCGCGAAGCTCGCGATTTATCCGAACAATCGTTCCCCCTGAAAATTGATAGACATGGCCGCGGTCGAGATGTCATTTTTCGTCCTCTCGAGTTTGAGGTACGATTCCATGACCTCATCTTGAGATTTCTCAGGAGGCCCAGATTCGGAACTCCACTACGAAATCATTGATATGCTGTTGAACATTGACGTCGGAATTTACTCCCCTCAGTGTTAGTAAGCACATTTTGTCGGAGTTAGCGAATGAAAACGAATGGGAACGTCCACGATCGCTGTTTTGCAACAACAAGAGAGCTGGGCGAGGGCCTACGGTAACGGACGGTTGTGCAATGCTCGACTGCGGATTTTTTAAAGCAAAGCGTTCCAGCCAAGTGAACGTGTCGTCTTCATTGTCAGCGTTGCAGCGAAGACAAACAGACAGACATCCGGCACTTCCAAACATCCGCTGTTAGTTTCTTCGTCGACGTCTCGTGATATCCGCTTCGCTGTCAGTCCGCCGTCATGTTCGGACGCTCAGAACAAAAGCTCACCAATTCCTATTATCCGGCACGCCTCTTATCCTATTATCCTCCTCGCGCCCTCCATCGAATTCGGACTCGATTGAAGAAAAAATGCCAGAATAGAATATTCCTCAACGTTCAAACGTTCTCATGATGATTTTCCTTTCAGTCGAGCCGGAGTTCAAGTACGTCGGAAACATGCATGGAAACGAAGTTCTCGGCCGCGAACTTCTCCTGAAACTGGCGGATGAGCTGTGCAAGCAGTACAATGCAGGCGACCCAGAAATTAGCCGACTAATAAACACGACGAGGATCCACATCATGCCATCGATGAATCCCGACGGCTGGGACAAGGCCACTGAAGTAAGATCCGGAAAGAACACTGCTTTCCAAGCTTTTCCTCAGTTACTCCGCTTGTGGTGGGTGAGTCAAGACAGACCAGTTTCTGTAAGCAACTGGGAACGATCACTACTCCGGATCAGAATCTCACGGTGCTTGCAGCTGGTACCCGGAACTGGTAATTGATGGCGGTCTGTTGTACGGAACGCTTGGTTCAGGGTATATCTGTCTGTCTCTACTCACCTTTCCCACTTCCCTCTCTAAGTGCATGCCGGAGAATTATGTCAGTCGTAGAACCCCGAGTAAGAGGTCGAAGAGTGTCTGCTCTCAACCTCTGACACGATTTTGCCGTTGTCCATCCGAATGTACGATGGGGACGGATCGGATTGGATCGATGTCCGCTGTGATGCTCATGTGAAAATAATCAATGGATCTCACCAATGGCTGTTTTCCAGGCGAAGCGTGACTGGCTCACCGGACGAGGCAACGCTAACGACGTTGATCTCAACCGGGACTTCCCGAACCTGAATAAGAAGTACCACAAAATCCGGAATCTGAATGAGAATGCCAAGGCCCATCATTTGTTCGATGGCAACCTTGATCACGCCGTAAGTTCTCTGCGTTTGGCCTATTGGCTGATTAATTAGTCAATACAAGAATCGTTCTGTTCAGGGAATGCGGTGCATGGGATGGGCGATCGGTGTGGGTTCGAGGTATGTACCGCAGATCTAAAGAAGCACACCCTGTTTGAATTTCGTAGATTCAACCGGAGACTCGAGCTGTCATTGAATGGATAATCTCGAAACCCTTTGTGCTCTCAGCAAATCTTCACGGCGGAGCCCTAGTCGCAAACTATCCTTTCGACGACACCACGGATGGTTCTTCGAGACGGTATAATGAGTTGGCGATTCAATCTTTCCCAATACCGCGGAGTGCCAATTGGATTCGCTCCTCCGCTAGGAACTAGCTCACCGAAAAAGATTGCATCCCGTGAGCAAATCAAGTAATTCATTCTCATCCCGTCAGATACACGGCCTCCCCGGACGATGATGTGTTTAGGTATCTGGCCCGAGTTTATGCGGATAATCATCCCGAAATGCATCTCGGGAAGTCTTGTGACGCAGGCGACGGCTTCCAGAATACCAAAGGTGAGCTCATCGACAGCCTGTATGTCAGTTGGCGACATGTGCACATCGGACTGGTTCCGATTTTCCGATCAAACGGGTCAGACCTCCTAGATGCCATTCTTCGGCTTAGTGTAAGCAGAGCGAAACCGTTAGACAGCGCTTATGCATTCGGGTCGTCGGTGGGCGTAGTCTCAAGTAATTCCGTGTCCAAACAGAAACAGAAAGGGCAGGGCGGGCGGCTCGCTAGACGGTTGACTGGAAAACGAGAGAACAAGGGAACGAACGGACAAGTTCATCCGTCGCCCCAAACTCACCCACCGATCAGGGCGTTCTCGTAAAAGTTTCTCTTGGCCGTGAAAAAAAAAAGTCGATCGCTGTCAATGCCACGCTTTCGGGTGCGCGCACGACTTCTCCCGGCCATCAATAATCCTTGAATACCGCGCCGCGTGCTGAACCTGACACCGGTCGAACTTGCGAAGGGTTACGGCTGCCCACGTGAGCGGATCAGCTGCGACTATTGATTTGCTGTGATCCCGTGGAACGGGTTCCGTCAAGTTACGCTCAAAATTAGGAATCTTCTGAAATCTGAGAGGAAGGATCCCGTTAATGAGCGGTGAGCTCGTTGACCCATAGAGCCTGAGCTTGGAACGCTTCGCGCTTGAGGGAAAAACATCGAGTAGAAACGGCATGTCCGGCCGGCAGGACGAGCAGCGTAGCGATTGCAGGCGGGTCATCCAATCTTAACATCGATGTTATAAGAGGAATAGAGCATGATGCAAGAGATCATCAGGCTTGCAGTATCATCATGTAGCGTAATATTTGTGTCTAGCTGGAGGCTGATGACTCACCGTTCGACGTGACATCCCACAGATTAAGCTCGCAAGCAAGGGGCGACGAGCTTTTCGCGCGAATGATGCCGGCTCAACGATTGCAGGACTGAATTCCAATACGAATCCGATGGCCGATGGCCAATCCAATGTCTCAGACGTTTCATTCGAGATTTGGGACTTTCTGCTTCCCTGTGTGCATTTGGTCCAAATCGAGCAAGTTTTACATAAAGAACCCAAGGGGAACACTGAACTATAGTATTGATTATCCGCTCCAATTGTACGGGAGCAGGCTCGCAGAAATATGTTGTTCGAGCTCTCCGCCCATCCAGCATCGATTAGATCGCCGATCGCTCTAGGAGTCTCCCAGGAGAAACTCTCAATTTTCTGGATCTTTACATGTGCGAGCTCTTGCGCCCCGACACAGAGCATTCAGTAAGAATGAAGCTCCCCGGGTATTCTTTCGTGGAATCTCGATTCCTTCTCCGCAGCGTCCGATATTCCCGGAGTTCCCCATGGCTTACTTGCTCGACTTCGGAATTCAGTTCGCACCATTTTCCAGGCATCACGAATGGCGCAGCTTGGTATGCAGTCGCCGGTGGAATGCAGGATTTCAACTATCTATCTTCGAATGACTTCGAAATCACGTTGGAATTGGGCTGCGACAAATATCCTCCCGCACACGAGCTTTCACGGGAGTGGGAGAGGAATCGACGCGCCTTGATCGAGTTCATGTGGAGGGTGAGTAAGATTCTTTTCCATCGATCAGAACAGGGGTATCACGGAAGGGGAGGGGGTAGAGCTGAGCAGATAGATTCAGTTCGGGTAGAGCTCCTTCCCTTGAGTGACCCTATCGATTTCTGAATTCCTTGATCTTTCGCAGACTCACCAAGGCATCAAGGGATTCGTGGTCGATGCCACCACCGGCCTACCCATCGGCGATGCGGAAATCTCAGTTTTCACCCTCGGTCAGGGAGGAATCCCTCGACACATGAAGCACGACGTCACCACCACGAAGATCGGCGAATTCTGGAGAATTCTGCTTCCAGGTTAGTCGCTCAATCTAGCTTATCAGGCTGCTTCTCCCATAGATAACTCCGCCACGATGAACTAAGGATTTTTCCAAATGAATCATGTTATGTGACAGCCTGTATTTGCAGGCCAATACACGATCCAAGCTTCTGCGCCTGGATATGAGGCGCAGAGGGTGACCCTCAACGTCCCGGATTTCAATAAGAACAAGGGAGCTCTTACGTTCAACTTCAAGCTCCAACCCGCAGAGGTTGCTGTAAGTGCAAGGTCTGTGTCACATTTCGTTTTTTTTCGTTCTCTCATTTCTCATCCTATCGGAATTTTTCGTGCGCCGCTCTGGCGACAATGGTCTGCAGCGGAGACGGTAGGTCGGTGCCAATGTTCGGGAATAGAATGAATGATGGGAGGGATTCCCTCTCAGAGTTAGCTTTCGATTTCATCATCCTCCATTCTGTTCGAAGCTTTCTCTCGAGTTTATTCTATTGGCTGACTCGATTGACTCATCACAACTCTGGCGATTCATCCCGAAACAGAAATTTCCCCGTTCCACCCGCACCGTCCCCTGCATGTGCGCCCTGTGTCATTACGTCATTATGTCATTATGTTAAGTCATTACCTGGATTATGTCTCGACTGTCGACGCTCCCGACCGGAGTCGAGAGCCTGCCGGGTATACACAGTGGAATTCGATTTCCTAATCCGATACATTTCCATTCAGGTACCGGTCTCTGAAGACGAGAGAGACCCCGACAAGGAATCCCTCGACATCCTCGCCTTGATCGCGGCTGAGGCGAGACGGATTCGTCTCGCGAAAGAGCAGCTGCAAGGAGCGGACGGATGAGAACTCTCTGCCACGAGCAGTTTATTCTTGCGAATGACACCACCGTCTCGATATATCGACGCAAAAACTGACCCATCAACCTGTTTTCCGCCCCGTATATAGTTTATAGGACCGGAATATTTGTTTTGCCGCGTCCGGCGGTTTAGTTGTTCGAAACAGGTTTTTCTCGCTAGGCAGTCGATTCTATGTTCAAAGAGCAATCTGGAAGCAGGTAATCTCGTTTTGCCACCCTCGATCCTGTAGAGGCGAGCTGTTGATATTGCTGGGGTACGAGTGTATTCGTTCATAAACAATCCTGTGGAGTTCCTCCACTAGACAAAGATTCATGTTGGAGTTTAGGTGACATTCTATTTATCGTGACTTGTGGAGTTCCAAGACCTCAAGATCCCATTGTGTTCTCGAAAGCAGGATATTCCAGCTTCCCTGCAAGGCTCCGAAATCCTGTGTTCTCCCTTATCGGAAGTGGTGTTGTACTAGGCAGAAATCATATAAATTCATGTCGAACCACTGACTGAATCAGATTGTGACTTTCGCGTCGAAGCCTCTAAAGGAGCAAATTGTCCAGATGTATGTGATTAAAACAATTACCTATTTTCCTCCTAGAAAAGCGCCTCATTCATCCTGGCCTTCTTGCACTCGCCGCCGGGCAGGCTGATGACTAATCGAATACGCGGGTTGACCATGCAATGACGTTCGGAATCAGCATCAGCGAGAGCTGTGAATGAATGACCCCCGGACAGTAGGATCGAATGACTCGAGCCTGGCCGGAGGGATATGTAACTGATGAGATGCTGCGGACTCAGCCGGGGCAGAGCTGTCCTTATTGCGTCCTGCTCAATCCTCCACGTCGGGAGCCGGGATCTGCAAATCCTGGAGGGATTCTCGACGGGCTTCAACAGATATCCCCGGGGTCTGGAAATGACGAAATGTTCGAAAAGAGCTCCACGAGTCGATCTGAGTTTTCTAAACGTTTCGAATACCTACGAGAGCAGAGGTGTTCCCCAGGAAGAAGCTCTCGTATGCCCGGGACTATATCGAAAAGATTTCGGCAGAATCCCGGATTCAAGGAGAAGCCGTTTAGTTGGATGATATCGCATTTGATTTTATTGTATACAGCTCGGCGCGACCGAGGTAACTCATCTGTGTTTCCTGACGAAGTGCACGAGAGTTACGGGGAGCATAGCGCAAACTGCGCGAGAGCATTTCTTCGCAGCGAGACATTTCAGTCGCAGAACACCGAAATTTCGGTTTTTAACGCGCGAAAAGTTTTGTGCGTCCATGGGGCAACAAGCAGCGTTCAGAACGCTCTCGATTGTCAGCTTGAAACGATGGCTTTGCTGCCACATCGAGCAGGCAGCGAGCAAACGATGCAGCGTTGTGGGATCGAAAGCGTCTTCACTCTTGACGTAGCCAGTCTCGTCAGGAGGCAGCCACCACATTTTTTTCCCGGCACAACTCGCCATCTGCTCTTCGATGGCCCTGTGCTCTCGACTGGTCAGGCTGACTTCAGCCCCAAGCGTCAGAAGGAGTTCCACGTATTCGAGTAATACTTCCAGAACCGTCGATTGCATCACATCGGCAATGTAGCTCAAGAGTAAGCTGCATCCATTCCGGGGGAAATCAGCTGACTCCAATGTTACCTTCAGTTGGTCGAGATCAATGCCACGGAATATTTCAATGGCTGTATTTGACTGATACCCCATATAGCTAAGAGTGTGGAAGATCATCACGATCTCCGTCCAATCAGGTGGGGAACTTTCGAGAAGTAGCCTCGCGATCGCTGATCTGTACTTGTTATGGAAGAATCGACGGTCCTCCAGCTCGATGCTTAGGAACAAACAGATCACGTCTCGGTAACTTTCTAGGTAGTAAAACATCCACGTCTGGAGGTCGTAGATGCCCAGCGGATCGCTGAAAGGCAGGTTGGGGAACTTGTGGGCGACGCATATCGCGTAACATTGCTGGACGAATTCTAGCGCTTTCCGGTCGTTCACAAGATTCTCCAATTCGATAATGTCCTCGATACTCTCGAAGCACTTCCGATTCACGGCAAGTTGTCGAGCCTTGATGTTCGCCTCGTCCCTGACTCTTTGAGCTCTTCTGAAGTATTTCAGGCCTTCGATTCCCAAGGGAATGTCCATCACCTCCGGACGCATCGTCCCAATTTGCAGCAGTTCGTAGGCATTAGCGGCTTCTTCAGGGGTGTGTTGGTCACCGGTGAGGAAAAGTTCCACCGCAGATTCCTTTCCCCATACTGCCGCTTTCCGTAGCGCGCATTCATCGGGATCTGCATTGCAATATGCGACGCCTTTGCCAACCAGTATCTTCGTCTGAATGGTGATTTCCTTGAAGTTGTTCGGGAGTGAATCGAAGAGAATTCGAGATCTATTTTTCTCAAGAATCAAACCATTCTCGATGAGAACGTCTAGGATGCGTTCGACTGTTGCATCTTCAACCTCGTCCATGTTCATCCAAGCTTTGAGACAGTCTCTCGCAGCGCCGGTCTTGCCGGCGAAGAGTTCGACCAGCTCTGTGTATCCCCGCATTATGCACTCCAGCTGAATGTGATCGTTCACCTCCGTCTTCTCGATGACGAATCCAACTTTATTCACGAAGTCCGAGACGAGTTCGAATTCTCCCTTCTGGGCTGCGAGCTTCAATAAGCATTCTCCACGTGTTTCTTGGCAATACATCGCTTGCTGCTCAGCGAGGTATTCCTTCCGAGTTTCCGGATCGAGATCACACAATTCTCCGATGACCACGGAATCAATGCTGTAGGGTTTGCTCCTCAAGTTGTCCAATATTTTCCCTCTCTTTTCGTCAGCCATGGCAACTAGAGTGTGATGAGTAATGAATAAATCATAGTTAGAATCGGCAGTGAGTGCGCGCGGGTACCGAGGATTCGGAATTTATCCGCTGCGTCGATGAATTCCGTAGACGAACATTCTCATAGGGACCACGCTGCTCAAGCGGATTTCTCATTGTTCACCCCAGAGCTTCTCAGGTGATATCCCTGGGATATTTGAGGAGACTTGACATTTCTATTACCTGTTCGTCTCCACGGTCTTGGATAAAGGAACTCTGATCAGGAGATACTTCGAGCACGGACTGTTCTCCTCCGGGAGATCTGTGTAGGGCTCAGGCTAGTCTTGATCTCCGTGGTGTCGTATTGCGTGCTGGGCACGGCTTCCAGAGCATCATCAACATTTGTTCGAACGTATTATATCCGAAAAGCAGGCTTGAAAACGAGAAAAGAATACCGGGACAACTATGAGAGCCGCATCACATAGAAGCTTCCCATAGAAGCTTCGGGTGGCTAAGATCTTCATTCATGATTCATGATACTCATTCTAAATAATAGTCTATTGCCATCGAAACTCCCCAAGAGCCAGAAACAGACGTAGCGCAATCTATCGATAGGATGGGCGTTCCCACGGTGCTTCCCATTTCTCTCGCTCGATGAGCCCTGATCAAAAAAACTATGCGGCGGAATCCCTTGGAACCGGCATTTCGTTTCCTGGATTGATCAGGACTGCCGATTCCACACATATTCTTTTCTAATACGCAGCGGGAACGTTCGTACTCGCCCGAAAATCGAGTGAGCTAGCGTCAACGCGTTTCATTCAAGCCATCGCTCCTCCAGGTCGGTCTCACATTCGACAATCCTGAGATCGTACCCATGTATCATGCATGAGCAGATCGAGCTCTACATGATACTTCCGCGAACCAGTGGAGGCTACGACCAACCCAGCTCCAAGAGAGCGCTACATTCCCTCGAGATCAGAACCTCCTCTCGGCACCACAGATATTCTATCAGCCTATGTGTCTTGCTGCAAGGGAGTCTTGGAGATATGGAGAAATACAGAGCGATGGTTGCAAATATATGAACATAGTTCGAAAACGCTGGAAGACTCATGCATGCACGACAAGATAATATTCAGGTCCGACGGATGGGCAGCAGCGAGCAATCAACGTGTGATGTCAGAACGAGTCTGCCTCGGAATCGAGTCCGGCTCAGGCGTCGTGGATACCCCTAGTGGTTGAATTCCACTTTCCCATGAAAGTTGGGGAAATCGAGGCGCCAAAATAGAACGGGCCATCTCTGAGTTCTCGATTTTCGCTCAAAAATCGTTGTCAAGGTGTTATACGCGAAATCATACTCCAATAGGTGGAAAACCCCCCTAAGAGGAGACCAACTTGGGTCAAACAAGATCGAGGATACTCTCTCCATCGGGTTTCAATCTCCCTGGGGCGAATTCGGTGCTCGAAACGAATCCAGATGAGCGGAACCTATGAGGACAAAATTCGAGGCTCAGCGATACACTGAGGATCGCCGAGCTTCCCAAGATCAGTCCTCCACCTCTGAGCTTGAGAGACCTTGCATTCTCAGTTCACCATCCAGCTAGACATCGTAGCTTGCAATGACAACGGGAGATACTGACGATGAGCATGGAGCATAGCATTCGCATCAGAGAGCTCGCCTTCCGTGAAGCGGAATTGCTTCTCTATTTTGCAATATCGGATCGATTTTCGTAGAGCTATGCTCGAGTCGAAGAGAGGATTCACTCTACTCAGGTCTGTTATTCCATCGGGAGTGGCTCTGTTATTCCGACCACAATTCCCAAGAAGTAGTCGACGGGAATTTCTTCTGCTCCAGGATCCAGGTAGACGGATAACCAAAGATGAGAAAGCGAATCCATAGTTTCTCACCCATTGCACGAGATGCAGACCGAACGGATCCGATACGGAAATATGCGATAACGGGGCGGCTTCAACCCGTGACTCGCTCACCGCTCGCCCGACTTTTGCAAACATGCTTCGATTTGACCCAAGACTTACAGAACTCTTGTAGAAGAGAACGAAGTTTTCAGATGGCTGCACTATTTCGAACGCCACTGTAGATGAAGAGCTGGGTTTCTCGGCTCATGTGCACAAAACTGCGGAAAAGAGCTAATTGATACGCTCATGGCATCTGGCTGAGTACAATCTCGTCTCGAATTCCCGAGACCCATATTGAGCTCTCCATAGCATACGTGAGACCGATTCTTGACTACGATGGCCAGATCTGATATTCGTGAGGTGCCTGTGACGTCAATCATCGCGGAAGGATACGGATGAGGTCCCTGCGGACCCCCGCGAGTCGGTGCAGTTATCCGAACCATGGGCTCAATGTGATGCCAATCGTGGATCGCCGTTTCCATATTGACGGAACGCGATCTGCGTGTTGCGTCACGCTACTCGACAAACACTTAACGATACATCAACCTCGCACGCGGATACCTCCATGAACCTTTGCCGAATCAGCCAACGCAAAACTTTTTCTCATGAGAGATGAGACGATCTTAGCTACGGATGATGTACCCAACCAAGATGATCTGTACACATGGCGGTGAACAGGAATGCAACACTAGCTCCTCTGGGTTGATGGAATGTCAATGGATGAAGACGTTCACCTCATATCGATGGCGCGGTTGCCGTGGGGAATGCAGGAGGGGCAGAGTTTTTTCCGATGAGGCGCTCGGTTTGCCACAATCACCAACGTGGGAACGCTGTTGGTTGGAATCGACAATTCGCTGTTACGAATCCTGATAGCTCGACCCTGCTAAAGGATACTGATTCGGTTACCGCTCGCACTGAGCCGATGAATGTGCCTCCATCTCTCAACGAGGAATCGTCCCGTGGAGCAGGACCTGTCAGCAAGATGGCCCTTGGGCGACCCGTCATCTGGAAACCGACTCTCCCTTGCCTGCGATAGAGCTCTTCGACGGCGGCGGAGCATCGCGGACGGCTTTGTCATCGAAAGAGGGGTCTCGTCATCATAAACAGGGAGCCTTGAGTGAGGTCGCTCTTGCTCCCGGGATCTAGTTTCTGATCGAATGGTCGAATTGTTTAAGGATTCGGTTTCGCGTCGAAAATATTCCTATGTATATTGACCGGGAGACGGACGGATCCGTTCGCTCGTATTGCACCAGCTGCTTGCCGCGCCTCCAGCGTTTATTCAGTGCGCTTCCGGACTACGTAAAATGCTTCAAACCTCGACTCCGGTTTCCGCTCCTCGGGGACGGAACCATGAGATGGCGCCTTCCTGAAACATGACTTCCCGACTGCATTACAGTTGGTCGACTCGAAGTTTTCGCCTCGTCCGACGGTGTGGTGAGCAAGCTTTCGAACAATGGACGGTCGCAGTTTCCCTGAATCTCGAGACGGGGAGCCGGAAGGCGGGTACGTTGTGGTGTCAGATAGGAGAGATAGTCGGTCGTTGGTGGACGCACTGTCGAGTGAGGATACAGCACTTCTCGCATTGATAGAATTCACTGCGGTTCGCATTCCTCACGGTTAGACCAAGGCGTGCATGATTCGGACAATTTTCCACTCCGGGAGATCGTTTCACGGAATGATGTCGATCAAGATGGAGGCGACTGACCGAGAATCCGGAGAGGAACTATCGATCCATGACGTTTGCACGGCGGTCCGCGGGAGGAAGTGGGATCCAAGCCCAGTCCCATCGGGGACCTATAAATCCTCGGTATCCATTCGCGGCAGAGAAACTTCCTCGGTCATTTGCGGGACTTTCGAGGGATTGGAATCCGAGTCGGAATCTCAAGAAAACGGAAAGCCTCTCTTCCCGAAACTGTGCTTGATTTCGTAGACGTGATGCTGCTCTGACCGCGAAAACGCCGTTTTGCGCCCGAGATCTCCGACTCTGCCTAGGAATCACGAAGTTCCGCCTGTCAAGTTGGATCAAACGTCAGAGGAAAGCTCAGCTCTTAGGTGTCCGTCCGAAAAATCCTTCCCGTTTTAGAATACGATTGCTTCGAACGTTTCTGAGGTTTCTCCTCGCAGCGGGAGGGACCAAGTCTCCAATTCTAAGCGAGAGAGAAAAGAGAGGATCGGGGAACAGAAAAGCCTTTCGGCGAGCCACTCCTGTCAAATTATGCGTTTTCTGCCAGTCCTCCATCCTAATGGGTGAATGAACCCGATATCATGACGCCTTCATGGTAAGAGGTTTTGCTCGCTGCGGATTCACGGGGTGTGTTTTGCTCTCGATCGTCGATTTTCGTGCGAGATGTGTTTGCCCGGCCTCAGGGTCAATCGACGCTGATGCCCCGATGATGCAGCATAGGCGAGACGGGCCTGATCCAGGGGTACCAGAGTACACGAGCCACCTCTCTCTCGACCATGTTCTGGGATAGGGAGCGAGATCGAGTTTACTCGATCTGGTTCACTAACTCCCGATCGACAGGATCCAGACGAAATAGCCGCCGTAGTGGCGCAGCGTTGACAAACCGTCGAGGGAGTTCCCTCGTGGATTCGTTGATTTATAAATGAAGTTGATACAGACTCCGAGCATGGCGACGATACCAACACGAGAACGCGAGACGGATTCCGGTCGGATGTCGGGAGCTCTCCGTGCGAGATATCCTGCTCCACAGGGGGAGAGAGATCACCGAGAGACCGGGACTCAAAATGCGCTTCCAAGAGAATTATCTCCGAATTCTCTGCCAGAGTCCTGAAACAATCTCAAGATCCCTGAAATTGACATTTG